ACTTTTGACTTTTCTGGGCCCTGACACGGTGCAGCAGTGACGTGAAAACCATTTCAGGAGACTTCATCGAGAAGCCCAAGGGTTTTGCAGCACCGTCAAAAAAGCAAAGGTGAGGATTTTTTGGGGGACTTTAATATAAAAGATAAAAAAATATATAGTTGAATTATCTGCATTTTTTTCTTTGTTACATAATTCTATATAGGATGTCTTCAGTATGTATACAAAATTAAGAAAGTAGTATGACAAGGCGTGTCCAGAGTTTTGACTTGTAGTGTACATGAACTGATCAGTGTGCATTTATTGTCAACGCTGGGGGTCACTGGGTTCGTCACTGTCTGTATCACTGACATAGAAGTCTACAGTAGCTCACAGGCAGACACAGTCGCTACTACGCAAGTGGAAATGTTTTTTGGACACTTCAGTAAAACTCATATGTTTGGAAGGAGAGACATTTTGGAGAGAAATATTCCATGCTCCAGATTTGCTTACTTAACTTCTGTAAACAAAAATACAAGCGAGTTTCCATTTCCTGTGTGGGTGTAGTACGGCAAGAGGAAATGTTTTGTTTTGCTATAATATGTTTAGTTGTTGTTATTTATTTTTCTTTTGGTCTGCTCTCTTTTTATCAGATGTTGCTGCAGTGAAGTAAGTTGCATGGTGATTAGACAGATTTGTATGTTTTGTACTTGACGACTTGCCGCATTACTGGGATGGAGTGGGTAATGAATGAAGTGTGTTGCCCAGAGACACAATGGCAGCACTCAAACAAGGACAGAACCCTCTAGTCAGTGAGTATACACTTGACCCGCTGCACCACTGTCACACAATTTGTTTAAATTTAAAAATGTGTCGTTAAGATAAAAAAAAAAAGTGTGTATATATATATATATATATATATATATATATATATATATATATATATATATATACACCTGCTGTAAAATGTTTAAAATATATTCAGTGCTTCACGTCTGAGCAGTGGCCATAACAAAGTGTTACCGATGCTTCTTGTTCTAATTCGATGAAGTGATTCTAAATCTTTTCAGGCTATGACTGTTTTCTCTTTTCATGTTATATTGAATGTTCCTGTCTGAATGCTGTCCTTGGTGGTCGGTCTCATTCATCCCATTTCCCCCCCAGTGTTAGCTTTTCAGATTTGTGAGGACCATGATTTTCATCTGCAAACACTGCAGCGTTCAGCACAGGATTCCTCCATGAGACCAGTCTGAGTGTTGTTATTAAGCCACCCTGAGTGACACAGTCCACGGGGGACACGGGAGGGGAAAGATGCTGTCCATTAGCTGTCAACAATGACCAGTGGGCCTGTCCTCCCACGGGACAGGAGCAGGGCATCGTCTCAGCCCTGTCCCGGCACAGAGATCACACAGGCCACATTGTCTCCAGCAGCCCGGCTCCTCATTGTAGCATGGCCTCTGGGAACAGCCGGCCTCACTGTCCGCGCCCTGTCCCACTACAGGAGAGGGATCCTGGGATGGACACAGAGGCTATGGAGTAGATGTGGAAAAGAGGGGCCATCCCGCAGCACTGACCTCCCTTCTGCACCTCCGCTTAATAAAGCCCGGGTCCCGGTCATTATTTTGGGCAGATGGAGACAGGGGCAGCCTGTGAAAGGCGCTGGTGTCACTCCCGAGGAGAGGATGGTAGGGATGACAGAGAAGAAAAAGCGAATCGCAGAAAAGATCAAAAGCAGAAGCTCGCCTTTCACGCCGCCTGAAAGCTCCAAAGAGGATAAGGAGCGATCGGGCCCGGGGTCTCCTGTCCTCTCTGGCAATTAGACTCAGCTGATGGAGAGAAAGGAGTGAATGGCAGGGTTCAAGGCCCTCTCCAGGGCTCGCACAACGGGAAGGAGTTTTTCCCCCGACGCCTCCTTTATCTCCCTCTTCTTTCAGAGTGTCAGAAATGCAGCTGAAATATCTCTTCCAAAAAGACAGCACAATCCCCAATGCCAAACCTTAATCACGGTGGCTGATGAGATTGAGGGGGGTGGGGGGTGTTGAGAGAAAACACGCATTCTTTTCACAATTCATCTTTACACTTTACTGCGGGCCAGGATTCAAGGGAGGTGTAGCAGGTTTACATACGATAATTAAATGGACTAATCAGACTACATGATTCTCCAGACATAATGATGACATAGACTACTGCATGCTACATGTCTAATCCACACATTACAGATCACAAATGACTGGCATATAACTAATGTATATGGCAAGACACAACCAATTTGCTTTCAAGATGATGTCTTCCATAGAAATGTGTTTGTAAACAGCCGGTTAAGTACAATCAAATTGGCCTAAGTCGAATGCATGCTTTTTGTATATAGATCTGGCAATGATGAAACTCTCTAAAATGGTGACCAATATAGTTAAATCACAATTGGAAGGATGTAGTTAATCAAAATCTGACACTAGATGCAAATGTAAGAAAAATATGAGCTTGTGTAAAGAATTGTCAGAGGAGTAGATAGATGTAACCAGCAGGCTCCATGAAGGGTTAGTACAATGGCTCATTCTGTTTGAGACAATTTAGTATTCATTTTGTGACTAGAGGAGCTGTCTTGAGCGTGGCCACAGCAACATGTCCCATAGGAGCCTATTACCATCCCCTACATATGCAGCAGTTTCAATAGGCCGTCCATCATTCTCACAAAGGGACACGCAGCTCTCGCTGCAATTTCAACAGCTTGTCATAAAAGGCACACAGGGGATTTTAATTACACAGGTCATCAGAGAGGGACAGAGCCATATATAGGTCAGATACATTTCATTTAGATGTCTCTGCTTTGATGGAGCCAGTCAATACAGTAAGCAGAAAAACAGCTGAGCAAACGCATTGACATGCAGAGATATTTCTGGTATATGACCTTCAGAAAGCTGACACATATGACTCAGCCCGAATACATGCTCAAGCTTGCTCCTAACTGCTCCAGTATAAACTGAAAGACAGAAGAGTGATTGTGATTTTAGTGGTATGGTGAAGTGCTCCAACAGTGCTTTGGTGTAATGATAAAATCGACAGAGTACACACCTGTAAAGCAGACTCCAGTCACACAAGGCTGAAGAGTGTGTCCACATCTGCTGCTGCTCTGCAGACTGAAGCTGGACATGAGCCCCTGTGTGCTGCTTCTGCCCCTTCTGCCCCTGTGGTGTCTCAGGCCCAGCCTCTATTGAAATATGAAGGACCAGAGGCGAACACAGGTGCTGCTCACTTAAGACATCAGCACCAGAATCCTGACCTCCAAAAACCAGGAATGCTCGGATTTGCTGTTCAAAGAGCTGCCTGTGGAGCAAAGGCTTTTTGGGTCTAGTCTCAGTTCTCTAACGCATCAGAACTAAGTTCAGCAGTTACAACAAGTACCTGATCAGTGCCACCCTACAGGCCCTCCACAGACACACATGTCCCTCATCAGGACCAGAACCACCACCTCAGCAACAAGAACAGCAGTTTCCCAGCTCTGTGCAAACAAGGAGCCAGACAGGTGATGAACAGGCCAGGAGTGACTGCCACACGCACACATCCAGGTCAACTGTGTGCTAAGATGGACACTTTCATGGCTTACAGCTCATAAATCAAACACCAATAACCTGAACTCACCCTACCATTCCTCCTCCATCATGCCCCACAGAAGAATGGCCTTCTCCAGAAACAAACAGGACCTCATTACCCCAATCCCTGATCCCACAACTGTCAACAAAACACCTCAGAGTAAACACTATTATTTTTATTTATGTTTATTTCTATGTTAATTGATTATTTCAGAGTATAAATAAGGACATGTGAAGACTTTTATATGGCAGCAGTACAACAGAAGTTAATATTATAATTTTGATCTGCCTGCTACTTGCCAATTCTGTATGTAAGCAGATGGTTATACCAGGTTATTAGTGTGCCAGCTATTTAACAGAATTATTCTAATAAAGTAAGTAGAACTATTCAATTTGCACTGAAAGGTCTATATAATTAATTTCTTTAGTTAGAAATAAAGAATTTGTTGGCTGTGCGTTTGGTTCAGTATCTAGGTGAACGCAGCAGAAGATTCTCAGGTCTAATATGTGAGCGTTAACAAGTCTGTGGAGACTGATCAGCTGCTGGGTTTGCGGCTCATCTGAATGCGAGTGCCACATCACATTAGTCCCCCCGTGTGAACCATGATTTTACTTTGTAATTCCGAGGCTCTCCTCTGCCTTTACATATTCATGGCCAGCCTATAAGTGTCAAATTGAGATGTCCTTCCAGTGTCCTTGACAGCAGGTTATTAATATTGAATATCTAAGTCAACATTATAGCTAGATGAAGAGAAACACAGGTCATCCACTGCCACTTCTTCCACATCCCCCATTCTTACAACAGTTCAGCAAATATACATCATTGTGTAACATATTCAACTGCCAAGAATCAAATTGTAAATTGGTTGAATTTGGGGTAATTTTCTCAATTTTGCAAACACATAATTGTTTTTTTGTTCTACAAGGGGCATTTAATTGTTAAAGGTGGCATACTATTGTTCAACATAATGCCTTATTTTATTTGAGTGCAGATTTACTGTAATTTAAAGTCATTTCTTCTTAAGACCGCTCCTGAGCATCCACGTGTTCACAATATAAATCCAGAAATCCCTTCGTCTTACTCCATCTTAACCGCTCCAGCTGTACAATCTCTAAATTGGTGTGGTGTTGTTGCTTGTGGCTGCATTTCAAATCCTCATACCTCCTCCTCCTCCTCTGCGCGGACCCGTATTCCAGGTTTGTCTGATAGGATGCTGGCTCCGGGCATCCCGTCACAGCAACTGAGAGGGGGTCAGCCAGGTCCTGCGCGCTGGTGGGGACGCCCAAGGGCCCTCCGAACAGCAGGGGGCCGGGTGCTGGAGAGGTCTCGCGCAGCCTAGCACCACTTCATGAAAGCCTAATGAAGAGACGTGCTCAGATGTGTATGGGGCTATTAGACACATTCCTGTAGCAGAGGCAGGCGCACAGACAAAAGGAGGTTGAGTTTTTATTGCTGATGGATATGAGAGGCAGACAGATTTCAGCGGAACAGTCATTAATAAATAGTGTATTACAGAGTTGCTGAGATTTTGTTCAAGAGCAAAGGGTATAATACCAAGAGGAGTGCAATGCAAGTTTGATAACGGTTCAACCAAAAGCAAAATAATAAAAGTGACATAAATACCGAAGCATGATGAAATGAACCGGAGTAAAACGGGTGTATGATTTGCTTGTGGAACATATAATTTAATCTGGCATTCTATTTATAATACCCATTGCTGTGTATCTGTCACGCCGTCATGCTTTTATATGGTGATCCCACATAGTAAGCCTTTATATAGAAAATACACTCTATCGATATGTCTTACATTCAGAAATATAAAATACAATGAAAATAGGAAAACCAAATAAAAGATCAAGTAAACTGTACAATACAATCTTATATGAGGTCATAAGAGCTGAAATGTAAATATAAAATACATACATATACAATGGTACCACTTTATAACTATACCTTAATTAGCCTTAATGAAGAATGAGCAAAAACTGAATTCAAAATGAACAAAGTTTATTAAGAATGATTCTGGCTAAGAAACTACTTAGGGATAGGAGTTAGTGTTAGGGTATTAATTAAGTAAGTATTAAGCCTAAATCATTCTTAATAAACTAATTGTTTATTATAAATTAAATCTTTTTCATGCTTTATTAAGACAACTTAAAGTAGCTATTATTATTAATGTTACCGATGCAGCATGAGGATGAAACTAAATTTTTACATCTTTGGTTGAAATACATTTTTCCATTCACTGCAGAATTACATTTGAAAATGTATCACACGTCAAAGAACAAAGTGCTCATCCACCTCCTTGTGCAAAGAGCAGCATCATGTTTCTTTCACAGACTACGAGGTCCTCTTCCTCTTGGTGCCTCTGGTCGTACTATACTGCACCTGAACAAGACAAAACATAAACAATGTAAATAAGTAACTGGACCTAACCTAAAGTTATAATTTCTGTTATCATCTGCTTCAAAGAATAGGTTGGGTCATTGTTTCGGATAAAATATCAACACATGTTTCACAAATTTTCAACTCTATCATTTATGTAAGTGATTGGGTCCTCTGATTTTCCTGTATTAATCTGTTAATTTTCCATAATTAATATTACAAGTCCATCACTTTATGCCTTTGACAGATGTTTGATTTTGTGTTGATGCTGAACTTTCCTCCAGACTTATTTATATTAATTAATATATTAATTGTGGGGTCCTCAGCAAATCCTCTGTCAGTAAAAGCATGTGGTTACAAGTTCAGGCATTGAAGGAAGAAGTTTGTCTATATGACATAATGTTTTTGATGAAATTACATCAAAGTTAAAAATTAGGATCAAATTAAAATTAAGATAAAAATATGATCATTTTGTCATATTGCAAAGCCAAAGTCAAAACCAATATCCAGTATTTGCAACCTATATTCAATATCAAGGCCCATAAATAGTAGTTAAGCTCTCAAACGTATTTTACTTTGAATTTAATACTAAAAAAAATAATGACAATATCTTCCTGTGGAAAGTATACTTTATGATACAAAAACCAACTCATACTTCTATTTCAATTGTAAGTCTCATTATGTTTTTTTTCTTTACAAAAAGGAATTAGAACTGAGTTCTAAAAAAGAATAACTCTATCTATGTCATTGACACCAAAAATTCCATCCAAAATTCAGGGACCACTTATTCTGGCAGTTTAAACCTTAATATAACAAATTAAGAATGTCATTTATGTTTTATTAGTCTAACTGTAACCACTGAAAATGAGGCAAGCTTTGACCCTTGTTTACAGAATGGAAATGTGAGGGATGGAATTACCTCTGCATATGTCATATCTGCTGTCTGTGTCCAACCAGTATGTCAAATTATAAACTTTCCCAAAATAAAAAACTAAAAAAACTAGGTAAGATTTTTTGTAAAATCTTGAATAGAATGATGCTATGTTTTAATGAAATGAGTAGTCTAACCTGTCATATGCACTTTCAGACACACTCCAGACTCACACACAGACTAGGAGACAAACAGGGTCAAACAGGCCCAAGACAGAGGACAGTGATGAGGAAAAAATACAAGGAGATCTGGACAAGATACACCAAATGCTCGCTGGGTTTCTGACTGATGCTGTAGTTAGTAAGAAGTTACATTTATCCTGCTAAGTTCTGTCCCCTCAGAGCGCAGCGAGGAGAGCAGTCTCTGAGTGAGTTCAGTGGTGAGACAGCAGAATGTCCTGTAGAAGCATGGGAACAGGCAGCTGTGCAAAGACCTCCACCAGGGATGTATCATGACCAAAACACAACAGAAATTATACGCGGCTGCATAATTATACAGGCTGGGCTAATTATACAGAAAAGAGTGAAGAATGCCTGGGAGTTGTTCTCGCATGGTGCAAAGCTGCGGGGCGGTGGGATTTGAGGCTTCCTGGCTGCCTGATCCGTGGGGGCTTACCTTCTGCACATCTGAAGGCACTCGGGACAGGAAATCGAGCACTTCGTTGTTGTCGATGCTGTACGGGTTCCGTAATTTCTTGGTGAATTTATTGATACCTAAAACAGAGATTCACACCAACGTATCATTAGAGGGAGTCCCTCGCCGCTGTGCTCTTTGTTTCCACACAAACAAATCTCTGCACATGAGACACATGCTGTCCACCAAATCCTGCTCAAGTGCCGTTTGCCTTTTAACTGTTTTTACTTTCACTTCGCCAACCACCACCAGACACTATATTATGCACTTATCTTGAACAACAGGTTTTATGCAGACTATCAGAGCCCTCGTAAATAAATAAGCATGTAAAATATAAAGTGAATGGAGATATGGACGACAAAAAAGCAGCAGGTATGTTTGAAACCAAGCGTCACACAAGTGGTACTGGTGAGACTCACCCCAGACTAAAATGATGTAACGAATTGGGATGAAGTACGTGAGCACAGTGGCGATGACAAAGATGATAAAAGCCAAGCAGGACAGGAATGGCACAGACCAGTTGAATGTGCTAAGGAATAAAACACAAAAGATAAGTACAATAATATAACAGGACACAATAATAAGTAATAGCAATAAGTGAGTAAAATAAACTGAACTACACAGGGACTGAAAATAAATAAAATAGTTCAGGAATTGCTAATAAAATAACTCACTTTTTAATCCTCTCTCCGAAGCAGGCGATCTCATCGAGGATATTTTGAACTAAAATGACAGTGTCTTGGACCATGTGAATTTTGTCTAACAGACCTTTCTTCTCTGATTCCTTAAAAAAAAAAGCACATAATAGTAGAAATATAAATATACAGAGAAATGATACTGATACTTTTATGTTTTGTTTTTGGATAATATAATAATGGTAAAATAATGAATTTTGGGAGATAGCATGGAATAAATGTGCGCGAGTTACAAACCCCAGCGTCTCACTATTAGGTCCACGGATTAGTTTGGCGAGTCACTGAGCCTGATCTTAATATTTATTTAATGGGGTAGCTCTAAGGATGCACGCCTTATTTTATACATATATTTTGCATACAATATCTGGAGTGACTGACAGTTTAGACTCCATATAAAACTGTGAGAAGACAAATGTGTAAGTACAGCCGTATTAATAAAAGCGTTCAAAGCTGCTCTGTAGGATGTCTATAAATCCCAAATACAAAGGCGCATATTATGTGAACAAGTTTTGAAAGGGCTTTTTTGAAGTGGTAGCTCTTGAGAGTGGGACTGGGCTGCACATTATAAAAGCGATAAAGCTCCGTTCTCAGGCTCATCCAGATCCCAGAGGGGAAGGGGGGCTTTAAAGTAAACAACAGACTAGACACCAGTGCGGATCTGAGGATGTGTGGAGAGAGCCAGTGTCCACATCAAACACACACTCACTGCTCCGGGTGAAGACTCCGGAGAGGGGCCGGCGTCAGCAGGATGCGGGGGGGGGACACTGTTTATCAGCCAAAGTCATGGTCTTTGTCATGGGCCCAACTTAGTGAAACTGCTGGTGATGTGACAAAGAATTATAACTAGCTCTAAGCCATACTAGTGTTTGGGAAAGAGCCACAATGTGTCCAAATGTCATAAAACATTTAATATTGCTATTTCAAATGCACGGTGCACAGAGGAAGACTGAAATCATTATTTTAAATATGTATGCAGTATATGAAAAAATACAGGAATCATTTATGGATCTGAATCATGCTTTGTGCCACTAAAGAAAAAACTTTTAACATTTTGCAAATTTCCTGTGGCAATTAAGTTAATACAACAAACAAACAAAACAAATAAGCATGCAATATTAAAATAAGTTCAGTGTAAAAAAAAACATAAAAACTAATATATGTATCTGTGTATCCTGTATATATGTGAATCTTAAACATTACGTGTTATTATATTTCATATGATACTGCTACAACACAATGTTTGCATCTTACAGAATACAATATAAGATATCTGTTGTTTAGTTTAATTATCACAATTTCCTCTAGAACAAAATCATGTGTTTTAAATGACTCTGATTCTGCTTTTGGAATGTGTTGTGTTGCATTATGCTTATTCTCTTTAGAGTCAGCTGACTTCCATCCATCCAATGGCCTTGTCCCATCCCATCAACTGTCTGCAATGTCTGCTACAACTGCATGTCCAAGTAATATTAGAGTGGATGACTCCAGCCTATATCCAGCCCTGAGCAGCAGTTTCAACTGTGCTGACAGCGCAGTCCATTCACGACACCTACAATAAACTGCTGTCATTCTGATGAAATATATCGCCGCCTAAAAGCGTGGTAACACTTTCCACTCGAGCAGGCATTAAAAGCATGCCTAAGTACTGTCATTAGTTCCATATTGATGGTATTATATGGTGTATAAGCTTAGGGACTTTCCCAAATGCAGCACAGCCCCTCGGCCCACCCCTTTATTACCATATGAATGTGTGGTGACATGTGGAAGCCAGTCTGTGAGGTCTTTATTAAGCCTCAATGTCTGTCTGACAACCGCAAGTTTACTAAATTAGAAGAAGTTGTCAAGTGCTAAAATCTCAAAAATAACAATTGGGTTTCCTAGATTACAGACATTTTACTCAGTTTTTAGAAAATTCTTATAATTCACAGCAAGGGGAACCTTCGATTAGCATACACATACACACATACCTTTTCATCTTCGTCCTCCTCATCGGCCACATCCATATTTTCCTTCAAAAGTGAAAGTAAAAATGACTTAGTACAGACATTTAAATTTTAGTCTATGACTTAAAGAAGTGGCTATTACAATTGCTAGTGTGAGGTTGACCCTGAGGTCTGCCTGCATAGTCTCTCGCTGTCATTTGTGGACACAGCGCACACAGTTTTCCCACGGAACATGAACACATCTTGAGGTAAGGGAAATTAAACTTAACATAATTCATTTAAATTCACTATAAAACTATCATCACATGGCCATTATACAAGCATAAAAGTGGTCTTTTGGTAAATAATTTCCAGTTACTAAACAGTTCATTAAATTTGACATGTGCAGTCTCAGTGGTAATAATAGCAATTAGCAGCTCTTTTCAGTGTCTATATTTGTAGCGCGTCAGAAGTAGCAGTGGATTTTGTAATTTATGTATTTCTAAGTGCTTCTTTTAAGTACTACAGAATGACACATTTGAGTGATCAGGGCTCTTTCAGTACAGCAAGACCACACGTTAATTGGTTTAGTAGTAGGACAGTTTAATTCTCAAAAAGGGTAAATAAATGTAAAATTTTAAATAATATTGTTATTGGTCTTCAAAAATTAACATAGATCTATTCTCAGATCTAACTATAAATATTTTATTGTTGCTTTTTCACGCCTCTGGCATTTGTACTACTATATTGTACTAATGTGTGCATGTGTTCCCACTCCTTTTTGAATGTGTTAATATTTAACAACTATAATTATAATGGACTATAGTATTTTATTTACTTACTTTAATATCTTAATTCATTTTTATAAGCTTTGCACATTAGAAGCGGCAAATCTATCCAGCATATAATAGGCTTTATTGCTTTTAAAAAATTCTATTATTAAGATAATAATTTATTTCATTCAAGGATGTGTAATTCATTATTGCCTTTTATTGATTCAAAACTGTTTCTGTTTCTGTTTGCAGTTGGTGTTAATTTAAACATAAAAGTAATAAGTTCTCTTTATACAAAATAAAAAAGGCAAAATAGACAAAATACAAACCAGATCTTGACTGGCCGGAGAAGACCGAATTTTCATATATTTCCATGAGATGAGTCCGACCAGGAAGAGCGGCAGCATGTAAAACTCCCAGTTCCACACCACCACAACAAACAACTGCAAAGACAAAAACACAAGTATGTGATTTAGTACATTATGTAATTGATATTTGCTAACATTATTTATTAAGGCATAATTACTTTGAAGTTTAATTTCAAAACCATTTAGCTTAATTGTGCTGTTTAATGTCATAGGGAAAGCCTTACGTTTATCATAACCTTATGATAACTCATCTTAAATACATGTAGGGATGTCACAATATGAAGTTTTAGAGAGAAAAAAGGTGAAAAGAAACATTCCAATTAGATTTTTTACAACTACTGACACAGCATTAACATTTCTTTCATTACTGCTGTCTAACAGATCAGCATTCGTCTAGTATGTGACCAGCTTTATGAAATCAAACCTTCTGAATGATTAAGTTAATGTGACATAATTATACATATAGGCTTACTCTTTCTGATTATATATTGACTTTAAATGGCTTCATTTTTGCATCTAAATTTTCCTTTTGATTATAATGTTACCTTAATAATCACGATTATCAAGTAACCAAATCATCTAAACATTCCTAATTACATGTTTGAAATATTTGTCTATAAACATACTAATATATCTAATTCATTACTAGTTCATTCTAGCCTAACATTCTCTCACTCTGTTCCCACTGACTGACATGAGCATCATAAACATAATTGCTGGCTCTATAATCATGGCTGTATTAATAAAGCTGACCGCGCCATTTGTTGCAGCCACATGGAGTCTCTGTGTGACATTCCTCGCGCCGCTGCTGCTACATGTGCGCGCATAAATGGATAAGAGGATATTATGTCTCGATTGGCTGAATCAAAGTATGAAATAATCCAGACACAGGAGCCACATTTGCCAAAGTGGCAGAGGGCCAAATTCAGGGGGTGGAATTTATTTTTTTACTTTTTTTTTTATTGCTAATAAAAAAAATGCACATCTGGTCAAGACATCACTCTCCTTTGAGGCATTAAAGGTTGGTACTACTCCTGCCCCATCCACCCACCGCTAACATTACCAACGCTACTACTACCACCAGTGGATTTAATGTGCAAAAAGCCAAGCACGCTCTGCTCTGTGTTATCAGCGGCCAAAATCAGGGTCTGGGAGCAGAGCTGAACCCCCCTCCTCCCTGAAGGGGTTATGTGTTATTAGTGGGGACTTTGTAATGACTGAGGGCACAGGGAATGGAGAGACAGCAGTGTCACGCTTTAGTGGAACTGTATACGCCGCCCGTAAAGATGCTGATAATTGTAAAGGTTGAAAGGCATGAAGGGGCAGAGGACAGGGGCCGATGCGGTGTTCTGGAAATGCAATTGAGATCAGAGGAAATAAAAAAATGAAAGGGCAGATAATGTCAGAAGAGCTACTGTACAGAGGGGTGGTATGTTCGCAGGCAGTGGTGGGATTTTCAGGGCCGGAGCCTAACAATGGGTTTGCATAGTACAGCAGTAATCCAAGAGCACAAGAGTAACGCATGCTATGTATTACTGAGTGTATGCAAAAAATGTAGCTATGAGTGTGTTGAATGATTGATTGTTATTACTATGTGTTTTATTTTATTTATATAAATTGCTATAAAATGCAACATTTTCTTGAGGTATAAAGCTAGATTTGTTCAGTAGCTTTCTTTCAAGTTCTTACATAAATACTTATAATAATCTTTGTTAAATGTAGCGACTTTTCAATTTGCAATTTTGATTAAATTGCGATTAATCTCGCAACTGTGAACTATAGTTTAATCTAAATTGTAACTTATAATAGCCACTATAGTTTAGGTGAGAATCCTGAATGATGACAGTGCAGGGGCTACATCCATCTTACTGCTGCATCTCCATCTTCAACAGCACCTGAACAAACTGTACCATTGGCTGAAGTACAGTTTCCGCTCATCAGCATCACAAGACATTCCTCAGAAGCCAAGCAAAGCCTTAGTGCCATCTATAGGCGGACAGGTGTAAAAACAAAAGGAACTTTGGATGACCTTGATTGCCTGCATAGTTAATACATACCGCGCTGTGTGCCATCTTTATCAGCCTAGATGTGGAGGAAAATAATGTCGAAGAGATCAGCACCCACTTTAAGAAGGTGTGCTAAAAGACTGCCCCTCTATTTCAGTCTTCACAGCTGCTTAGCACTTGTAAGCGACAATGGTAGGAAGGGAAATCAGCCTTATCTCCACAGAGCTTTTTAATTGGACTTGTGTCTGTGTAATGGGCTCCAAATCAAACTGAGCACAGACTGGACCGAGGGTTAATGAGTTGTCAGAGATGTAGAATAAAAATAGACTGCATTTCGTCTCCACCGGGACTCCTCTCTCTCCAGCTGAGGCTTAACTCGGCCTCCGCACAGGCACGCAAACGTCGAGAGCGGCCATTCCGACACGGAGATGGGGCCAGGGCTGCAGTTTCGACTCAGCCCAACGCAGCATCGATTAAGATTCTCAGAAGAAGGGTTCAAGTGGAGGTTGGCCAGGCTGCACTTGTATTCTGCAGCTCGGAGGAGAGACACAGAGAAATGCAGATAGTGTGTTGATAAGTAGTTAAGCCACTTTACCAAGAAGGCGAGCAGGCTCCTCTGAGTATTCTCCCACTGGAAGCAGCTTTTGATGTACTGCAGTGCAGACATGATAGCCCTCAACAGTGTCTGAACGCGCATCACATTTCGAGCCAGGGCCTGAAAGATATATGAGTATGAAATTAGATTTTTACAAGGTGTAACTGAATGGTGCTCGATTGAATTGCAGTTAAATGAAAAGCACATAGGTATATGCCAATACATTTGTAGTGAATGTATATCTGACAGTAGAGGTGGAAGATATACTGAAAAATGCGTAATATTGAAACTAATATTTTGGAGATTGCTAAATTAGAATTAAAGGGTATATTGTGTATAATAAATAACATTAAAAACCTCAAAAAGACACAGAAATGTCTAGTGTAATCACCCAAACAAGCCCTTTTGGGGTTCATTTTTTAATCCATTTACATTTTGTGCGATACTGATACCTCAGCTGAGACATTTAATGGTACATTTTGGCCCATTCACACATTATTAAAATATTGTCTGAATATTGTTACTGAGATAATGAAAAAAATCATGAAATAATAGTCAATATTGCCCAGCCGTATCTGATGAGATAGTGATTTGGATGAGCCATAGTAGTCAGTGGGCAAAGAAAAGACTCAGTAATGTGACCTAATTTTTTCAACCAACTTCAAACATTAAAATCGGAGAGAAATCCTAACTTGGTCCCTGGTGTGTTAACCAATTTTGGCATTAATAAGCATTGTATTGTCTCCTAACAAAGAGTCTTTGTGCAGTGGATAGACAGTCAGGCACCCCGTCTCGCGCCCTGTCCTGCACACTGTATATCAAACTAATGTAGCAGAACAGCGAGCAGGAACTCTGTCACAGCCGGGGTCAATTACAGCCCCAGCAAACTCATTCCGACCAATCTAAGTCCTGGCTTCTGTGTTTTTGGCTCTTCTAGGACAATCAAACTTAAGTGGTTTCAAAATCAGTTCACACAAAAACATATTTGGCAATAAACATAAAAACATGGATCTATTTTATGTTTTACTTAGGTATTCCACCCAATATTGACCTCTCACCTTTGACCTCCTTAGTGCTGCTTGGTGGTAATGTGATTGTGCATCAGTTTGCACAAATCTGATATTATTTTACTGATGTATTTAGCCACACATAAAAATGTAAAAGTACAAACCTTTTTGGAAAATTTTGGATTATCTTCAATAAAAAGCCTCTCTTTCGGTTGAAATGTTCTTATACTTGCTTTGATCTGAAAATACAAAAGAAGTGGTTAATCACATTTGGCATAAAATGTGTATTTTTCTAATTATGTTTTGAATGAATATGATGTTGTATATTTATTAAAAGCATATTTGATTAAAAAAAGAAGACTGTTTTGATATGGATTGCCTTGTTCCCAGTTTATTATACAATTATTTACTGGTCAAAGTCTTACCGTACACTCCAGTAAATTGTGGGTTCACTTACAGGGTTAAAGATGACCTCCAGCTCCAGAGTGATGCTCCCCTTTGACAGGCCGCTCAGGTCCTGTTTTAACAGTGGGAGTGTGATCTGTTGTCCCCCCCGGATCTGCAGGACAGAAAGGGCACAAGGTGAGGAGCAGAGCCATGAACCTGACCAGCAGTCACAGTGCATTACATCTTAGCAAGTCTCCAACCTGCTGTAGTGAAAGCCCACTTTTCACTTTCATTTAAGCTAAAGGTGTAAATATGTTACTGAGACAATGATGTGAGATACTGTACCGAAAGCAGAGGAATGGCAACTTTCCCCAAAAAGTCTGGCGCCTTGTCCCCATCCTCATCAAAGACCGTCACCATCAGAACATCGTGAATGTCTTTGACAGGGCTGTGGACAGACATGAAGGCCAAATACATCACTCCAAATATTCAGCATAAAACATTACAAAAGCATGTCTGCAGTTTTTTCTCCCATACTGACAGTGTAATCACTTTATTCCACTCTGGGTACAGGGTTTTGTAGACTGTGTGCGTCTGAAGCCTGTCGTTTCCCAAGTCCAACACACAGAAAGGATCACTTTTCCCTAAAGAGAGTATTGTGTGTAGATGTGTCAAACAAGAGTGGACAAAATGAATAAATAAAACACTAACTTTACAAACCATTTATATCAGCTGCTATCAAGTCTGAAGCTTTCAGGATTTTCACTTGAAGAAAACCAACATCATGCAAATTTTTTAAAGATCTCTTCAAACTCTGGTGAAAGAAGGACAAAAAAATCTAATGAGTTTAAATATTATATCTATTGTAAATTAACTTGAGCAAAGAACGAAACCTGAATAAACCCAAATTAATGCAAATTATACCAGCCTTTTATTTAACAACAGTGAAAAAAAAACTGTTATATGTTTTATTTAAATATTAAAAGAATATTCATGTTGGCATTCATCTGATCGAGGCCAAAAAATTTTTAAAGTTTCTGTCAAATACTGCCACCACTTGGCAAGCTGTTAAAATACAAAAATATAAAGCAATTCAATTGAACAATTAAAAATAAATGTAAAAAGTTGCTCAAATCTTTATAGCATGTAGTTGAAGAATGGCAAGTGAATAAATTGATCTTATTGCTTGTCATATTCTATGAGCACTAAAAAAATAAATAAATAAATAATAATGTACAAGGGAAAAAAATCTAGCAATTTCAAATTTTATGTTACGGTCTGTAATACAATTTTAAAATTCAGACTAAAACTAAGTATCAGGAATGTAACTTTTGAGATGGATGCTAAATGAGACAGTTATGATATTTGCAAGCTGTGTGGACCCGTCATGCAAAGTTGTAGCAACGTGCAGATGTGTGGGTACTGACATAGTTCTCCAGCTGGCTCTGTCTTTCACGTGGTTCGTCAAGCGGCGCGGCGCACAGGTCGGACAGGGAGACGCCACTGCACGCGCTTAGCTCCACCAGGAAGAGCACACGGCCCCTCCCATGCTCCAGCACGTGCGTGAAGAGCTTCCTTTGATTGACAGAGATCTGGGACAGGTTCACTTCACACCTGCTCACAACAAAAAACACACCTCGAATTCAGGAAACAGCACACCTGCTTCTTTACACAGGTCCAATTTGCATTTACTAACAACATTTCACAGAATTTGCATATTTGATACACTGTGAAAGTTTAAAGGTTTTTTTTGTGGAAGAACATAAAACAGTGTGCATAGGTTTACTCACACTCCCAGACACTCCTCAGTCTTGCGTCCCTCCTTAGACCAGACTTCCACCTCCATAATGTCCGGACTGTCGAAGAACTGGTTAAATGTGAACTTCTCCTTCCACTGTGGATTGGCCATTTTGCTTTTACTCTAAAAAACAATGTTTATATATTATTACGCAGCAGGACTAAATGGTAAATCCATGTAATCCCTCAGTTGTCCATGTAAGTACAATTCTGTCAGAACTGAGGATGCTGCTTGGATGAGTGATGGAATATATTCACTCCTCAAACTTTTGTTCAGTTGACAGAATTCACTTTTCATTTGCAATGCTTGAAAAACATAAACTAAAAAAAAACAACAACTTCAAATTAATTTGCGATCACAATGACAGAAACTGCAATTATTTATGTAATAGAATGTACTCTGCAAACAACAAATGATTCTGTGCGGTAATGGAAAAGAACTAACCCTGTAGCTTAGACCTTTACAAATATGTTCATCATTTTGTATTTCTAATTTCTCTCAAAATTCGATATGTCCTGAATGTATTTAAAGTAAGCAACATCCATCCATGAATCCTTATTTGGAAAGCATATATCTAATTGCTGAAATTGCTTTCGAAAATGTGCACTTGAATTTGTCTTCCCCAAATTATTGCAGCTTTAACAAAAAAAGTCTGGAAAAGCACCTTGCTTTTAAATCTCTGCTCTCCAAGTCTGAAGGAAACAAAATAGTGCCCCGTTGAAGGCTCCGCAGGCAGGTCCTGGCCCTCCACCAGAGTCACTGTCACCATAGACGTCCACAGCTGGCTCTTCTTTAATGTGTCTGACAGGCGAAAAGTCTGCTGTGGGTTTCCTGACTATGAGAGGAGAACGACCAAATGTAAACAGCAATCACAAAAAATAGAAGGAACTCATATGATTTTACCAAACCAGCAAGTTATAAATACATCACAGATACATTATATGGCATGTTACCAGACTAATTTTTGGGGATTTAAAATTTATTTAGTTTTAATTGGTTTTATAACAGCTGTCACTTTATAACGCCTCTCACTTTAAACAGCTTCAACTGTAATTACTATAATTAGTCATTAATCTATTTGCACTGACAAATGTTTTGCACTTTTGTCCTTCGCACACTGTATATTAAAGTATATTTGTATCTACCTTATTTTGAATGCATCTCTTTATTATTTTTTTAATCATAGTTTAAATTTAATATTATTATTCATTGTTTTATGTTGCACCATGTCGCTGAAGCATATTTCTAATTCCTTCATTGTTCACTGACAATAAAACGTTTTTTGATTCTGATTATGTTTTAATTAGCCTTTTCAAGTGTTAAGATCAGTTAGTACTTTTTCGACCTATTATTATAATGTACATAGGCTTTAATAGATTGTACGTTTTGTTTAACAGAAAACGCATATCACTGGTAGGCCTAAACTGACTAAAGCCTGCAGTAATCCTTTATATAAAATCCTAATAATCTATAGGAGGATAATTAGATGAGCTTCTATTCTGACACAATGCTGCGGGGAGAACTGTTTAACCCTGAATCAATTAAAGCACATCAAATGCACCCTGGTGAACTCTCACACATGTTACACCTCCCCACGCCTATTGCCTAGACACACTTTCAAGTACCAGCATGAGGAATGAGCTAAGAGAATAAGTGGCCATTGCATCAGAAAAATATGTGCATTACTGTAAAATATTATTTCAGTACTGTAAAAAGTACGGAAAAATGGGTACTCAAGTATAAGTACATTTATATGGCTAAGAATGTAATCAGTTACAATGATTGTATTGGTGCCAACTTTATAAAGTATGCAAAATAATAGCTAATTACAACTGCATTGCTAGAATTACCCCAATTACATCTACATGTTTAAAAAAAAATTATGTAAGTACGCAAGAGTACTCAAGAAAGTACAATTATCCAGAAAAGTAGAGTAACACGAGTATTTGTAATTAGTTGCTGTACTTTTCACCCCTGCATATTATAGAGAATTTAAGAGCTATGGTTTTAAAATGGAAACCTATTTATAAGGATTTCAAGGAATTACTTATTAGGGCATACAAATAAATAAACAAACAGAAAGAAAAGAAAAGGGAACTACAGCAGCTAGTAACAAACTACAGCAGTAAGCATGCATCTACCAACTACCAAAGCACAGGCAACAAAGACATATTATACTAGCGCTTTCCCGATCGCTATTTCAACTATGTTATTGTAAAGATTTGCTGCCCTCTTGTGGACAGATTATGCCTAGCTCCTGACCACACTACAGGACCGAGTGAGTTACTTTTCTAATATACTGAGCTATTTTGTATAAGCAAAATATATAGTTTGATATGAATACATTTTGCCTATTATGCCTTACCCTACTGCTGCGTTTTCTGGACCATCGCTGCAACCGTCGCATGCATGTTAGACAGAATGACAGACAGGTTAGTAGGCCGTGGACACAAACACTGGAAAAGCATGCTTCACATATACATAGTGCTGGTTGCTATGGGGATCATGTGTGCTTATTTGAGTATTTGGGAGCATACATTGAATTTCCTGCTGCCTCCATCTCTGAGTGTAAGGGTCATGTCCATAAGCACCAGCCCCATGTCCTCCTCCAGGCTATTCGGGTCGTTCAGTGGCAGGGACATCGTTGTTAGTCTAGGAAAACAGTTGAAAAATAAAATTGATAAGTGGCAAGCTATGTACTTTTAAAGAGCTCATATTATGCTATTGTTTCCTCATCAAAACATACCTGGAGTTACATTTTGTTGCATTTAAACATGTTTAACACACAGCCCTGCATATTTAGACTGAGTTCTTCTCTCAAACAGAAAAACACGTAGATGTAGATAGACTAATAATAAAAGGTTACTTAAACATGTGAAAATGAAACAAAACACAACTCTAGGAATGTTTTTGATGATGTAACAACCTTCTAACATGGCTAAAATCTCACAAGTCAATTTTGAGTAATATAGAACCTTTAAAAGAAAATCTTTTATTTTGTGAACTATGCTACCTACTAGTGCATGTTGGAGAAAATTGAAATAACTCTAGTGTTGTAAAGAGAGGCGTGAGATTGGATGTCTAATAAAACTGATTTACTAAGGAACCTGGAAACTTGAACACATTGGGTATGTGTACATGCATTACAAATATTTGATCATTATCTAAGTTTTGGAGTTATCCGATTATCAAACTGTGCAGGAAAACTATGCAAAAACAAAACAAAGGTGTGACAAAGACAAAGATGAAAGAGAAAATGTTAAAGACTGACTAACACCCTTTACCAGGTGTTGATTATCAGATTTACTTTGTGGATATAAATACATGCCTGTAATATTACCAATCATGTAATAATCAGTGTAATTAAAGGGTGCATCAGTCTGAGAATATTAGGTTGAAGAAAAACTGAACAGGAAGAAACTACAAAATACCAGTCTCATCAATCTGTCACTCCAAAACACTCCTTTAATATATTGTGCTTTGTAGGTTGCTTCAATGTGACTGGCTAAGATAGCACTATTAATGTCCACGTATTATTAAATATATACATTTTGTAAACAAGATTCTCTTTTTACTGCATAGGTACTTACTTGTCCATCTCCAGTTCACTCAGAAGTACACTAGCAGAGCCCATAAAGTCATCAGTTGTTAGATCACGGTCATATACCTGTATTTCAGAACACCACACATTTGTAAGTAATACGTTTTTGCAGTATGTAGTAAAGTTAATTCCAAAACTAATATAAAATCATTTCAAACTTGTAGATGCCTTATAATTGGTTTACCTTAATATAGAGCTTTTGGTTCAGATCTTTGATTGGCATAGAGAAGGTCTCATTCCATAAAGGATTTAGATTTTTATATACAACTTTGCTCTTATAGAACGTCTTTCCGTCCAGTTTAAATTTGACATATGGATCACTTGTACCTGTAAACACAAAAATATGTGTTTAGACCATTTTATTATTTATATCATGTCTGTGCAAGTAAACTATTAACACTAGTGAAGAGCAGTCTACAAAGTGTGATCTTGTGGTTTTTCTGCTTAACTGGCAGGCCACAACATTCTACTAATAACTTGTCATTCTTTGTAAAGTGAAGAATTAACTTGTAATGTTTTGACATATCAATTCGCAACATTCTTTTCTTAACCACTCAGGGCTTATACTTCCACTTTTAACTACACTGCAGAAAAAAATCTTCCTGATCCTTTTTTCTCTGCATTATGTAGATGTGTACAAATAAAACTATGTGGCATAGAGGTAATCCAAACACATACTGAGTGAACATACGTGTGAAGAATAGTGGGTGTGGTGCAGACAGGTTCTAATTTGCAGTGTGGAATCCTGCTCTGGCTACGAATGAGCTGAGCGGCTAACCTGACACTCAGCTGTCTCATGTCCCAGGAGTCAATAACATGAGCTGTAACCAGATATTCACACATGTACAAAAGGCTAAACTCAAAAAGCAAAGCTGCCATGACCTTTCTAAGTAGATATGATTATATATATGATCATATATGTGATTTAATATTTATTACCACAACAAATCAAAGACATGCAGATTTTTATCTATATCTATCTATAGCTATGGTGGTATGAGTGTGGTATGTAAACTAACTTAACAACAGACTTTTACTGCTAGTCAAATATTATTGCATCCAGTTATATGTCTGATTCTACTTTAAGGGTGTACTATGTAACATTTTGGTTGTTCCATCATCTGCTTGTTTCTATGAAGATGTCATTGCTCTGCCTGGAATATTCCACAGTATGACATTAAACAGCTCTATCTTACATTTTTAAAATTACTGGTTGTTTTAATAGCTCAAAAATACCTAGAAAAACAGACATTCTGACCATGAGCATGGTCACCTCTCCACAGATCTAACCTGTAACTTAGTCTGGTTTGGTCTCCATGAAGATTAGAAAGGCTTAATGCCATACTTTGAAACATTACAGACAAAGCAATAACATCTCCATGGAGAAAAGCATTTGACAAGCTCTGAACCAGAAAAGTTACACAATGTACCTTTAAGTAGAAATCTAAGTTTGCATCCAAATTTTAAAAATCCATGCTCATTAAGATGAGGCATGATATGCAGTAATTGAACTGCTTTCTCTTTGTATTATTCTAGACCTTTGACAGCATCTGAATAATTTATCATTTCCCACACAAGACATTCTATCACACTTATAAGATTTAGTGAACTAAGGAAATAAAAGGAAATAAACTGGTTTAAAAAACAGGCATGTGTCCTTGAAACACAAGCACTAATTCACATTGTTGAAGGTTTGACTTTGTCAAATGTAATTTTAAAGTGCCATCAAACATCAAACAACACTTCTTTAAATTGGGAAATTGGGCGATGGTTGAGGTTTCATGTTACACCACAGAATCATCTGAGTGTGGTGTCAGTTGCAAGAGCCATGTCCACATAACCTGCAGTGATGCTTAGTAATGTTTGTTTTGTTTCGCCACAGCCTTTTGCATACACATGCACATAAACACATGTTCAAAATGCCCTATTGTTGGCAGGTTATTGGGTTTTAGTTTTCTGTTTCTGCACACTAGTGTACTGATGTGCACAAAGATAATGAGCCTGTCCATCATCTCAAGTCTATCTGATAAGTGGAGGTGTCAGGGTGAGATAAGGCTGTTACCACATCGGTCTCTGATGACGAGGTTGTGTCCTTCCTTCAGCGTGATGGTCACCAGAAAGGATTTTACAGGCTCAGTGACCTCTGACCCAGCCAGAGTCTCACCGCCCGGCTCAATCTAAACACACATACAAAAGCCAAATAATGAAAACGTCTTCTTATCTGGGCATCACTATTTTGAACTACTACTGAATTGGAAATAAAAAGCACTAAAATATATTCTTTGCTGAACGATGTCCCTTTACTTTTGTTGCATTAATACTGCCATTGCCATTGTCCAAGTCCTTGCTTTATTTTGCAACAGATTTTTAATCTCTATAAAGCTTTTTTTGTGTGAAATTATGTGCTTTAGAGAACAGAGAATCAGGTTAGATTTCCCCCAGTCTAAACCAGGGCAGCTCAAAAACAATAAACAGGCCACACTGAACCACATGTCAGACAGAATGTAGTATTTAGTGGTAGAAGAGCATTTTACATTTGCATTTAAAGAATATATATTCAAAACGCACCCAAGCCATGAACGGAATTTAGACTGCCTAATTATTTCATATAAGCACTTACAGTTTGGGTGTCTCCATTGATGATCATGTCACTGTTCAATTCAGTATTGTCATCTTGCTGCAAGAAGAAAAACAAAGACATTTTAAAAAATTATGTTTTGCTTGTGAAGTCAGTGTTAAAAATGGTGCATGCTGGTTAATCCTTGGAGCATTTATTAGAAATTACTGTATCCTGGGAATTGACTCAGACATAAAACATTGCTCTAGTAACTAAGCAGCTGGTATCAACATTTAGCTACACTGTTTCACACACTATATGGAATCATGTGCACAACTTCAATCTTAACAGAAAGCACTTTAGTGCAAGAAGGCCCACTCAAATCACAGGTCATTACACAAGTTTGGTCAGATTACAGTTCAACTTCTGCTTTGGAAAATTCAAAAAAGTCCATCATTTTGAATCTGTGTAAAAGCAGGGGTATGTTTACTGTGGCATCAATCAGCAAGTCACACAAAACAGGATACTACTCAAATAATGTTCAAGCCACAGCAGTAAAATGTGTTCTAAAATGTCTCCATGAGTCCATATTCATGCATACAAGTCCCCATCACAAAATAGAAAATATGATGAGTAATATCAAACATGTGAAGAGATATAAAGATGTAAAGAGATTTGATCTGGTCAAATAATCTATGTCATGTATGTCATGCTTAATGTGGAGATCATAGTGGCTTATCACAGAGTAGTGCCTTCTGACCCTGGTGATTCTTTTAATGAGCCAGGTACTACTATAAGTAATTTATTATATTTTACACTTCATTTTAAAATTCTCTATGCTGTTTCCCAGCAAATGAAAACAGCTTTGACCTTCACAGCTTGTTCAAATAAAGTTAACATTATCTGTTAAGAACAAAAGTAGACAAATGCAGATTAGCGTGGATGTAGTGTATTTGCCAGATTTTACATGATGAGCACCTGCTGAGAAGACAAGAATTGTATATTATGTGCAGAAAAAAATCTGTTGAGCTGATAGCTTTACATCTATTTGACATTATGAAAAAATTAGCTTTACACTTGATATACAGCAAGTGACTTATGCAATGGCCATCTCTGTGTAGGTTAGCCATCTTTATTGATTCATTCCAGAGTGTGAACTGATAAAATAGACTGAAATAACAGAATAACTTGTACTAGTGCACACAAGCAGCAAGTGCATTGCATGTTCCATATTTACTCTCTAGTTTAGTGCATATCCTTGTTTCTTGTGGGGCTGAGCAGGTGGCAGAGACGTGTCTTGTGACTCTGCAAACACACACACAGTTTATCTAAATCCTCTTGTAAACTATTGATTTTGGGAGGTCTGTAGCATTAAGAAGCGGCAAGTAAAGTTTGAACACTCTTTGCAAATACCACACACCTGACATTTGAGACACTCTTGTGTTTGGATAACCTGTTCCAAAAAATGAACTCTGACAAGATGCCACAGTTTCTAATAAACAAAATTTGCATTTTTAGCTCTTATGTTGTCTAGCTCCGCCAAGTTCTATCGAGTATTAATGAATATGAATATTAATGTAAAGAGGAAAAAGACCATTGGCAAAAGTGCAAATGCATTGACTACACTGGAGTATGTGTAGCTACAATAAATGCAAACATTTAAAATAATGCAAAAAAAAATTAAAAATCAGGCTATGGTGAGAAAAAAAGAAAGTATAAACTGTCAGTCACCACAAAGGATAATCTCTGAGATATCCTAGTAGTTTAGTGGTAGAAATCTACCAGTGTGTGTTAATATAGTATATTATTTAATCATTTCATTTCACTCATTGATTAGCATGTACCTGTTGTGTCTCCCCGGTGGGCTGCTCTGGGCTGTAGATGGTCATGACCTCAGGCAGGCTCAACTCCTCTGGCTCCATGTCTGCAGCACCTCTCAGGTGCCTCTGGCTGAGGTAGCTATCAGAGTTTCTGGAGGAATTCCCATCTGTGCAGTCTGCTGGCACACATAAGACTTGTTCACTCCTCCCTGCTTCCATCCTCAGGCCACTCCCGCCTGCTGCCTGCCTCCTAGCTGTTTTGTTGAGCGGTGTTGAGGGGTTGCTATAGCTGGACATGTCCCTTTTTTGGATGTGTGCGGTGGATGGGAGAGGGACATAGTTGTGTCTAATGTCCGGTACAGAGGAGCTCATGCGGTGGTCTGGGGCCAGCCCAGATTGCAGAGCTCCCTTTTTTGAGGGTGTCTTGTTCCTCAGCAAGTTAGGCAGCAGCGGGTGCACCCTCTGGCGCAGGTGCTTCAAGACCCCTTGCTTTTTGGAGTCCATGATGGAGAGTGCTTCTGTCCAAGTTTAGGAGCTGCACATTCTGGTCATCTGGAAAACAAAAAAAACATCTGGCTGTACTGAAACAGCATATGTAGGATTAATGCTGCCACAAATCCATTATGCAATATTTACACAAAATTATTAAAATTGTGTTTATCTTGTATGCCGATAATTTCACTTTCTTTGTCTATGAATAAATGCATGCATACAGCAAAAATAATGTTGTTGGAAATGATGCAAAAGAAAATCTGCATGAGTGGTTTCCAATATGTTTTTTTCTTGAATACATTGCATTTAACAAATTCAAAAATCATGCCTCCGCGAACCGACCCCGGATAAAGCGGAAGAAAATGGAAAGATGGATGGAAATCAAAGATTAAACAAATTCAAAGTCAAAAATTAAAATACCACAAAATAAGCTACATTGTATGAAAATAGTTGTATTGTTTAGCAAAACTTCTACTTGATTACTTGATACTTGATGATTTTAATCTAAATATAACAAGTTATATTTTTTAAACACTCCCTATATTAGATATCAATGAAGCTCCTAAATTCATTCATTCACCTAAATGGTTTGTTTATGGATGTAGTATTAGTGGTAACAGTGGTGACAAATAAACAAATCTTGGTCTAAACTTAACTGATAAAATGTTTCATGAGCTGAATGAATCACTCAGTTGGTCCACTTGTGCCTCCTGTCATATGTACAACTATTATAATATGTTATTCCAGTTCATATGATACATGGACAGAATATTCAGCTATTTATAACAACAATACAATGGACCTATTTATATCCAATAATTTAACTAACAAAAGAAAAGGTGTGGAAAAGAGAGGAAGCTAAAAAAGAAATGTAAACATCTACTACATGAGTGTAATTATTAACTTGCATTGCCCATAGGAAACAAGAGACAAAGCATGCTTCCTTATGTAGAGGTAACTACTACTCTTCTCATACACCTCACACTTTTTTCATGTCTTTAGTACCGGACTGTTACATAACCTTATGGGTAAAAGCTACAAAGAACAAATAACAAAGCATCAATGTGATCTTCTGCTCCAAGTTTAAGCTGCCGTAGTTCAGTGACCTCAACAATACCAACAACAGCGTTCTAAAACCTGCTTTTAAGATTCAAGCAGCAACATAAGCCTCTTAGTGACATCATACTTTTATTGTCATCAGAGCAGTGTGATTGGTCAGGCTGGGCCGGGCTAACATATTACACAGTAATAATGACAAAGATGAGCTGGCATTCATATGAGTTACAAAACACAATACTAATACACATGTTATTCACCAATTGTCTCGCTGTCACAGAAATGAAGCATAAAGTTACTGCAACAGGTAAATCAAGTTTTTATGTTTTACTCCAAAGGTATGTGAGATGTTGAGAGATGGTCATGTAAATAAAATTCCACACAGTAGGTTGAAAAGGAACCTAGAAAACACTACCGGGTCTATTATATAATGTAAAGGAAAAAAGCATGGGAAAATCTAATGCCTCAGACATCTGCAGCTTACATTCAGAATACTCTGGACTGACCCAAATATAAGGATTAGATAGTGGCTCTCTGAAATGGGCTATAAACAAGTGGGACTGCACTCACAGAAACAAAGAAAATAATAATTATAGTAATTCCAAAAAAAAAACAATGCCAGAAAAGTAACCAGCCATTCAGTAAGAAGATGATGAGAATGGTAAATCTTAAGCAGTAATAAAAAAGGATGAGGACAAATATTTCAATGTCTCTGTCTGTTTCTATGTCTATGTATTTATTTATTTTTTTCTGTTTTTGTTTATTATGACAAAATGTTTAATAAATGTAAATTTTAATTATATCAACCACATGACTTTGATGCCATACAATAAACCCTTAAAGTCATTTATTGTGGCCACATATCTGAATTACACAAATGGTTAAAAGTTGAAGTTTTCGAAGACAAGCATAAGCGGAAGGGTTGTCAAAAGTATCAAAAATTTGATACAAATCAATACTAAAAATAGTATCCAAACTAGATACTCATATGAGCAAGAGCACTAAAAAGTTAAATCAACAGGACAAGAGTCTTCCTGACCACTAATTCACATTTATTGTATGTCTAAATATATAGTTTATCAAGTGGTCCAATAAAAACTATATGCTGTATGATATTTAATTGTTTAACTTGCAGTATGCATGCAGGGTATTTTTTATACATCCCTCTGTGAGTGTGAAACTTTAAATTCTGCTTTGAGGCAGGAGTGTTAAAATGATGTAGCACTTCTAACTGAAGGATGAGTGTTAAAATACTACGCAGTTTTTACTGACATTGTTCATAGTGGAAACTTGGAGGAAGTAAAGTACACATTTGCAGTATAAGATGAAGAACACTGAGCAGCTGCCTAATGATGACCCTTGAAATTAATAATTAACTTCTAATCATCACATTAACCAGGTCTCTAACATGGCAACACCTTTAATGGGCTTTTTATCTGGAAATATTTTGGGTTAAAGCCTTTACCAATGCAATATCAAATCTTAAATGAATGACCGACATTAGATTTTTTACACGCTATCACACCATTTTATAGCCCTGCAATGTTTAATAGAGATGACAGGGTGAATGAAAATGAAAGAGCATGGTACGAGTAAGTAATATAACTACTCAGCTTTGACATGTAGAGATTCACTTTGGATATTTCTATACATTTCAGTGAAAAATAATTTATGTAAAAATTCTGAAACCTGTACTGTTGCAATTGTATTTTACAAACTAAATATTTTGGTAACATTTTACTACACAGATATAGCATGGTAACAGGATAGAAATAGTCATAAATAGGTAATTACATACAAAAATCACACAATTAATCATTTAATGTTGTACTTTGTGGAAAAGGTTATGTGAGAATTAAATATGAAAATCCAATACATTATTTTTAGTTTTTAAGTTACAAATATCTTGTTTTCTGCTGGTACGATGAAGAGGAATGGACTACTTTTTTAAAATCAATAATTAATTTTGTATTTTGTTGTTGGTGTAAAATGAGCAGTTCATTGTAATTCCATATCTACTGAATAAAACAAATGGGAAAATAAATGTAAAACTTGGAAAGAAAGTAATTTGAAGGGTATAATTCTGTAACGAGAATAGACAAAGTTGCCTAAAGTTGGCCTATAGAAACACAGCTGCAAAATACATTCAACCCTCTTCCCTCAGTTACTAAGCTATTACCTGCTAACCTGTGGTCCAGAGCAGTGAGGATGCTGAGGGTTATAAACAAACAGAGTAGAAGTGAAGGCTTCTCAAGTCACGGAAACCCACGAGACTGTCTGGGTCTCCGCTGACACCCCTGTCCGGAGGCCCTGGTCCCTAGGCCATGGTCTGCATCACGTTTCACTCGTTTATCTGGTCCTTGTGCACTGAGCTGGTCTGTTAGGGATACAGCAATACAACAGAAGGACACAGATCAAAGGTTAGAGCGCAAAGCAAACAGCACTATGTACCTACTGTAAATCTATTATGATCATCAGGCATCAGTGTGACGCATGGAATAAGTAGTGTCAGGCCTGCCACAATAAAAAGTTTTCAAGTGTCATACAGTGCTTTTGAAAATATAGCAAAAAGTGATTATTATCAGTTAAAAATGTATAGATTTTTAGTGGGATAAATATTAGAGTAGTTAGAAAAAGCCAATTAGAGCAAATAAAATATAGGCAGAAAAATAACAATCAGCTGCTATGCTAATTATCATAATAGTAGTGTCCAAGTAAAGTCCAAATACTATACAGTGATTTAACATCTAACATTATATGTCTGTGAACTCAAAAAGTTGACAGAATTATTTTTTTTTCTTTTGCTATCTAACATCACAGTAGAAATGGTAATAAAGTTACCATGTATGTGTTTACATGCAGGAAAACACATTAATTATACGATTTCTACAATGCAGCTCTGTAATCAGTTAGCTTTATAGCCTAATATTTTGGTGCAATTGTGGCATTCTTTCCATTATAAGACGTTTGTTTAATCCACAATGCTGCAACAGGCTGGCACATGTAGAAGGAGCAGCTTATGCCAACTTTATTACATAAAAAATGTACAAACATCCAGGAAGAACTAGAGTTTACATAAAAAGACAGATTCCCAAAATGACACATGTTGAACTGAAAAGTCACATAGCATATGAATATTATACAAACTATATTATTGGTATAGTGGTATAATGGTGACTATATTTAGGGGTTTGAATAATAGCAATTGCAAAAAATCAGACTGTTGGATTTACTTCACCTTTACTTGCTTACGTTTTGGTCAAAAAGAAAGTTGAGCAACTATGTTCCAACTGTGTCATGACAGAAGAAGAGTAGTCATTTCCTGAAAGCTGGGGCTTGTGGTTAGTTCTGATAGATGGAGGTGCAGAACTATCACAACGTGGGAAAAGACGTAATAAGTCAGACTGCATAACTAACTTATTAGTCTAACTTTAGTTTGCTTGAGCTGTAGATTTAGACTATATTGTTGTGGCATAAATAGGCTATGAATGAAAACAAGGATTTATGACTAGTTCTATCGTTAGGCTTATTTGTTGTAAGTTGACACACATCACAGATGTAGGTACAAGTGCCTACACCCATTATTAACATAACTGTCTGCTGCAGCACGTTGTTAAAAGTAGTGTCTTTAGCGTATAGTGTATATATATATATGTATATATATACACAGAAATCTAACGCACACTTTTGTACTACGGTCTATTAAATACACCGATGATAAACAGCAGGGCTTTTAGGCGCAAGTTAAGAATTAAGAATAAAGTTAAGAAGCCTGATTTTTTTTTCCCCAGCACACAAAAATAGGGAAGGGCACGTAGCCTACCTGTCCACTAGGGGAAGGTGAGAGCATGTCCGATAAAGGGAGCAATTTACGTCAAGGGAGACGCTCAACTAAAATAAAAGTCTCTCCAACGCATTTACCTTGGAATGATGACTAAAGCTCCACATGTTAAACTGCTATCAGCCTCCCGTCGCCACCATCGTGTCTGTTTAATAGTCCCACATACACGATACCGTCAGAGCAGAAGACTCGGCTGAGGCAGACTTCCTCCTCCTCTTCTCCACACGGTGCATCGGATGTCGTCAAGTTACACGCGCTGTAACGTGCCCCACGTGGAGACCAGAAATGTCAGCTCTCCAAAATAAAAGGACTAGAGGGGTTTCCGTTTAGTGAATACTGTTACCACTTTCATCCCAAGCTATACAAGTTGTAATGCGTAATTTTACTAGGGTGGCCAGATTTTAAAATAAAAAACTAGGACACTCTCGGTGGGAGCGTGCCTATGTTCCCTCAGCCTTATTTTTCCACATTTCTAAGGTCATTTTTTTCTTTCCAAAATTAGGCCCAATGTTCCCCCATTTCCTTTATCACCAATTTGCATCAGATTTTATCCAGCAGCAGTAGACTACAAATGTAATGTAGAGGTTATGGTGCAAAAGACCCTAGGTTTAAATTATTCTGAATCATCCCTTTAAATGCTGTATAAAAATAAAAACAACTTGATTTAGAGTTTATTTTTGAGAAAAATCTTAGAAATAGGGGAACTTAGGGCTGAGGGAATACTGGGCTGACACCCTCTTTCAGTTAGGGGTGGTTAGTAATAAAATTGTAAAATGAGAAACAAACAACATTACAGGAGGGAGAGATAGGATAGGAATAATATCTAGGGTGATCAGACGTCCCCATTTCCTCAGGACAGTCCCAGTTTTGAGCCGTTTGTCCCTTGATTTGTCCCAGTTTTATATAAGAAATGCCCTGGTGTCCCTATTTTTGTCCCTATTTATTAAAAATAGGGACACCAGGGACATCTATAAACACATGCTAGGCGTGAATGGGCCGAGTGCAGAACAATTTTCTTTAATTACGCAGTCGTTTCACAATTTTATTATTACCACCCACCACAACTGGGGGTGTCCCAGCTTTTTTATTTTGAAAACCTGGTCATTCTAATATCTCCAAGGAGTCAAGCAGTTGCAGGTCCTCCACCAGAAAAGTTACATAATGCACCTTTTATTATTTATTTTAGATTAATGACCCAAATTGAAAAACATGATTAATATCCAGACTTTTTAATAACCATGTATTTGTAATAAGCATGTGTGGTTTGGGTACATCTGGGGGACCATGATGTTATATCCAAGGGTCAGAAATTGCCCTTGTATCCAAAAAGTCTCCATCATTCAGGACAGGGAGGCACAATCTGAACCATGACGTAAGCCTAGATAACCTACTGAACTTATTCAGGAGTTGGGTCTGTGTAATTCAAATGACCTAATAAATTAAATCAATTGTTGTACATATTTATAACAGATATAATCCACATTTTTTGAAACTAAATGTTAAATTTTCTGAGTTTCATTCTGATTTTACTGGGATTTTTTTTTATTGTTAGGCCTTAATACATTTCTAATTTGATTTTGTATTATGTTCTATGTTTGTGTTTAGTTTTTATTCATTTGCCACAGTTGTTTGTTTTCATCATCTAGGCTATTATGTTATGTATGCTCTTAAGTCTAGATTTGTGTGTGTGTGTGTGGATGTTCATCAACTGAGGTGGTCTCATACTCTCACCAGCCCTCATCAGAAGAGGGCATCAGACTAATCCCACCTTTAAAATTACTACACATTTGCAGCACTTGCTCAAAGACAGCTTTTGGAAGATGTGCTCTCTTTAAAGTGGCATTGATAAGATCTTACTTTGAAATGTACCATGTTCAGGTAGGCTTATTGAGTCTCTTTCCTCCTCAATGGAAACTGTGTTGCTTTATCTACTGATCATGGTACAGCTTTTCACTTCCCTTTTGTGTAGTCCAGGTTGTTTTCATATATAAATTTGATAAGGCAACTGTCAAAATATTGGCAATATGATGTGGGACTACAGCAGAAAAGAACATCAAACCAGTTAAATCAAAAGTGATATATATTAAGGATACTTTATACAAACCAATAAGGACATTTGAAATACAAATACAGAGAAAGAGTGCATGGCCTTATGTTTAAAACCAACAACAACATAGTTCTATTGTATACTATTAGTTATAAATTATTTTCTATGTTCATACAAAATACAAAAAAACAAAAAAAGAAAGAAAAAGCACAGATGACATGATATTAAATAACCTTGTGATGAGTAAGAAAATTAAAGAAATATTGCTTTTATTCCAAGTTCCAAGCCCTGAGATATGCAACAAATTGAGCACTTGGCGCCATCTATTAGGGAAATCTAAAAGTACATTGTAACATTTCCTTGTTTTGATTATTAATTCTTGGATTGTAGCTTCACTTGGTGCCAGTTTCCTCAAAGGTTTAATATATGATTATTTTGGTATGTTCAAGTTGTTTAACCTTGGCCTTGGTCATTGTCCAACATCTGAAAACAGGTTTAATTTAACAGCAAATGTCTTTGATTTGGATCAGGCCCTTAGGTCACCCAACTGTCCAACCGCATGCGTTTGAAAGTGGGGCTCTCCCTGCCCTCTGCACGGCTCATGTGTCCAACAGGAAGTGAGTGGAAGTCTGCTCTGTGTGGGTGCTCATCACGGTCACTGGTACCACCCTCTTGGGAGCTGCAGGAGGAGCCAATGCTGTCTGTGGGTGACCTGCCCACCTCTGCCTGAACAGAGGAGGAGTTAGTGGAGTGAGGGGGAGGGGCCACTCTGTGAGACACACCCATGTATCTGGACTGGTTTAGGTGGTCGCGAGGTGGGGACAGCGGCTCAGCTTTTATGTTGATGTTGTGGTTTGAATTGATGGTCAAACTGGAACCTGCTGAACTAGGGACAGACAAATGCACAGGATGAACTTCTATTAGCTGTATTCACAGTGCAACTAGTAAATGAAGTGATTTTATACTAATGTAAAACATGTAAAAGTGGCTGAATGAATAAGAGCACAATGTCTTAACTTTGTGCCACACCTTCACTGTAGTGGGTGTTTGTGTCTTTACTATCCTTAGCCCAAACCTCTGATTCTGCCGCATTTACCTCAGAGAGTTTAGCTGGTGTTGCTGCCATGTTGCCATGGAGCCCAGAGAAGGGCCTGAAGGGGAGGAGAAGCCTGACAACTGAGGATAATCTGTCACAGCAACACAAACAAACAACATTAAGGGTATTCATGTGCACAGCTCATTTGTATTTGGAAACACATAGGTTGATAAAAACAACAGCAGCCCTACGTCTATTTACCATTGTTATAGGCGGAGCTGCTCCCTGAGTAGACCAGGCTCTGGTGCAGGCTGGGAGTTGTCATGGAGACCACAGGGGTGGACAGTGGCTGACTGGACTGTCTATGATTATTCTGTCACATCAGGGAAAGATCTCATTTAATTTTAATTATTTATTAGAAGGAGATAGCCAACCTTGTTCTGTAATAAAGTGAATACTATACAGAGTTTTCAAAATAAAAACAACCGAAAGTATATTAGAAAACTCTAAAACATATGTGTTGAAAAAGAAAGAAAGTTAGCAGGAGTTGGTTTATTGTGGGTGATAAATGCAATGCACATTTCAGCCACATGGTGTCAGCTATGTCGTAGTTGTTTTGAATTCAGGAATTGTTCTGAAGGAAAGCTTTACTTTAGAGGAGATATATTTATCACAGTGTATATGGCATTACATACAACTTAATAATTTGTCTCATGAACCATGCTCTCAGGCAAACAGCTTGATACCAGCCTTATTGTTCAATAAAGTGATGTAGCCTACACGTTTCAATGCATGTTTCCTGTGTCCTGTGGATGCTAGATGTAGGTTTTAGAATACATGTCTGGTGATTGTGTTTTATATTTAGACCAAAATATCATTTTTACAAAATGGTTTCAAGTTTTGCAGACAAAGTGTGATTTTTCATTCCAAGTGTTTGGTGACTTGACTGAATAGTTTAGCAAATTGTGCAAAAGTTCTGACACATTTAAGGGAAATGTGCCAAAACAGTCAGGAAGTGAGAATTTTCCCACTTTGGATCAAAACCAGTGTTTGATTAATGTGTAATTAATGAATACCTCGCATAGGACATGTACTGTTTTTAAACGCCTTGCAGTTCAGTGTTTGTTAAAGACAGATTGTTAGCTGCTTCAAGTGTCTTGTTCCTCTTTAGCAGTTGGTGTTTTAGTGTGACAAGTCAGAAATGACATCACCCTGAATGAGATCATTAGCACTAGACTCTGTGGAATAACTCGTGCTTGTGTGCCAAAACATGTCCTTTAAGCTATCACTAAGCTAACGCTGTCATGTTTCTCCTCTATTTTCTTCTCAAAATCAACAGCACTACCCCCTTCATCCTGTACGATTCTTGTAAACCTTCTTAGAAGAAAGGGTCTTGTATGTTTTTGTAAAGGACCCACCCCATTGTACTCCCTTGTCTACAAACACACACACATGCACACATATGCACAAAAGAGGAAGTGCAGTTTCAGAATGAACACAACAACTACACTCTGACCACAGACAACCCACAAACCCATCATCGCAATGGTTTTACACATTGACCCTTGCTAGTATGAACCCAAATGTGCAAAATATTATAATTCTAATAATTGTTCGCTAGTAGATTTGTGAAATTTATCAAGTCAAATTGAAAACTGAACGCCTTTTAACAACTCTAATCACACTGGCAAACCCACCAAGAGTCTGATGCAGATGGCCGTACACTAATTATAAAAAAGTTGCCAAACAAACTAATTATGCGTTTTCCATCACAGACTGTTCATTATGTGCTGTTCAAGAACATGTTTTCAAATAGTTCTGGATAATACAATGCTGCGCTCAACGACTATGATTTTCCTCACTGATGTTATGCTAGCTGTCTGAACAACTGATGCTGATTTAATGTGCATAAACTGTTAGTTTTCTGTTAGCCACAATTTATGTTTGTGTTTACTGGGCCTGACTATCATGTTTCAGACCTCTACAATCTGATATGCTGTGAAATGCATGTAATTTCGAAGTTCATATTTCAGTCTCCTTCAATGCTCTTGCATTTGTTTGTTTGCACTATGAACGGAATCCTACCTTTTACACATAAATTGCTGATCTAATCAGTATAATTTTTTTCCCCTAAAATGGTTTGTCTTTGCAATAAGAATAAAAGGAAAGAGAAAATAAGTTAAGTGTGTGTGTGTGTGTGTGTGTGTGTGTGTGTGTGTGTGTGTGTGTGTATGTGTGTGTGTGTGTGTGTGTGTGTGTGTGTGTGTGTGTGTGTGTGTGTGTGTGTGTGTGTGTGTGTGTGTGTGTGTGTGTGTGTGTGCGTGCGTGCGTGTGTGTTTTTCTACCTGTGTCATGTTTTTGGACTGGGGGATGACAACTCTCAGATCTGTCTTGCTTTTGGATGAAGATGTTGGGGGAGATTTGGGTGCCATGATCTTCCCCATGCTGCTGCCACTGGATGGACTTAAAAAACCATTCACTAACAGGAAAAAAAAAATCAAGAAATACAAGATTAGACTGGATATGTTTTTACTGTAATATCTGTATGAAAAAATATAGGGCTATGCCAGAGTTCAGCCAAAAATTTCACGTTTTACTTCTGTTTTATTTTGACCTAACAGGAAACTGCACAATAAAAATAGCAGTGAACCTTTTGGCAGTGTTTGAGAGAAGGAAAAAGTGGTTATATATAATAAAAGAGAATGAATAATTGATTTGATGCTCTTGCGTTTGACATTACATAACTGCAGTGTTCATATCTGAGACACATACTCGCTGTGTGCCTGAGTGGGCTACTTCAGGGTATGCTAGTTTAGTTTAAACTCACTAAAGATCAAGACAATGGTCCCTGTGCAATAAATTGTGGATGCCGTTTCCTGACAGGCTGGTGCTGTGGTGTTGAAGGATGAGTCAAATGTACTTATGGGTCCATTAAGCAAAACTTCACCTTAAAGGCCCATATTACAGTTATAATGTTGTTTCCTCATCAAAAACAAGATAGTACACACTACTCTCTTAAATACACACCAATATTACCGGATCCATTATGCAAGGTAAGGTCTGAGCTTCCCTGGTGACCACCTAAAATTCAGTAGAGAGCAGTCAGTCAGTTCAAAGCAGTGGTTTGAGTGGTTTGCAGAGTTACCAGTGAAATGCTAAGGCCCACCTGTGGGTCCAGTGCTGGGAGGTCTCTGGGGCGAGCTGTTCCTCTGGAGCTGGCTGTGAGCGGCTGTGAGGAGGCCGCTGTCCGACAGAGCTGAGGCTGCCCCCACACTGCTGCTGTAGGGTACACCGTGCATGAAGACTGGGGGAGCGTGACCTGCGGACTACAGATAATAGACTCAATAAAGGCGACATGTTAAATGGTAAGTGGGTATATATATATATATACGTGTATATAGTGCTTTTTCACCTTCAAGGCACTCAAAGCAATTTACATCAAGGAACCACTCACCCATTCACATACACATTCACACACCAGTGGGGGTTAAGTGTCTTGCCCAAGGACACAATGACAGTATTGAACTGTGGGGGCTGGAATCACAACATGTGTCTCAGTGGATCTTACCACTCAACTAATGATGTTTATGTTGAACGTGTGACTCGAACCGCTAACCTTTGGATCAGAGGACAACCAACTCTACCAACTGAACTACAGTCATGTTATGCTAAGTCAACTTTTTAAGACATTTGAATTATGTTTTAACAGTGTTCCCTCATCATTAGCTTACTCAAAGTTGCATTTCAATTGATTCATGTATGTTTGAGTAATCCTGCATTGTCCTGCATTTCAAGGCTTGAGTGATGAGAAAATTTCTGTTTTCATCTACCCCCTATCTCCTCCCACTTGCCCAGAATATCTTGCATTTGTTCAGAAAATTTTAATACCGGGTTGTGTATGATGTGCTGCCATAAAACACACACGCAAATCCACTGCTTGCTTCATTGAAATGCCACTATGAATCATGCTGTTTTAAATCAATATTGTGGTTTACAATGAACTAAATGTAAAATAACGATCTACATGTGTTAGAGTTATGACTGAGTACTAGAAAAAAACACAATATATCTTCTTTAAAATACATTCTGCAAAACCGCAAGCAATCAAGCAACTTACAATTTTGTGTGTCCTCATCATGTGGTCAAACTCCTCATTTATCTTCTTGTACTTTTCCTCTGTGCTTGGAGTGAGTACGTAGGAGGAGTCTGCATCCGGACTGTCACAACCGCGGTGCTCCTTCTTGTTCAGGGCCTACAAATTACACAGGGATATACTGGAATTGATATTTTACCCATGAAATCTGTATATTTTTCAAATGCACAAGTAAAACAAGATCACACAATAAGTGACATTTTCTCATCATTTAGCAGGCAGGAAAAAACAATAACAATGGCTTAAAGGGCCCATTTTATGATCTTTGCTATAATGTTGTTCCCTTACCAAAAACATACCTGGAGTTGTGTTTTGTTTCATTCATTTAACACACAAACCCTGCATATTTAGACTAGCTTCTTCTCTCAAATGAAAACGCTCTGTTCCACCTTGTGAACTGTGTTTTAAATCTCCAAACACCTTCACTAGAATCATTTGGATGATTTCACTTGTGGAATTGCCAATGTGTACTGAACTAAAGGTAAAAAGCTGTTAACTTGAAACTACCATTATGACATCGCAACAGTGGAACAGAGCGTTTTGGCTTTGGAGATGTAGGCAAACTAATAATAAAGGATTACTCAAACAGGTGGGAATAACACAACTTTGGGTATGTTTTTGAGGAGTTAGCAACAATATAACATGACTTAACACTCACAAGAATCAATTTTGTGTAACTTTAAATTCCACTTAAAAATAAAAGGAGGCTACTGTTTTGTCAGAGTCTAGTATGCTGAAATTTAATGCATGGGCAGACTAAAATGTAGAAATCAAAACAATAAAATAGAGGTAGATATATATACAGTTCACAACTGTATTAACTTCTAACAATGCATCATATTACATCTTTAACCAGGAATCTCAAAAGATGAAATATGCACTGAAAGCTTCTATAATGTTTCTCAAATGTTCACTTGATTTGAGCCAAGAAAGGGATTTGGCAATGTCACACTGAGTATTACATTGTTTATAAAATATACTAGAGGCTGGATGGATGAATGTTGATTTAAGGCACCTGAAGATTGGTGGGGCCGTTGCTGTACAAATCAAATCATGCTAACGTCATGTGAGCCTGGCCTCTGACAACACTCCTCTGGTATCCATCATGTCATCTCTTTTTCTCATTACATTACACGTCATAGAGTCACATAGCCAGATGGACAGTCAGGCCAGTGCACAAGCAGGGCTGAAGGATTTGGGAAATAATATCAAGTTGCAATTTTTCTGACAAGCACTGTGATAAGATTTGCGTTTTATGTTTTAATAATAGGATTCTGGTCAAAGGTCACATTTTAAACGCGTCCAAGAGAACTGACAAAAAGACTGAAATATGAAATGACTAATACAAGAATCACATTTCTGAACTAGGCTTGTCATGATAACAAATTTTGAAGCACGATATGTTGGTACAGAGATATTCTGCGAAATTGAAAGATAATCCCAGTAAATCATTTTTGAATAGATGGTATCATTAAAGACTCTATATATATATATATCTATATATATATATATATATTAGTGCTGTCATGCGATTAAAAAAATTGAGAGATTAATTAATTATGATCTGTAATTAATTAATCTAATTAATCTCATTTTAATCTCACCTAAAAATTGCTGAGAAAAGCCTTCAATTTGAGGTATTTTCATTTAAATTCATTTTTACATTATTGTGGCAGATCAAAAGACTGATCTAGATTTTAAAAAGTGACTTTATAAAGTAATTTATTGTTTAACAAATCTCTCCAAATTGGTTGTTGAGCCCAAGTCTCCATGAATAAGAAACTGTTTGCTGTAAAGAAGCAAAGACGAGGAAATCTGAACATAATAACTTTTGTCTACTTAAAGACAATAAAAAGTCCAGTCTTTCCTTAACCATACTAAAAATATTATTGATAGAGAAATGCTTTATATATGAGATCACTGGTTTTAGTCCTTGTTTTAGTCCTGGTTTAGACCTGGTTTAGACCTGGTTTTAGTCTGGTTTTAGTTCTGGTTTTAGTTCTGGTTTTGTCCTGGTTTAGTTCTGGACTGGATTAGTCCTGGTTTTAGTCTTGGTGTTAGTTCTGGTTTAGAGGCTCACAGGAGGAAGCGCGGTTTACGCAGCGTAGCGAGAAAACACGATCCTCACGGCAGCACGTCGGTGTCCGCGCAGTAACTACGGAAGGAAACGTGGTCCGCGCGTTCTCAGGTTAATGACGATGATGAAGGTGTGTGTTTGTGTTTGTGTTTGTGTGTGTTTGTGTGCGTGTCCCCTCATGTGGCAGGTCACTATAGGACAGTAGTGCAGACATCATGAGCCTATGCAGGTTGTTTTCACCAGTGACATTTAAGTTGTAGGCGATTTTATATGTTATTTTCTTTTATATTTCACGTCGGGAGAATAATTTCCAAGACACGAATGTGTTTTTACCTGTGCACCTGTTCTACTGGCTTTTCGACCTCGTCAATTGTGTGACTGACGCCACAAACGTGAACATGACGTTTACATCGCTCTTACTGCGCGCGTTTTGTGTGGGTTTCCGGCAATGAGTGGAATTACCGAAATAAAAAAATGTATAAATGTGTTTTTGTGTGCAACAACACATAAAAACAGGTTTTATAATAAAGCAACTCGCATACAGAAACACTAAAGTTAGAGATTAAAAATGAGATTAACGCGATTAAAAAACATAACACGCTAAATATGACTGTAATTAATTAATCGCAATTAACGCGATAATTTTGACACCCCTAATATATATATATATATATATATATATATATATATATATATATATATATATATATATATATATATACACACACACACACACACACACACACATATATATATATATATATACATATACATATATATATACACATACACATACACACACACACATATATATATATATATATATGTGTGTATGTGTATATATATATATATATATACACACATACACGCGCACGCACACACACACACACAAAGAGACACTATAATGTACTTAACTGTTTACTGAATATTATGTTGATGAAATATTGTAAATTGTAGAAATTAAATTAAAATTAAAATAAGCTTTGTTCCTTCCTATGATGGAAATTTATAGTGTGGAAAGATTTCTCTCATTCTGTCTTTGTGTAAATGAATGTGATTTCTACCTGAGACCAGACCAGTCATTGACGTGTAAAGGCTCAGCAAACATAAACTGTCCCCAACTTACAGGAAACTGTGTGTTGTCCCCAAATGTATGTTAAGTTGATTAGCATCAGCCTGTGAGACAAGTGTCACTCTGTGCTGATATGTATGTAACTTGAATTTCTGTATAATACTCAGAGCTCAAATGCTCTGGGGCAGAGACTAGGGGAGAGAGATTTGGGCAAATGTGGTAGGGACATACTGCTGGTGAGGAGAGGCTGTTGGTCTCTGGCCAGGGCAGGCCTAGGCCCTGTCCATATCTGGTGTAACAAGAACAAACCTTTGACTGTATTCCAAAAACTCATCAGACTTCGCAAATGGATTAATTATTTATCATCAAGAGAAATCTTTTCCACAACACATCCTACTCCTTTTTGAACATTTTGAAAGTATTGTGCTTCTATAAATGTTTAAATATTCAAATAATTCTAGTAACTTTATTATAGGTCAATAATTAGCAATAGAAATAGAAGTTAGTAATGCAAACTTTTGAAATGTACACACAATAAATTATTAAGCTCCTAAATATATTGTTCCAGCTTTCATATATTGAACAATAAGTCGATGTAGTACTTATTGCAACAGATATTTATGGAGGAAAACTGCAGCCTTTGCTAACTGTGTCCATTCAAATTGCAAATTCAACTTGATTCTGATTGACTGATTTGATTAATCTTGCAGCCCTAGCACACAGCCTACTACAGTTTGAACATACTTATGCTTATCTCTATGGTCCTCCCAACAGTGTCACTTAGACCGACAAACTACCAAACTACTCATTCGCCTATTGTAATGTTTTGTTGATGACCAAAGCCTTAATAATAATATGCATAAAATTAGGGCGGGTCAAATCTGATGCACTGGAAAAAATACCAATGCCAAATTTTCTTCAGACGCACTCAAAATCTTTGGAAAGCCCTTTGATATCACCAATACTGAACTGACATGCCACTCATCCCTATGGAAAAGGTATATATAATGTCTTGAATATTAGCATTAGATTAAAGGTCCTACATTACACAAACTTGACTCTTGTGAGCTTTAAGCCATGTTAGAACATTGTTACGTCCTCAAAAACACACCCGTAGTTGTGTTTTATTTCATTCATACATGTTTGCGTTATCCTTTATTAGTCTGTCTACATCTCTAAATTATCCAAATGACTCTAGTGAAGATGTATGAAATCTAAAAACACAGTGGAGCAATTCCTGTTTTATTACATGACATCACAAGTTGGAAGTGTGTTTTCTATTTGAGAAACATAGATCAGAAATAGCGTTATGTAGATAGATACAGATTTAGACACTGACAAATTCTCATACATCAGCCACATTTGTTTAGCTTGTTCTTGAAACAGTTGCTAACCCTATGAAAGAACATCATTTGGTGTCTTCACTTGATGTAGAGTCTATTTCAAACAGACCTTCTATATCAATGTTTTAGACAGTAGAATAATCCAGATGATCCTAACTGGAATGTGTTGCAACAAAGGAGAGGTGGGTAGACAATTTATGCTCGGAAAACACATCATAAATATTCAATCTAGACAAACTTCAAAGCAAATAGCATCACTGAGCAGTTTAATGACTCAGCCATGGTTCTTAATGCTGTCAGGGGAAATGGGCGGAGAGGGCCACGCGGGGGAGAGGACTACGCACTTGTGTAGCTCAGCATTGGGAGATTGTGAGTGTACACAGTCTCCTATTGACATGTAAACTCTGCCTGACCCATCATCAACAGGGAGGACAGCCTTTGCTAATCACTTGTAATGACTTCTATATTTGTATGTAACATAGACTAGATCAAATAAGAGTGCATTGTCTTTGGAGAGTATTTATTTATGTTTTTTTCCTTATCAGGGTTCAATAGAGGACATGCAGCCTAGAGGGATTTGATGCAAGTTCCACAGGCTATTTGTGGCCCAACACATGCTGTTTCTAACCACTACATCATGTCTGGCCATGCACAGCTATCTTTAAGTGGCTGTGAGGGGCTGAGAGAGTGAGGGTCTCCTTATCAGCTCAAATGTCAAAGTGGGCTTAACTGGATCTGCCAGGGCATCTGGATGTGTGCCACCACTGCTACAATAACTGTGGCAACACATGGCTATGAAGTATGTTACTGTTAGAACTGGAAGATTTCAAAGAATGGCTGGATTTGAAATTTTTCTTGTAATAGAGTGAGTTTAAAACAAATGATCAGATTCACCGTTTGTGAATTTACCTTTTGGATATTTCAAGGCCAAGTACAATGTAAACAACAGACATTTCACATTCTAGAACCTGAAAACCACCCAAACAATTTTCACCTCGCAGTGTTTTATCCAGACAGCAATTGTAGACCAGTGGACAGGTTTAGATGAAATCTGTTCAACTTTTTAAAGTGTGGGATTAAACTAGACTAAACCAAAGATTCAAATGATGCTTTGTGTCTGAAGTGAAGTTTTCACTTTTAGTTACAATGTAATTCATCTTTGTGCTCGGCAGGCAAATGAGGAACGCTGCATATCTTGGACTGCTGCTCTGTTGTTACTGAAACTCAACTCTGCTGCACACAAAGCCGTCTCATTATTATGACAAAAGCAATCTGTCAGGAGAACAGAGCAGGACTGACCAGTACAGTCAGGCTGTTTCCCCAGGAGGCCTTTCTATGTGTACGTATGGTAAATAAAACAAACAAGGTGTCCAGATGCTCCCAAGGACTGAAGAAGCATACTTTACAAGTGTGAACTGCCATGAACTGTACAGGCATACCCCACACGCCCAGTGATGTTTGTCAGTGTACATCTCTGAGTGATGATCTTATCTGTCTAAATAAGGATTAAATATGGCAGTACGCTTGTTGCAGATCATTGAACTAAAAGGAGCTACACACTTGGAGGTTTAAACTGAAAATAAGACAGAGACTTATTGTGTGGTCTATCGTAGCATCAGGAGATCACAACATATTCATTTCATGCAACCACAAAGAATGTGTAGAAACTTTCTGTCTGACATCTTTGGCTTGCAAACTCTGTGAATATCAACAAGGTGTTGCTTTACAAATAGGCAAATGTGCAGCACTAATGTTGCAAATAAACTGACCAACATGTAAAAAGCCCTCTGCCAATGCAGGCTTTGTTTTAAGCTGCTTGTCAGACTGCGTGATAATTGTGAGAACAAGCAAACAAAGATCTTAGGCAAATGACATTTGTTGTGCTGAGATGACACAGGTGTCTGCCTGTGGTTAGCAGGGGGAGCTCGAGTCTGCTGTTTGCCGTAATATGGACTGTCTCTGTGGGAAAGAGGGAGAATCAAATCAGGCCATTCAACTAAGAAAACAACTAAAACAACCACGAGGAGCTCTTCCCATGTGTGTGTGTTTGTTTTTCAGTCATTAATGCTTATGTGGTGGAGGGGAAGGCTGGAGCTTATCACACCAGTTAGTAAGGGTCCAACTGCCAAAAAATACTACCTCTGGCTACAAAGGGTAGGTCGAGGAAAAAGTCATATTTTCTTTGAACCACAGATCTTCAAGTTCCAGTCTGTTTAGATTCCTAATACTTGCCACTGTTTGGTGTGTTTATAGAATATAGAAGATTTATACCTTGGCTTGTATGTGACAGTTAATGTATGTCATGGCAAAATCCAGCAAAGTTTCTGTGAACAAAATTTGCTCTCCATTTCATGAAAGGGAGCATTTCTTTTTTTGCACTTGGCACTACTTCAGACTGTATGCACTGTACATGCGGTGACGGAGGGCCAGTCTTTTCAGCAATGTGTAGAACACACACATTAGAGGCTTACATAAACAGGCACAAAGTGAGTCACGATGACCATTCAATTTAATGGCAGCAGCAGAGGGGATGAGTATGTGCTGTGCGAGACAGGAGCGTGCTGCTAAGGGACCATGATGCAACAGCACTGATTACACTGCAGAAAGGTCGGAGGTTCAAAATGGAGGGTGAGGTTTGAGAAACAAAAGGGTGTTGTTTTTTGTTCAAAGTAGCAGCATGTATTTTCACTCCAGCTCTGAAGATGATATAGCAATCCAACCATCTCACAGAAAGACTTCAAGCTGCTACCACTGGCTAATCTCGGTATGATCCTATTGGAGTTAGCTCATAGTAAACATTGACACAGGCTTTGGTGGCTTACCTCCACAATGTCTGAGTTGGTCCTGCTTTCGTGTGGCTCATTGTACTCAGTGTATTTGAGCAGAACTTTGTCCATGTCTGTGCTGGCGTACTGGAAGAGCTTGTTGGAGCTGTTGAAGATGATCAGGGCAATCTCACAGTCACAGAGAACGCTCAGCTCGTAGGCTTTCTTCATCAGACCGAACTTTCTTTTCATAAATGTCACCTGAAATATACATGGAAATTAAAAACAAATAAAGACAAGATATATACAGTTACATCTATTTACACATTGCATTCTAGAGTTGTCATTTGTGTATTGTATTGCATTTGTGCATGTATTTATCACCTTACTAATATACATACTCAAATCATGAGGACCTAGGAAAAATCAGGTCCTTTGTTATTAGATTAAGTAATTAATATGATTTAAAGTTCAGGTTTAAAATAGGTTACAGTTAGGCTTAAGGTTAAAGTAATGCAATACAAATTTCCTTACAGAAACAACAGAGTAAACTTAAAGGCAAGGCAAGGCAAGTTTATTTGTATAGCACAATTCGTACACAAAGTAATTCAAAGTGCTTCACAGAATAAGAAATACATTAAAATCATAATAAAAACAAATCAAAACATAAATAATCATGAAGATTAAAATTTAAAAAAGAGAGACATAAATTAAACCTGCCAGTTTCCAAAAAGTACAATTGTTGGAGACTGTTCCCACCCAGCTACAAACTGTTTTTAGTATTAGTTTTCAGATTTAGATTAGTATTATACTCATGGATGGAAAATACTGTGTAAATGGAAACATATGGAAACCAAACTGTGTGTTATGAGTATTGTGAGAAGAAACATAATAATTTTACAGTCATTCAATTAAAATCAAACAACTTCTGCATTTAAAAAAACAACAACAAAAAACACTTCACTTTAAATGTGGATTATGGGAATATTAAATTGAAATAACATATTTTTGCTTATACATACTAAACAGATAAATATATATATATATATTCTCTCTAGGCAGAAACTTCTTCCAACTATGGCCAGCATGCAGTGGGATGAGTAAATGACATAACATATTTTGACCTATATCTCACAACATGCCTAGCATATGCCACATCTAATTTGGAATTTGAGTGCGCATAATCTGAACCTCATCATAAAAAGTCCAGAAAGTCAACGCTGTTTAACAGTTTATTTGCTTGTAGAATCAAATGTCAGGGCTGAAGACATAAAGCTAAATGGATATTTGTGGAGGAGGATGAAAGTCAAGGGAGCTTAGCCACGGCTATCCCTTATATGACAAAATAGTATTTGCAATAAAGCAGCAAGAAAAAAAGAAGGCTCGTCTATGTCAAAATGGCAGCAGTAAAACCTCACAAGCTTTTACAATGAATGTGGATCTCACAGAATCTCCTCCTCTAACCCACAGTCTATAAACTACTTGTATAGTTCCCACCCGGCTACAAACTTTTTTTAGTATTACTTTTCAGATTTATATTAGTATTATACTCATGGGTGGAAAATACTATACATATTAGAAAATATTTAAGGTTAACTTGCAGTTGTTCTTAGTATATATTTCTAGCTACCATAGAAGTTACTGAGTTCCAATTGTCCCAGTCATAGACTGTATATATAAATGGATATAACTAACCCACTAGCCACTGCGTTCCAAATAAGAAGTGAACATAAGAGCGCTTCCAACGCCATCAACTGTATCCAACTGACTTTATACTTGAAAAATTGTTGCCCCTCTTTCTGTAACTGCTGCTGTGAGCCTCATCATTTTGATCTTAAAATGTTCGTATTAACCAGCTCTACATGATCCTATTTTGTCTGTAAACAAATTCCTATTCCTAATAAGGAACTCGGCTCCAAAGTCGCCCCTGTAACTTCATTTGACTGGAGCCGAATGCTATGGGTGACGTCACATTCCCTTAGTCCACTTCTTTATAGAGTCTATGGTCCCAATGCACTGCTGTCTTTTCTTTCTACACCAACAAATACACATTAAAGCACTGTGTAGCCTGCTCTGATTGGCTAGAAACAGTTGCAGATTAAAGTAATTATTCATACATGCAACATTCACATAAATAAATGACGATATTTTATTGATCGACTTTTGTATAGAAGCACGGTCTAAAATGCCTCTAAAAATATGTTAAACAGTAACTTAAGTACCAATTTTGGCAGCAGCACATGTACTATGCAGCCATGTAACTGCACTATTACTTCAGTGCAACTACCACTGATAACTTTCATTATTATACAATTAGCTCTTTACTACCACATATTGGGTTTTATGTTGTATTTCTAAGTTGCTGTGTCCCTTGTGATTTCCCTTTTGGATCAATAAAGTTTGTCAAAGTTTAACTCTATGTGGGCCTCTTTTAATAGCCACTGCTGTGGTGTGAACAAGGCAGTGGAGAATGTCCATGTGCATGTTTTTACCACAGAGACCCTGCAGCACACATAAAGAGGAGCTGAGAGGACAGATCACAGTCCGGTCATGTGTTTGCCCTCTTCACTGAGCAGTTTACACCCTTTAAGTGATTCATGTGCTCTCATCTTCTGGGATCCTGACTCATATTAGCACGTCCACACAGGCTGCCTTTAGAAGTGGTGAAAATATCATGTGGATGTCAGGCTGGTGGTAAATACATACTTACAACAACAACAATCATCACTTTTTACTTTCCCGACCAGTAAATGAACACCTTATATAACAAGGCTATAGGCAATATGGCAATAAAACTGTGATATGATCTCTATGACATTATGCTATTTTTGTTAGATTGTCACTTGGGTGCTCTGTTTAATGCAACGCCATTACTGAGCTACATCCGGCGCTGAGTGACAAGTTGATTTAACCAAATGCAATGCTGTGTGAACTGTCAGAAGAAGCGGACGTAGTTTCTTCTTAGACAGTGTAAATCTACTTCATGCTCATGAATCATGATGAAAATAAAAAAGTAATCAAATCTCGGGGAAATCACAATATAACTATAACTATATATCCTGACCCTAGAATCAAGGGATGTATCAATTATGTTACAGTTATTTTAGTGAAATCAATGGGGTTAAAGCCTTTTGGAACACTCGATGTTCAACTTTCATAGAACTAAATGGAAAATATTCAGGATTACACAAAATCAGTTGCAATTCTCTGAACAAAATTGTTCATATTTGTAAATCACTTATATTAAATTTGAAAATTTGAAAATGTTAAGTTTAGTAGCATCATCGACAATCATGTGCATACTATCACTGGTCCTAAAATGGACGTGAAAACTTGTATCTCAATAGTAAAGTACATCTGCTGCAGTAATGGTATGTATAGTTGCACTATGCAATGCCAGACTCAACACTTGACACTCTGCAGATAAAGTAGTAGTACATCCCAATATAGTTTACACATATCTAAATTTAAAACTGGCACATTTGATAGGCCAACAGCAAACTACTGTCTATCTAAAAATGTCTGAGGCAACCAAACATCAAATACAAACATAACCAATGCATATTTATTTTCCAGCCACATCCCTATTTCCAGCCCTTCCTTCCAGACAGACTGGTATTTGTTGTGCTGTGGGGCTGATATATATAGAGGAGGCAGACAGGGAGAGATTCCAGTGGCCGGCATAGTGGTGGCGCTACGAGACGCCAAGCAGAGAGGGTGCTCTGTGTCCCTCACCCTGACCCACCCAGCTAATCATAGGGTGCTGTCCGGCCCGAGCTAACCCCAAATTACTGCCCTTGCCACCAGCTATGACCGCTCACAACCCAAAGGAATCCAACATGGCAATCACAACAACTCCTGAAATCGGAAGAAAACTTGCCTGGCAAGTCCAGAATGATATCTCTCTCTTTGGTTTATACAGAGGGATATCAGTCTGGTCCCCACTCCCTCTGTGGCGCCTTGAGTCAGATTCCGATAGAACCGTGCAATCAGATCTGTTTATTTCAGTGACACATGTGAAATGAAGAAGCTCGTTGGTCACTTATTATTTTGACCAAAATCAAAGCAAAATCAAACATATCTCAAGTCAAATGTAGAGAATTTAGCGCTTCACTCATTGATTCTGCAGAAATATTGACTGTTTTTCAGTCCCTAATGCTATTTCTTTCTTTCTTTTTTCCTCAAAATCTTGCGAGAAAAAATTGCCACAAAACTGTGCACATGAGAAAACTTGTCTTGAGAGATTTTTTTTTTTTATTTGTTTCAACTTGGATTTGACGAAATGGTGTACTGAAAAATGTGAAAAAATGTGAACTGAATTGCCCAATTTCTTTATTAAAAATAGTATCAAAATCTCATCTCGTCTCATTCTCGTGGACCAAATCTCATGTCTCATCTCGCCTCTGGTAAGCAGCCATATTTGTTTTGAAACTAATGGACCATGCATGTCCCTGATTGTCAGTCATGTCCATTTGAACTCAAGGTAATACAACAGGTGATCAAACTCACATCTACAACTATTGGAGTAAGTATGTATTCTGGATAAGAAGAAAACAGCAACATTTCCATAAAAATGTGCTTACCTGACGATTTCTTTCATCGAGTATCCGGGTTATTTGGATCTTTTTTCTTCCCATTGTGATGACAACTTATGCACAATCTGAAAATTTTATATAAATATCTGCCACCCAGGAAGTTTCAGATCACTAGAAATCCCAAAAGCATTGTCTTGCTGTGAGCATTGTCAGTCCAGCTCTACATGGCTCCCTGAAAAACAAAGAGAGAAGACACAATTGCATGCACATTAATTTGAGCAGAAGATGCTAGCATTAGACACAGGCATATTTCATTCCATTGTTTGATAATGACAGCTCTGTGACACTGCCTCGTTGACTAAAGCACACATCATCAGCTGCCTCTTACCAACTTCCCCAACAGGAAAAAGAGTGTATGTACGCAAACCACTTTGAACTTATCTCACACAATCTACAAGGTCAACATGATCTTACTGTATTCTGACTCAATTTTACCGTTAAAGAAGAGGTTATTGACGCTTCCTCCCTATAGGCGTTGGTGAATGTCTCATAGAATAACAATGCTTTTGGATGGGACACTGTGATAGCTGTAAAACAGATAATAGCAAATTAGATTCAAATTTTGAAACAGTATCCTACTTTTACATAGCAATATTCACAGCGCCTTTTCTCAATGGTAACATACAAGAATCCAGCAAATATGAAATCATGATCTCTTCAGTCCATTCTATTGGCTGAAATAAAAAATGCACGAAACAAAGAATTGAAGGAATTGAACTGCAAGAACTGACATCATGATTATTTGAAAAAACAAAACAAAAGTATGTACCATCAAACGTTAACAATACTAACACTCATTACAGATTAGACAAGTAATACACAAATGCCCAATCCATTTCATTTCTGTAACTAATTAGAACAATAATATAAAAAGCCAATAACAATTTCATTAACAATTATGCAATCCCAGAAAGAAATTATATTAAAAGTAAATAGCAATCCAGTTTGTTCATTTTAAACAACATCTTAAAGAATCCAAAACAAGCCCTATACAGCAACAACAGAGAAAGCAATCCACCTACTGTTTGATTACCAAGCTACCACATCAGTATCTCCCAGTACCAGTGTTGAACCCTGGGTTTTCCCACTGTGTAGCGCTGCAGAATTGGCCACCTGCCTCTCCTGTGTCTCTTCGCTCTCTTCTCTTCACCCCAAGCTCCTTAACGCTCTCCTAATCTCATCTGATCTGGGAGGAGGCAGAGTGAGGAGGAGGAGAGGCTAGGCTTTATCCTAACCCTCCCTGGATTACAGTATGTAACCTGTGCAGGCCAACAATGAGAACGAGACACAGTCATTGAGGAAAACTTGCATTCTGTGATGAACATGAGATCAGATAGACTTGTACAATGGTCACTGACAATAGGAGATCTTGTTTATTCTCTAGGGGAAGAGTGTAGTTACCAGTTTGAAAGCTTAATCTCTGAATCTCTCTAGTTTAGAATTCAAAATAAGTCTATAACACTAAGAATAATAGGGGAACTAAGGAAATTGTTTTTCTGTGTTATTATCTGTGGGTTGTTCCTTATTTTCCTAGCATTGGCACAGTATAAATTCTGTCTAGGCTATGCATAGGCTATTTAATTAAATAAAAACAATTATTATTGGATTTTAGGTTCCATGAACACACAGACAATGCATACATATATTGTCCAATAAATAGCTATCTAAATTGAAGGTAAAATATAAAATAAACACAACTTTAAAGGTTACTTTTACAAGGCTGAAAAAGTAATACAATTTTAAAACCTTTACTTTGCTATTCAACAGTTAAGTGAGTTTGCTGTGTTAAATAAAGTACAGAATGTTGCAGTGACATTGGCTTCTCATCACTGCTACACTTCCTCAGTTGAGCGGATCAATGCAGATGTAATATGCCCCTATGGCAGAAACCCGATCTGGCAACGTGAAAATCAATGAAAGTCACTGGACACGCTCACAGCAGCCAACACTTACGGCACAAAGACCTACTGTGTGTGATCCCGACATGTCAAGACTCCTGCTTTGGTGAAAAGCTCAAAACAACAACACCTCTGTATAAAGGTGGATAATCATAGTTTAATCATAATATGTATTCAGGAGTTAAAGAAAAACAAATACATTCTCACTCTGCTTCTCTTCCTCACTCGGCTGCATGTCTCCTTTACATGAAGCCTTATCCGAGGCGCAAACCACAGGACCTCTCTATCTCACTCATGAAATCTAATTCCCCTTATTGTACATGCAGGACCATGCTTTGTTCTAGTGTGAAACATATTTTTATAAATACAGTAGGTTAGTACACAATGTTGTGAATGGTGTTTTAAAGATGTATAATATCAGATGTATAGCCTCACTCAACTAATACATTTAAAGGCATGTTTTAGTCCATTTCTGTTGGATTGTCAAATACCAGTTGTCTGAGCTTCCAACCTGAGCTATTTTCTTTTATCATTTTCATTAAGGACAGGCCACCTCCTTCACACAGTCTGTACTTCCTGTTGTGTTCTGCACACTACTTCCTGTTTTATGACCTGTGCCACTAGTTTTCTCCCACAAACCACACATATAGTATATCACCACATCATTATAAACTCATTATTTGTGTAACCCAGTTTACAGACAGACAAATGCTTTTTTCTCTCCTAATAATGCTAACCAAACATAGAGTGAGCTGACCATTTCAATCTGATTCTGATGGAAAATACAAGGGCAAAAACATCTTAAATGATTTTAATACTAAGGAAAAGACTCAATCCTCTTTACCAATTCTGATATCACAATGATAATTACAAACATTCTTTCTTTAGAAATTACCATGTGGCCTTATATCTGTTTAATCCCTCATTTTAAGATAATTCTAAAGCTATTCAGTAAAGGTTAATTTCTGTCCTGTGAATGCGACTTTTTTAGTGTAGATACCTACTCAAATTAGTAACTAATTTTGATATTAGTATTGATTAGTATCTGATTTCCAGTATCTACCATAGTCTTCTGTTCCTGAGAGGGAAATACATATTAAAGATGCTAAGGGTAAATGATGCGGGGCCTAGACAGTACAGGTTAGGATTAGTACTAACATAACTAGGAATCTTTTCATCAGTCTGTCTCATTAATGACAATGGTTTTATCTTTTAATTGTGTTGACCCCAGTATGACCTCTGTTTCACACTCTCTGATCCAGGGTGTGTCTTTACAGGCCAATGTAAAATGTTTAATAATTTTTTTTTTAAATTTTTTTTTTTTGGGGGGTGGGGGTGCATGCGTGTGTGTGTGTGTGTGTGTGTGTGTGTGTGTGCATGTGGTAAACAGACAGACTTGGCAGTAGATGCTCCCTGAGGGGGGTGAGATCAGCCCTCTTGACTGGCTCTAGTCTTTTACACCTCCCTGTTTACTGAGTACAAACCCTCCACCAGAATCTTTAAAGTGAGGGAAGCCTGTGACAATGTATGGAAAAACATAAAGAGTTGAAGAAAGTTAAAAGGCACTCAGATGAAATTAGCATATTTTAGCAAATTGAACAATGCCCCAAACATCTTGAAAACTGAGCCCAGAGTTACTTCATGTGCCACAAGCCACAACAGCTGCAGTCTGCCTGCAAATGACAGAGGACTGAACCACCAAGTGTTCCACGTTTGGAGTGCTTTTACAACAGGAACATTGGTTTCATAGAAAAACCAAGGAAACTAGTGTGTGGCTGGTGTGAGCTGGCAGCCCAGCAGGGACTCGCGCTGGGCTCATTCCTCACACAGTCAGACAGGCAAGCTGTAGCCTCAGGATTCATGCTGCTCAGTATTGACACTGGCCTCTGTGCTTTTCAGGTCACCAAGCTAATGACTTTTAGCCACATACGCCATAATTAAACTCATCTTCCCCGCTAGCAGCACTGACGTTTAATGCCACGCTGAAGGCTAAAGATTAGATGGCTCAAACTGTCAGTGGCCACAACATGAGACCCCAATCAAATGAGCCAAGATCTGCTGAGCTATAAGGACCTGAGGAATCTGTAATGAAGGATTACAACTCTGTGGTCTAGTGCAGTTCTCGAACCGTTCACACCAAGTCCCACCTATGAAAATATTTGGCCTTCCAAGCACCACCAGATCTAAATCAGATCTAAAATTATTCTATTTTAGGTCTAAATTAGATCTAAACCAGTTCTAAAATAGCATTCATTACACTAGTTCTAAACAAGAACTAGCCCAAAAGAGGACAGATATGTGGATTCAAATTGCTACTGCTGGTCTTATAGTGCAGTGGGTCTCAAGCTTTTCACACCAAGGACCACCTAATATCTGTCTCTAAGTCTCAATAGAAGTAAACCTGGAAAATCAGTCTTAAATCAGGGCTAAACCAGGTCTAAAATGGACTAAACTATGGATAAGGATTGCGTGGCCCTGTAGCCAAAACCACACATTTTTACTATACTTTACAAAGATGTGTGGGTCTGGAGCCATACCTTGTCTGCTCAATTTCAGACAGGTATGACTGACAGGTGAATTAACCAATCAGAGAGACACATGTTCAGTTTGTGTCAAAAAAACATGGTGGCTTACAGGTAAAACAAGTAGTGAGAAACAGTGAAAAAAATAGTGAGACATAGCACAGATTTCTGCACAATCAACAAGCAAAGCACTAAACTCTTATTTATCTCAGGTAAAATAAGTTCTACATTTGTATATATTTCTATATATTCTGAATGTGAGAATTTTTGAAGAAATGTTCAGAATTTGAGAGAGATGTGGTAGTAATTAGTGGCTGTGGTTTGGACAGTGATTTGACACCCTTTAGGCCCGTTCTGGACCTTCTGGATTAGAACAGTAGAAGGGACTGGCTGGTCTGGCAAGGATAAGGTAGTTCTAAATAATGATCAACCCAACGGAGACCAAAACATACATAGATTTATCTTTAAATTCAACAAATACTCAAACTCCAGAGGGTGACCAGAGGCAGTCCATGTACCATAGTTTGATAAACAATGGTCTAGTAGCCTTTACACTCATGAGGAAAATCTGCCTTGTTACTCACTACTGTGCTAGTAAAATCAGTAGGATAGCCGTCTGCTCATTTAATTATCGTCCCGCTGTGATGTCATTTCATTATTGTGTTGCTTTTACAACAGTGGCAGAGAGCGGATAAGATTTTCCTGTCTCAACTCAGAGACAGTGATGTCATGCTGGCTACAAGATTGAAACACAAGCTGCAGGTTCACTTCTAGTAAACTGCTCTTGTCCATACACTCCCCATGCTCTTTATAAAGAAAGTTGGTCTGACATCCCTCTACAGCTTTATGTCACAGTTGTCAGTTAGAGTTGAAGCTGCCGTGTATGGTGGTACAGTGAAATGATGCATTTCCAAAGTGTAATCGGCGAGCATGTGTTGGTTTATCATCCTAACAGCCACGACAGAGCGCAGATTTGCACGGGACACTAAATTAATATGATATTTATAAATCTGCAGCTGCTCCATGCATAGCTCATTCCAAGGACCCCCTGAATTCAATTACTTATAAGGACACTACTTGGAAGACTGCATGAGTGATCCCTGGCTACACTCCTCTCTTCTAATGTATGGTATTACTAAAAATATAACAATAATAATAATGAAATGACCAAAAAAATGACAAGAGTGGTAATATACACAAAAAATGTATAGGCTAGTATAGTAATGGCAATCAAGCCATCAATAAACCAAAACTAATCTTATGGCTAATCTGATATAAATACTCATTGCTAAAACCTAGTATGGGTCTCTAATCATAAATTCTATCCTTGAGCAAGTGTCACCCCAAAACTTTGACCCAGGTCAACTTTTTTTAGGGATGCTAACCATGCGATCTGCTGCTGTCTTAGCAGTATGACAATATGGAACAGTTGTTGTAGCATTCTATTGCGTGGGAAATACAATCTAAAATCAATGTCAATATAATTCAAACCCAACACTGAATAAGGTTTCCCTAGTGGAGAAGAGGAAACAAAATGATCAAAAAACATTTATGGTTAATTTGTGTTTTGCTAATAAAAAGTTGGCCAACTAGTTGACACCATCCAAACTCATGCAGGCTCCCTTGTGTAAACAATGATATACTGTGTCTAAGCACACATCTGTATCCGGGCCAATCTTTTGATCTCCTAAATGATATTCTAATGAGTCCTTTAACAGTTGAGTTTGCTCCTGCTCTCATCAAAATTCTGTTCTTTCAGCAAAGTTGTATCTTCCTTTTTATGTTGTGGAAAGTAGATCTGAGGCCCTGCACCGAGGGTCCTGCAGGCAATCTCACAACCCATTTCACATTGACTCACACATGGTCACATGGCCACACTGTGAAATGCAAGCCTTTCCACCACTCAATAAACAGACTGTATGTGTGGTATAGCATGTACACAGCAAAGAGGGTGACTAATTCAAGCAGGAACATAAGTAGTATTTATTAACAGTAGCACATCCAAATTTATAAATGCATGGACTGTCAGTTTGAAAGTACCTTGTAACTATTTGAAAGATATGTTCACAACATAAGCAGGAGTTCAATTATGAGTCTGATAGAAAATATTTCAAAAAGTACAGTAATGTACTTAATGTAACAATGGCTATTATTTTGAATCACATGTCTATTTTAAGTTATTTTAAGCATTTATAATGCTGTAGTACATAGCTTTTGTCAAAAAGCTACTCGGGTAGTATTCACAGTTGGAACTTAAGTTTTACTTACTACTTTTATTATTTCTAACTATTGGCTAATACAATTATACTATTAGATATTCTTATATAAATTTTGAAACCATATTGTACAAAAAAAAGCAACACACTACACAAATTCAACCTAGGTGTGAATATGCTATAAGTACCATAAAAAAATGTTACTAGCATTAAGAGGCCATCAAGCAGCAGAGACCTAAACCACTTTCAGGTCTGGACCTCGTCTCAGCAAATCAACAGTGAGTTTAATTAAGTCACCCCACGCCGCCATTGGCTCTCAAAGTGTTTGAGTTGGCACAGCCGAGGAAACCAATTTAATCTCACCAACAAAGGGAGTTTTATGCAAGTACAGGAAAGTCGATTGCAAGACTAATATTTGGAAATTGTTTTATTTGATTTCTGTATTTACCTAGGGTAATATCCGTACTCTCTTTTTGGCAATTTTAGCATCAAACATGGGGTGTGTGGCCTGGTGGTGAGACGGCAGGCAGCCAGAGGTTTGGCTGATATGAAGAAATGGATTATTGGGCAGACCAGGACAGTGCCATAGGAGCTGAGTTCTACAGCTGGGCGGAAAAAGTGTGGGTAAAATTACACTTAAACTTTTCAACTCCCATTCACTTGATTAGTCAGCACAAAGACAACAATTTATAACATTAGTTTTAGAGTTTTGCTTTAAAGTGTCTGTTCTCAAAATTTATCTTTTGATAGTACAGATAGATTGCATTTAATTCTAAAGTATTCCATTGTCCGATAATCAGAAAGTTCACAGTTAGCAAGTTAGCTGTTGTTCGTTTTACTGTGATGGCAAAACTTCACTGGACTCTGAACTGAAGGTAAGTGTGGTTTAAATCTAGAGCACTGCAAACCATTTAAAATGAACTAGATATGTTCATCAAATTTTTAAAGCAATAAAAATCAGGTACAGCGTCTTTAAATATGCCAGAATAAATGAAATATTTTGTATCTGATGCGAACACGACTAGAGGTGTTTTCAGTGTATATTTTGTAATATATATTTTCAAGGTAGATAGTCAACATTGTTGTGTCTGTCCAGCCCTGGGCAGCTGTGGCTACTTAAGTTCACCGTTGAGTACGTGAGAAGTGAATAAATAAACCGTGAAATTGTGAAGTAACGTAGAGCACCTTGAACCAATTCATTATTAGTATAATCCAAAACACTTCCAGAATTGAATTTGCTTCCATGCTTACCTACAAGTGTCGATAACTGTAGGAATGCTGGAGATGTTATCAGTCAATAATCTGAAAGTGAGAGAAAAAGTTACACTGAAGGCTTATGGCTATCGGCTACTAGAGTTTGACAAAGGCTACCGATAAAGTTTGTCAGTATTACGTAAGGAACAAGGGCAAATATGTGACAAAGTAGCAATTCTATATCCCTGTTGCCATTTTGATATAAAGCAATTTAAAGAGAGTTGCAAGAATTTTCCATGACAAGTCAAGACAACTGAAAATTCTTGGGGAAAGGGGGATCCATTAAATACAAATTGCATTATATAACATTTGATGATTACTATGAGAAGAAATATCATGGTTTTGAAATTAATAATTTTATACCATGATTGAACAATAAGGCGTGAAATCTGTTATATTTCTGAAATAAATATAGATGATAAACAATAACAGTGAAACAAATTTATACCATTGACACAATACCCTAAGAGCAGATTTAAACTACAAAATTTATTCTAAATTGTTTGTGATTGTTAGAATAAATCCATAAAGTCATTACTGTGACAGATCTACAAGAACTGGTCTAAGTCAAAACAAAACAAAACAAAAAAAAAACAAGCCCTTTACTACTACTACTACTACTACTACTACTTGAACTTAAATATTTTGAAATATTTACTATACTGAAATCATACATACATCATATTTATAGCTCATACATTAGCATTGTCTGCTGACATAAGTTCAGCAACTGTCCAAAAAAAAACAAAAAAAACAAAACAAAAAAACCCACTCCAAATTAACTTTAAAATAAAACACACACACAGCAGGCGCTTTGGTGCAAAAAGAGAAGTCTGTGCTTCACAAGTGCTGCTATTTCTGCTGACCACAAGGCCCCAAATATTCAGCCATTAGGGAAACTTGCAGGGGAAGGAAATAGCACTGGGGAAACGGATGGACACAGAGGAGAGGTGGAGGTTAAATGCTGTTAACCATGTAAAGTAAAGTAAAGTAAGAAAAATACAGTCATATATATACAGTGACATTCTACTGAAACTGCAAGCAAGAGGAACATTTAATGTATTTTTAGCAAAATACATTAAATATTCTGTGATATGAAACAATGATGCTACATTATAAGCATCATCAAAACTGAACCAATGTCTGAATTTATGTGAACATTAGGATTGTCAAAAAATCTAAACAATGATACAAATCAATACTAAAACTCATTTGAGCAGGTATACTGAAAATACTGAAAAAATATAGGACAAAGTTGAACATTTTTCAGAATGTCTTCGAATTACAAGATTAGAAATTCCCAACCTAGAGGGTAGGATGCGAATACACAATTTTTGCACTGAAAATAACATTTGTTAACGGTTTTAAAATGATCTTGGTTGTATAAAAACCTATAATGAGTATGTATCTTTGTATTAAAATGTAGTATATTTACATGGTAAACCAGAGTACCTCTACATGTATAACAGTGGTCTATACAGCAGTGGTCTTGTGTGTGCTGGGCAGAGGCTCCCATATGCTCCCTGTGGTCATCACAGTATGACAGGGTGACGTGATGACCATGACCTGATTACCTGTACCCTCAAGCCTGTAATCACAAAAGCCAGAAGACAGCCTGCACTGCTGCTCCACGGACAGACGATAGTTCAATGTGAAGCTACATCACAAGAGCTGCTAATGGAATATGAAAACATATAAGATATACAGACCAGCCTTCTTGCACCCTCCTGTATACTCTAAATGGATTAAAACTTTGTCTGTCGTAGTGGCTAGTGAAACCGATCATAGTATGAATTGGGATATATAGCTATTATCCTATTTGATAGACTAGAGCCAAGAAATCTAAGTTTTGGACAAGGAAGAACTTCAAGAAATCCACTTGTCTAAGCAGGTCCTCAAAGGTTATGTCCTGTCTAAAGAAAAAATAATAACTGTGAAAACCTGATGACATTAAATGTAAGGTGAAGGCCCCCTGTGTTGTATTTGAAGAACACAATGTTGTGCAATAGAACAATGTCTAGGCCCACCTCAACTGTTTATTTTCACTACAATCAGCAACTAATAGCTTATACGTCTACTTTGTTTACGCAATTAGAACTCATGTCTCTTTTTACACTATTTCTCACGTCTATAGGAAGCTATCGTTTAAGACAACTACAGCGTCCACACGCCTACTATCACAACAAACCAGAAGATAGTCTACTGATGGACACAACATTGTCCAATAGGCTATTTAACTGAAATGATCTTGTAGGCTGTGGCTTTGATCAAGATAACCCGTACAGGCAAGTAAAGCTGTAGCAAAAACAAACAGCCTATTACCATGTAGACCTATGCAGGAGTTCCGCGGCTGTACTTACCCAAAGCTCTTTTCAGTGCGCTGATTTAAAGCCGCGTACGCCTTGTCCAAGGCAGGAGACACTTCCCCGCTATGTTTGGGAAACTGACAAACTCGGACAGAGTATCGACGTATGTTCGCCCCTCCCTCCGGAGCTGCGCAGCTCTAGGAACGCGCCCACTCGAACACAGCCCTGACTTACTACAACAGTGGTGGGCCTAAATTAGTCTACTCTTCATCCTTACCACTTTATTCTAAAAATATAGGCTATAATAATAATACTTAGGCTCTAATATTGTATTTTTGTCGATTTCCACACATTGTACTCACACAAAATATGTAAAAAATAATGTGAAAATGAAACACAAGAAAGGCCCACCTATCATACAGACATTGCATAGGCCACTTGCCCAGTGGCCTACATAGGCTGTATATATGAATGGTGGCTTATGTGAGTGCCAAGTTTCAGAATTTGAGCTTTGCCTGGACAGGGACGTCTGTCTTAACAAAGTAACAAAAAAAAGTAATAACACGGTGCCATCTTGTGGGAGACGACAGAACAACTGCTCTGTACCGTCTTCTGATCCAGGCCAGGTTTCCGGCTTGCTGCGCCTAGGCCTACTTAGTTTGATTAAATACGGACATAATTCTAATTTCTATAGTAACCGAATTAAAGGCCCAAATCTTTAGTAACTGAAGGACACCCTAGTTTGTGTAATTGGCAACCGTTTTTGTGTCTATTTTTGTTATTTCCCCTCACAACTGTGATGGCGAGCTAAGAATACACCATCTTGTATTATTATTTCCTTCTTATTAATATACGAACAGTTATAATAATAACAGTACAACCATCTATATAACCAACTTTATTTTGTGTCCATCTTTCATTCACTTAACTTAGGCCTCCTTACTGAATCTATTGCTGATACATTGCTAATTTGCAGTCAGTCCGCCTGGTGTACAACGCATTGCATAGGCCTTACTTTAAATTGAATCACTCTACTGTTGTTAGTCAATATGCAGCCTATGTCATACAGTGTTTCTTTATTTAATTTCTTTATTTAATTTCATCATGGCTATGATGTCCAAATGATGTAGAAATTACAGGGTCAGTATAAATGAGAGCCAAATGCATTTTAATCGGCATAACAAAAGGGATTGCTTTGAACTGTATATATTGACAATATTCTGAAGATCACTACAAATGTGTCTTGATGGTCCTCAGTTGCTTGAAGTGTTAGTAGCCTCCACCAGGGAAGAGAAGATGGAGATGAGGAAGATGGCCATATATGTGCTATTCATAGGGTGCTACCTGTCCCTGGTTCATGACCAGAATACAGTCAGAGGTCAGAACGGTGTTGATGCGGTGTGCAATGGTCAACATAGTGCAGTCCTGGAAGGCTTCTTTGATTGTATTCTGGATGAGAGCGTCTGTCTCTGCATCGATGGATGCTGTTGCCTCATCCAGAACAATAATCTACAATAGTTAAGATGTACAGCACAGTTATGGTAAATGGTCACATTTTTCTATAGCGCTTTTCCACCTTCAAGGCACTCAAAGTGCTTTACAACAAGGAACCACTCACCCATTCTCACACCAGTGGGCAAGGTGGGTTAAGTGTCTTGCCCAAGGACACAAAGACAGCATTCATCTGTGGGAGCTGGAATCACACCAGCCAACCTGTGGGTTAGTGGATCTGACTGCTCAACCTGTGATGTTTATGTTGAGAGCTGGATTCAAACCGCCAACCTTTAGATCAGTAGGCAAATGCTCTACCAACTGAGCTACTGCCGCCCATAATATGTGTTTTATGTGTAAAACACTACATTACATCATTTGCAGACTAGCATTAAAGCTTGTTCTCAAAATAATCAGTCATCAAGCCTCCTGAATATAACACTAGTGATACACAAATACATTTTGGGTCATCTTTAAAACAAACCTTTGAATTGCGCAGTACAGCTCGAGCCATACACAGCAATTATCTTTCTCCTATTGAGAAGTTCTCTCCATTTTCCAAACCTGGAGCAAGCAACTTCTCCTCAAGCTGTGAGATCTGTGGCGAAACAAGGTCACTGTAGTGGCACAAATGTCATTTCAAACTAGTCAGACATCGACAGCGGCCATTTCCCTGCAGTGTGCAGAAATGAGTTAAGTCTTTCACTGGTGTTATATAAATGTGATACATTCACATTCACAGTGTCTCCACACTAACACAAGCCCATGCGCTCCTCCTCTAGACTTACAGCTGAGAAGACCCACCCTCTCTCAGCACTACAACCACCAAGGTGGGAACATTAGTATAGAGTAGGTATTGTGTAAATATGGGCTTTAGAAAGGAGTGTTTTTGAACAGAGAGCAACATGCTCACCTAAACCAATGGCACAGATTGGCAGCCTTGCTTCTGTCAGTCTGCCCCAGGGCAGCTGTGGCTACTATATTAGCTTACCACTGAGTACATTGTAAGCACTTTGGGTATCTTTAAAGGTGAGATATAAATCCATTGATTAATTAATTCATTAATTAAAAAATAAAAGACTCAAATGAGTCAACATACAGATTCTTTCATGCAGGTTTTCTCCGGTGCTGTCCAAATTTCATCATCACTAATTATCAAAAGGGTCCACATTATATCTGTAGTGGACCAAACAGAAAGGCAAAGACAAGGTATAAAAATAAGTTTAAATTTAATAAAGCCCAAAAAAGATATAATTTAACAAAGGCTCAAATTAGGCAAATTATTAACAAAAAAGCTGGGCCCAACTGGGGTAACTCAAAATCAAACTGAACAGAACAAAACTAACCTAACCAGACAAAGGAACAGGTGTGTTTAAATACCTGAGGACCAACTAAAGCTAAACACAAGAGGGAGGAATTACACTAACTAACTAAACCAATAACTTAATCAAAGTAAACAAAAAAGCTAATAATTATAATACAGAAAATAATAAGTGATAATAATGTGACCTTAACACAAACTAAACAAATTAACTTAGTAAAACAAACTAAATAGTGCTCCCCCCCTTTGCTGAGTCCTGATGGTCTCTCCCAGGGTCCTCCGTCCGGTGCTCAAAAAAACAAAAAGAACAAGTGTAAGTAAATTAGACTTATATTAACTAAAATGCGTGCACTCAAATTAGAACATAAGTCTAAATAACGGAATTAAATGATGTGTAGTGTAATTAACTTAATGTAAATAATAATGAAAATTAAATAATACTGACACTATGGAGTGGTGGCAGAGGTATCCACCACAATATCTGTGGGCAATCCTGTTTTTAAATACAAATATTTCATATTACTACAACCCTTATGACACAACTTATTTCTTTCTTCATTTTTTTTTTATTTTTTATTTTTTACAGAAACAAACAAACAAAACAAACAAACACACCCTAGCTGTTTATAGGAAGGAGCACCTGCTATTTAAGTCCTATTTTAAATAATCGTTCATTGCCTTAGGTTAGATTAGATGAGACAGTTCATGTTTTCTGTTGCCTAAAATAGGCTTTGGCTCATAACCACATTGTGCTACTTAAATTAAACAGAATATTCACTTTTCTTATAAATTAAGACAGATTATTTTTGCACTATTGTGTCCTTAGGGTCTTAACACAATTTTCACTATTTTAACTGTACTTAATAATTTATTTTGCAGGTAGATTTCCTCAACGGTGTCTCTGTGTTTTCCGTCTGCATTCCTGGTTTGGTTTGTGCCTGAGAACTCGGGCCTAATGAAGTGAGTGCAACATACTTTACCGGCTCACATGTATTTATTGGCACCATCTACTGGCCAGACTAGGAATAAACTAATAAACTAATAAAGAGGGAAGGAGAGGAAAGGTGAATGGGCTTAGGAGTGGAGGTGAAGACTTGGAGCAGGGGCTATGTGTATTGAAGGCATTGGTAAAATATTATTTTAATTAATAATTCGTAACCATGACACAATTAATGCAAATGTAAAGAGGTTGAAGTAGCATTTTCATCTGAACGACAGAAGTTTTGAAAGAGGCAAAAAATACAAATCAAAAATAGTGAGCAGTCTCTCAATATAATAACCATAATGAAAAAGAATAAGAACCCACCTGTATAGGTATGGAAAGGGCATAAGTGATGATTCCTACTAAAGTAGTGTAACCCAAAATGCAACAGGCATACACAGTGCATGAAATAAAAAGCACTAGTGACGTTAGTATATAAACTCTATTTAAGACTACCTCAAAGATCTAGTGTCCATCACTGGTCACAACATTTATCACCTAAACAGGAAAATAGAAAGCATATACAACAATATAGAGTTATAACTCTACTATACTACTTCTACTATAGTACTAGCTTCAGCTGCATCTGTGCTACAGGATGTTTACTTCACCCATAGGAAGGCCACTGTTGACTCGAAGAGAGAGGATCTTCTGGAAAGCTAGAGCTGAGAAGGCCCCTTTCAGTCTGACTGAAGTGCAGGCTGATGGTCCAGAATCGAAGATAACACAAAAGAGATCAGAACTGAACAACAGCAAGGCCAGACCTATTCCTCTGGCCAACGTGCGAGACTCTAGATCACTAATGTATTGAAGAATCTGATAAAGTGCAAAAACCTATGGAGAAATACATTCAAATGAATCAAAGCCATCATCAGATAAATAACTAAACACAAATGCAGTACAACTCAAATTGGGAATTGTGTGAAACCTTGTTTGTCAATGTAAGCAATGTCTGAACGGACAGAAAATTGGAGTACAAAGCATAAACCAGGGGTCTCCAACCTTTTTCCTCCAGTGAGCTACTTTTACAAAATGAAACTGCTAGAGAGCTACTCATTTAATGGTTACAAGAAATTGAGACGATTATAAGAAAGAGGGCGAGCCTTTGGGTACAGTTTGATGCCTATAAATCATAAACCACAGTCCATTTATTAGTTCATAAAGTTGAGCTTGAATGTGATACATGTTCAATGGTAATAGGCATGTAATTAATACAATTGTTGTTATTCAGCACAATAGAATACTTCAGAAATCCCTTGGCGAGTTACTCGGAAAGTGGTGGAGAGCTAATGGGAGCTCCCAAGCCACAGGTTGGAGACCCCTGGCATAGATTGTATATATAAATGGACATAGCTAACACGCTAGCTGCCACGTTCCAAATAGGTAGTTGGCATGCTTTGTTTGCTTGTTTAAGTAAACAGTAAGCCTACTCTTAATTTAGTAAAAGTTTTGATTAATCCAGCCATCTGTCCATTTTCTTCCACTTTATCTGGGGATGGGATGTGGAGGCAGCAGTATGAGCATTTCCCTTTCCACGCACCCTTTCTCCAGCTGTTTCAGGGAATCCCAAGGTGTTCCCAGAGCAATCAAAGAGGCCTTCCAGCATGTCCTGGGTCTTCCCCAGGGCTTCCGCAGAGAGGGGTTCAGGAGCCATCCAGAATAGATACCTCAGCTGCTCCTCTCGACACAGACGAGCAGCAACTCTACTCCAAGCTCTTCCCATGTAACTGAGCTCCTCGTCTTATCTCTTAAGCCACCCTTGCAGAGGAAACTCATTTTCACCACTTGTATCCATGATCTTGTCTTTTCTGTTGTAATACCCGCCGAGCCCCTTAGGACTGCCTGGCGGACCATGGCTAGATAGAGAAATAAGCAGGGTGTAAGAGAGAGTCTCGGTAACAAACATTTGGTCAAAACAACTAAAATTAAATTCAATCCAAAACCAGCATCCCCCCCAGCACCCAACATTCCCAGTGGGTCCTACAGGTGTAATGTGGTGAGCTGCTTGACCTGGATAGAGAGACAACAGGGTGTGAGAGAGACTGAAGGAAAAGCTTCACAAGATTTTTAAACAATAAGCACCACCCCTTTCCAGCTGCAATTACATGGCCATTGGCCCACACCAACACAGAGAAAAGTCATACAAGGAAAAAAACACACCCACTTAAAGTGGCAGAGAAACGATACTTTGTTTGCCCTGTTACACTGTCATTTCGTAGGTGATGGTAGGAACGTAGACCGGAAAATTGAGAGCTTTGCCTTCCGACTCAGCTCCACCTTCACCACAACTACATCTCTCTAGATGGAGAGTCCATGCCTAAAGTGGGAAAGTTCAAGTACAGTATCTTGGGTTCTTGTTCATGAGTGAGGGATGGATGGAGTGTGAGTTTTGAAAAAGGAATTTGAAAAAGGAATGCAGAAAGAAATACTTACTGCCAGATCTTAGACAAGTTGTTTGTTTTATCATTTGTATCTGTCTGTCAGTATAGATGTAGTTAAAGCAAAAACGCGGGCCCTCGTTTGCTCCTCTACATAAATATCATTTTCTGATTGGTTAAATGTGTTTGTAGCCTACAACAAGTCCCATTATGCCATGCCACGGCCCTACTTCCTCGCTCACTCATAAACACATCGCAACGACAGCACAAGAGTTTATTACACATTTGTCTTAACTTTGGACTGCAATGGGTTACTTAGGCTACTCTTGTTAATAAGAGCTGGGAGAGAACATGACCCATGAACAAACCCCAAATGCATTCACACACAATTAATAAGTGTAGCACTACTACATAACATTTGAACCTGAGTGGCACTAAAGTGGTGGAGGCCCACACTTTTTAAATAATTAAAGAGTTTGAAAGCACGATGAAGGCTAGCCAATTATTTGTTACCTTTGTCCATAACGAGGTTGTTTTAAGTCCAAAAAGAATATATTTAAATCACAAGATTCGGCTAAATACTTAACAATAACTTTATATAGGATTTATATAGTTTCAGAAACAGATTTTATATAAAATGATAGGTCTAGAGGTCATTAGTTACCCCATTAGCCCTGAGCACGCTTTCGAACTTTTAATATTAATCTTTTCTTAATTCTATGGGGGAGATGAATGGGAAACTTCTGGAACCAGGGAATGGTCACTGTTGAGCTTCATAATGTGCATAATGACTGCTGCAGTGATGATGATAGTATTTATCAAAATCATCCAACAAAAAATTTATTTAAATTATTGGGCCATAGTAATTTTTAAAGATGTGTTACAGTCTCTTTTTTATTCATCCAGTCAAAATACTGCATGCTGAATGAAATGACAAGAAAACTTTGGCATCTTTTTAAATAATGAAACTTAGACAGACCTACTTTTTATGTTTCTATTTTTGCACAAGGAGGAGCCACCACCTTTTCCAGGAATGACCTTTCATTGTTTAGTAATTTTCCCTCTTAGGCTGTTAGAATATTGGAGTATACAAAAACAAATTGAGCTTATCTTACATATGTCTGAATAACTTTGGGAAATCCTCAAGATAATGTGAAAAGCTGATGTAAATTAAATAAACAATACACTTTGCACCTTTTGACCTAAAGCTGGAAATACAAGCAATAAATAGTTTAGACCACACAGTAGGTAATGATGCTGTTTTATCTTGAACAAAAACTACAGTGAAGCCGGGTAAATTGGACCCTCAGGTAAAACAAATTTATTCAGTCCTAGCATTACACGGTCTATTTCCTCTGGTTTCACTGTGCTTGTGATGATTGTATAGCAGGGCAATCAAATTTACTGAGCTTCACCCAAATGAAATTAAAAGTACAAAAAATTACAGCAATTTCAATTGTTACATTACATTTTTCACAATCTGATTATGGAACCAGTACTAAAGTAAAGCTAAAATGAACTGAAAAAGTTATCAGAGCAAGTCTATAATATTTATCATGATCACTGTTTAAAAATAAGAGCAGTGTCATGTAATGGTAATGTAAAATAAAGAAAATTGCCCCTGTGTGACATGAACAACTCTGAATGCTGTTTCACATGGTCTGTATGTAGGCTACATGGAATGCATTATTTTTATTCTTAATTTTTCCTATTTGTCTTTCAAAACTGTGTAAAACCTTTTCAGTTTATTGTCAGTGTCAAACTAGGAGCTTTAGTGCAAAAACAAATGATAACCCTTCAGTAAAAAACTTGACACAAAGTTCATGTAGGTAAAGAAATGACTGTCAAACGCTGAAGTCATTTTAAGTCACCAAAAGTCTATAAATGGTTTGTTAATTGTAGTAAAATAGTTAAATAGTCTGAACATCCCCAGAAACATCACAATTGATAATGTGTGTGAGTGTAAATGAGTGTAAATGTCCTCAGTTGCTTCAAGTGTTAGCAGCCTCCATCAGAGAAGAGAAGATGGAATCTGGCCTCTGCTGTAGCACGTCTGGTGTGTCCAGTTCTGCCACCTGCCCAACACAACAAAGAGTGTTGCTGATTGTAAAAGGCTGTGTGGCCATATATGTGCTATTCATATGGTGCTACCTGTCCATGGTCTATGACTAGAATACGGTCAGAGGTCAGAACGGTGTTGATGCGGTGTGCAATGGTCAACACAGTGCAGTCCTGGAAGGCTTCTTTGATTGTATTCTGGATGAGAGCGTCTGTCTCTGCGTCGATGGATGCTGTCGCCTCATCCAGCACAATAATCTACAATAGTTAAGATGTAATTATGTGTAAAACACTACATTTCATCATTTATTTACAAATAGGTCATGCTAGTCATACACAAATACATTTTGGGTCATCTTTAAGACAAACCTTTGAATTGCGCAATAGAGCTCGAGCCATACACAGCAGTTGTCTTTCTCCTACTGAGAAGTTCTCTCCATTTTCCAATACTGGAGCGAGTAACTTCTCCTCAAGCTGTGAGATCTGTGGAGAAACAAGGTCACTGTAGTGGCACAAATGTCATTTCAAACTAGTCAGACATCGACAGCAGCCATTTCCCTGCAGTGTGCAGAAATGAGCTAAGTCTTTCACTGGTGTTATATAAATGTGATACATTCACATACACAGTGTCTCCACACTAACACAAGCCCATGCACTCCTCCTCTAGACTTACAGCTGAGAAGACCCACCCTCTCTCAGCACTACAACCACCAAGGTGGGAACATTAATACTGAGTACATTGTGCCAAATGAGCTTTAGAAAGGAGTGTTTTTGAATAAAGAGTAATAAGCTCAACTAAACTAAGACCTCGATTGGGACAAATCTCTCTGTCAAAGCCTGATCTCAGCAAATTTCAGAAGCTAAGCAGGGCAGAGCCGCGTTAATACTATTGGGAATTCCAGGTGCCACATTGGGGTGCCATTGGCAAAAAGTGTCGTTGCGTCCTTTCGCAAGACACTTCACCCATATTCCCCAGTACAAAAGTGAATGTCTGCCCAAGGGCAGGTGTGGCTACAATAGTAGCTTACCACAAAGTGTAGATTGAATGCATAATGCATTGTAAAGTGCTCTAGGTTTCTTATAATGTGCTATATAAATCCAATGATTAATTCATAATTCATTAATTAACTAGAAAAGCACTCAGAGAGCGCAGACCTCCGCCAAGGACTACCCCCATTTTTTATATAAATTGCGATAGAATAAGTGTTCTGGATCAGATCCGGATCAGCCTTTGGAATATGAAAGAGGATCCCATTGTCCATCCCTGAGTCAAATTTCATGGGGTTTGGTCAATAATTAACCGAGATATTGAGAAACAAAATTTTTGGCCCCATTTACCACAATGTTAACTAAAATTTCAAAGTGATCCAGAATCCAGGATTTGTTCTGGATCACCCCCAAAATGAAATCAGTTCTTCCTTTTCACATTTCCAACAAATCCTAAAAATTTCATCAAAATCGGTCCATAACTTTTTGAGTTATGTTGCTAACAGACAAACAAACAAACAAACAAAGAGACAAACGCCGGCAAAAACATAACCTCCTTGGCGGAGGTAATAAAAAAGAAAAGATTCAAATGAGTCAACATACAGATTCTTTCATGCAGGTTTTCTCCAGTGCTGTCCAAATTTCATCATCACTGTAATTGTCAAAAGGGTCCACGTTATATCTGTGGGCAAATGCAGTTTTTAAATACAAATATTTCAGATTATTTTACATAATCTTTCATGGCTTTAGGTTAGATTAAATGAGACAGTTTTCTGTTGCCTAAAACAGACTTTGGTGTCTCAGCTCATAACCACTAGATGGCGCCTGAGTTATGAAGATGCACTTCAGAGTATTGTTTAAGGTGTGGCACTCAGGGTGGGCAGGGAGGAGGGTGAGGTGCCAATGATCAGGAAGCATCTTCTTTGCTGTGAGTGTGCTCCTCACAGGATGGGTACACTCCAGCACAGGCCTGATGAAGCTCAGATCTGTGTAAGGACTTCACATGGAAGAACAACTCCCACACAGAGAGCTTGTTATGTAGAGCATAGATTTTGCACATGCATCCCAGGTTAAATCAGAGGACATTTCTAGTTCAAGTTTGAACATTCATTCACACTCATTCAGTGTCCCCCATAGATCAGTGTGAGAAAATCATCAGGATATTCATGGGAAAAACTGAAAATGGAAGACATGTACAGTCATGAAAATTCATGCATGAGTAAAGGAGATAATATCTGCACTGGGGTACACCCACTGGAATAAGAAATAATGCTGAGGTCCTCGTGCCCCACACTAGGGTAACTCTTCAATCTGAGTCACAGAGGACCAGTGTTGGGGAGTAACGGATTACATGTACCGGCGTTACGTAATCAGAGTACAAATTATGAGTAACTGTATTCGGCTACAGTTACTGTTTCAATGAGTGGTAATTGGATTACAGTTACTTTGCTGAAATAAGTGGATTACAAGGCGGTATTTTCCTGTTTTCACATTCTGTGCTACCTCCCATTTATTTATTTTTTTATTTCGGTAATCCCACTCATTGCCGGAAACCCACACAGAACGCGAGCGATGTAAACGTCATGTTAACGTTGGCAGCGTCGGTCACACAATGGATGAGTTCGAAGAGCCAGTAGAACAGAGCCAGCAGTGCACAGGTAAAAACACATTTGTGTCTTGGAAATTCTCCCGTCGTGAGATACAAACACACACCTTCATCATCGTCATCAACCTGAGAACGCGCGGGTCATGTCTCCTTCCGTAGTTACTGCGCGGACACCAACGTCCTCACGTGCGCCGCGTGTGGACCGTGTTTTCTCGCGTACGCTGCGTACATCGCGCTCCCTCCTGTGACCCTCTAAAACCAGGACTAAACCAGTCCAGGACTAAACTAGGACTAAACCAGGACTGAACCAGATCTAAACTAGGACTAAACCAGAACTAACCAGGTTGAAAATCAGGACTAGACTAAACCAGGACTAAACCAGAACTAAACCAGGTCTAAAATCAGGACTAAACCAGGACTAAAATCAGGACTAAACCAGGACTAAAACCAGGACTAAACCAAGTCTAAACAATATGACACCTAACAGTAGGTTAGACTTGAATAATTTTAAGGTGATTTGATATAAACCTAATTTCTCTATCAATAATATTTTTTTAATATGGTTAAGGAAAGGGTTATCTTGTTATTGTCTTTTAACAGACAAAACATCTTATGTTAAAATATCCTTGTCTTTGATTCTCTACAGCAAACAGTTGCTTATTCATGGAGACTTGGGCTCAACAGACAATTTGAAGAGAACAAACAAGAATTTTCAGGATGTGGTTGCTACATTCACGTTTTAAAAAGCATGACAATATCAAGTAATCCAAAGTAATCAGATTACGTTACTAACTTTAAGTAATTTAATGGATTACGTTACAAACTACATTTTGGGGTCTGTAATCTGTAATCTGTAAGGGAATACATTTTAAAAGTAACCTTCCCAACACTGCAGAGGACACAGAATCTGCATCTCTGCCAGACCAGTGCCAAGATTGTCTCAAAAGTCAACAGACAGCATGTACATCCATCTTAAGATTGTTATATGTCTCTGCTGGTGGATATGTATCAATCTGCCACTCATTAAACCTGTCTTTGACTTGCCCAGCACATAATTACATTAAGACAGTCACTATTAGAGCTGTGTCTGAAGTGTAGAAGCTACAAGGATGAGTGGAAAAACATATTCAACCTAAAATCTGATCAATTAGTTATCATAATTAAACCTTACCTGGACGACTGAGGAATTACACTGAAATGTAATAAATGTGTGTCTGATACCTGACAGTGCCAATAAAGAGAACTGGGTCTTGAGGGATGACAGAGAGTTTGCTGCGCAGATCATGCAGACCAATGGTGGCTATGTCCACTCCATCTATCAGGATAGATCCTTCTGTGGGCTCCACCAGACGGAACAAAGCTACAACCAAAGATGACTTTCCTGTCCACATCAGGATTTAGTTTAAACACAGAAGCAACAGCACTGAACAAAGACTGTACATTTTGACCAACCTGACCCTGTTCTTCCGACAATGCCAAGCTTCTCTCCACCTTTGATGGACACGTCCAACCCATTTAAGACAATAGGCGTGTTTTCTCTGTATCTCATCTTATAGTTCTGGAAAGTGATTGCCCCATTCACTGGCCACTTTTGGGGAATTGGAGCATTTTGCACTTGTCTGGGAGACTCAGATGTACTATCCTGTTTAAGTGTGGACACTTATTAGGAGTTCATAAGATAATAATATTGTCCATATTAAAACAACAACAATCTTTTGAATACTTTAATGTATTCTTGAAGACGCTCCACTGAGGTGAACTTCGCCTCCACCTCCGTTGACATTCTCACAACAAACTGAATCATTACTGTCAGCTGGACAAATATAAAACATATTGGCAGCAGGAAGTATTTATATATATATATATATATATATATATATATATTACAGTTACATTGTGTACCTGTACTGTGTATGACATGGCCAGTCCTTTCAGAGATGGTGGTATAAGGTCGTTACTACTGAAAATAACAAACAATGATACTAATAAGCAAATGGTGGCGGACAAAGAATCCAGACAGAATGACAGCCATCTTGATGCAGAATTAAACAGATAAATGTGGTTTGAGTTCACATCTGTAAGCACCTTAAACCTATAACAGGAAAAACAAGTACAAAAATTAGTAACAAGAATAAGCCAGGACAATAAGCCTGTATTGTAATTAAGATTATTGTACATTGCTAACTGGCTGTCTTTAATGTTATAAGCATGGATTGTGCTCAGGCCTTGCAGTGCTGAAGTGGTCAGTGAAATACAGGGTGAGCGACTTATATTCTCGATTTCCTTCATCTGTCGAATACCTCCTCGGAATATACTGGAAAAGAAATAAACATTGGAAAATGTGTGATGTTTTGTCATGACATACGTTCCTTCTATCCTATATATTTAGGCCTGAGCACCAGAAGCTGGGGGCTATTAGGGGACTGCAAACCAATGCTACTAGTGGCCGGGAAGTGAACTGACACGACATGACATGTGCATAGTAGAAAATTTCGGAGGTGCACGTCGGTCGACGCAGAGGCCCTGCGTAGGGGGTACGCGTCGACGCAGATTTGACGCTGGACCGCAAATTGGCCTTAACCAGGTACCCTCGCCATGATGTAGGAATGCGCCGGAGCTTTCTGAAAATGTATACAATGCTAGCAAAAAAAAAAAGAAAAAAAAGAAAAGTGGAACATTGTTCTCGTATCAGAATATTATTTTTCTTTCTTATTATTGGGCCCGAGCACCAGAAACTGGCAAATGGCCTATTAGTATCACACAGAGATGCTACTAGTAGCTGTGAAGTGAACTGACGCAAAGTGACTTGCTCATGGTAACCAGGTACACTTAGCCTGGCGCCACCTAGTGCCTCCATCCGGTCAATTTAATTTCTCTCCAGTGACTAGGTCAGGAATCAAAATACATTAGACGGTTTGCAAAAAACCCGGAATTGCAAGTTCGGGCACCAGCCAATCAGCGAAGAGTCATATATTCAGTGTTGTCAACGATTCAATGATTTTATCAAGGGAAAGGCGTTATTTGCCCTTCTTCCAATGGGATTTGGGAAAAGCTTAATATACCAGTTAGCCCCGTTAGCGGCACATTACATATGTCACCCCGCCTACCGTCGAGCGAACGAAATCTAAGGCTGCGAGGTAAGTACAGTTTAAACGAAGTGAATCGAAGTAAAACTGGCTGATGAATAAGGCTAAGATACATTCGCCATGATGTAGGAATGCACCAGAGCTTTCTGGAAATGTATACAGTTGTTAGCTAAAAAAAAAAAAACATTGTTCTCTTATCGGAATATCACTCTATAGCTTGTAGGCATGAGCACTAGAAGCTGGTGAAGGCCCTACTAGTACTGCAAAAGTGATGCTACTAAGTGAACTGACAGGAAGTGATGTGCTCTTAGTGACCAGGGTCCCTCGCCATGACAGGAACACGCGAGACATTTCCGAAAATATATAGGTTGTTAGCTAAAAAAAAAAAAAGCAGAACATTGTTCTTCTATCAATATATTATTCTTTCTTTCTTTTATTTGTTTCTGTTTTGTAACCAACTCACCCACCTTTCACCCAATGAACAATGACAAAAACTCATGAGCATGCCAGCTCCCCCAAATGAGGCAAAAATGCATTAGAGTATAGGACCAAGGCCAAAAATAAAAAATAAAAATTGCACATAGTATCCTAAAATTTGACACAGAAGTGGATCCTGACAGGACAAGGAAAGATTCTATGCCAATGATGCCTGTTCCACCAGGGGTCAGCAATATTTGAAAACTAACTAAGGGGTTAGGGCTAGAGTTAGGGCTCTTATCATTGCATTATTGTCTCTTGTTGTCAGCTTTTGTTTTGTGATTTAAAATATAATTTATCCAACCAACAATGAATATAAAGGAGCAGCTCTGATGCCTCTGGTGTAAACTGAAGCTTTTAAAATTATGCGTATATGCAGCTCTGCCTATGTTACGTGTCACTGACCGTAAATTCCAGGTAAAGTAGTAGAATGCTGCCAGGACACCCCTGCAGAGAGTCTTCAATGTGTGATCAGGTGTGGTCACTTGGCATGTGAGGTGACGACACCTGTCAACTGAAGCTTGTTAGATGCAAGTATATTTGAGGCTAGTGTAAATGTATTTGACATTTCTGCATATTTGAACATGGATGATAAAGAATTGTTACTTTAAGTAATAATTAAAAAATATATATTTAGTTTAGTTGTTGCATGTTTTTACTTAGGGCCCTAACCCAGAGGTGGTAGTGCCACTACTCCTCCTCATCGAGAGTAGCAAGCTGTGGGAGGTGTTGAAAGCATGTCCCATCAGAAGGAGCACTCAGAAAAGAACTATGACTCACAATCTGGAACATACTTTCACTTCTGACAGGCCTGGAAATGTCTCTACTTAGACTGCTGCTCCCCTACAATCAACTAAACATGGGCAACCATTTCAAATATTATATATATAAAACAGTTCTCAAAGTCCTTCAAAATTAAAGACTTTACTTAATTGAATTCCTTCATAAAGCTTTAAATGGTCATACTGAACCTTGCCAGGTAAATAGGCAGGCAATTTTAAGTGAACAACATCATCGTGGTCTCTAGGGAGGAGACTGTCTGTAGACAGGTAGTGTAACAGGCTGGAGCAACTGTAATTCATCACATACTGGCGACTGGTCAATAGAGGGCGCAAGTGTGCCACACTCCCTAGCTTGACCTAGATAAGAAAACATTATAAAGTCATTATTTTGTATTAGGCTATATATTTAATATTTTCTTTAAAATTGTATGTGTATCTGCATAGACATATTTTTTATCATGTTAAATGTCCTCTCATCACTTGTTGGTTCATGCATTTGGCCTTTGAGTTCATTAAGTCAGAGCAGTTTAATGGAGTTCTATAGCTTCTAATTCTATAGTTCTATATAAGTTTTGAGAAAATTTGACATCATTACATTGCTTCTGCCCATTACTTTACATTAGAGCCTTGAAGCACGGGCCGCAGGGTCGGTGCGACCTAAAATCAAGTGATAGGTCTTCATAAATGTTATCACACACAACCTATTGTGATTTAGTGTGCTAGCTCTGTCCTGCCCAGCCCCAACTCTCCACTGGCGGCATCTTACTACTACTATAGGCTAATGAATGGATAACAACAGAGCTGCATGCTATTCAGTTATGACACGTTCAACTTCAAATCAAAGTGTGTCTGAGGAACAGTTTTTAGGGAGTAACATGTCTTCTCTTCAGGGGGATTCTTCTGCCAAGCAAGAAAGAAGCATTAGATAGAAATGAGTGCATCTGGCTGCGGTGATCCTACGACTCTTATTTTGATTCACACTGGCTAGTTACTTTTGCCTAAACCTTCACACAGGAGAGCGCAAGAAGAGACCCAAAGCAATGGACACACTGACACAGACCCACCCTCGGTACTTGGGAAACTCTCTCGCTGCTCTATCAGCCTCTGCCAGCTTGTTTTTGGGCGTAAACGTTTCACCTGGGCATAGTGTGCAGAGGGCTTAAGTCTACTTGGTGCCCTAGTGCTAATATGGACTGGCCGTAACTTTCAGATTTAAGTGGGATTAAGACTAGTTTTACCACCAGCTCATGCTTTCGGCTCCCACACCTTTTTCGCGGACCTCACTGGACTAGGACATGGATCAGTTTGAACTCATCATATTGGACAATAATACACTTTTGGAGACAGAACCAACAGGACAGTGGATAGAGGGTACACTCTGCTTAAGTCCTCTAGAGAAGTTAAGAGGCTTGTTTTCGTTAGTTTGGGGCAAATCTGAGGACGGAGCTTCACAGGTAAATTGTGTTGTAGTGTTAATAGTTAAATAGTGCGTAAATGAGCTCATGGGTGTGACAGAGCTGCTCTGGTGTTCTGCCGTGTGCTGTAGGAGTGGCGCTGATGCCATGCGTTTGTGTTGTGCCTCTTATAGCAGTTTTGCTGACGTTGTTGGGGCTGGTTGTAAGCAGTGGATCAGGCTGTGTTTTTGGGGCTGGTTGTGTGCGGTGTGTTACATAGTGTTGTTGGGGCTGGATGTGAGCACTGTATCAGGTTATGCTGCTGTGTAAACTTTGTGCTTGGCTGTGCGTTGTGCTCTGATAAATATAGTTCAGCCAGTAGTGACCAAAATGACTGTCTGTTTCTGGCATTCATTAAAATACAATACAGCCTATATATAATAAATCAATTTATAATTTTGGTCTTGGCGCCCCCCCCCCCCCAAAAAAAATTATACCACCAGTCGCCACTGTCATCACACCAAGTAATTTCCCATAGTGAAACAAGTAATTGTATTCATTTAAAAAACAAAACTTACAAGTGGATGACTGCAAACAAGACTCCAAAAACCAGCACACCCAAGAGCATCAATGGAAAGATGGAGGCAATAACAATGAAAGTAAAGGTGACTAAAAGACAATATTGAACCAAAAGGTCAATGTGCTGTGGAAGCATCGAGTCCACTTCTTCTTGGTCTTTGGTAAAGCGGTTCAGAATACGGCCAGTTGGTGTTGTGTCAAAGAAACTCATGGGACAAGACAGGACCTATGACAGGAAAATAAGATTACAACCAACCTACTTAAACTACTACTACTACAACTATAGTTGTAAAGTACTTACATTTCTGAACATTTTGTCATGATACTTGCAGGCAGCATTAATTGTTATGCCTGTGTAGACAAAGCACTTTAAAAGGACTAGTCCTAGTATGACAACAACAATTAAACCATAAATCATTTGATAAAAGTGAAGCTGAGGGTTTTCAGTGATGTTGCCAGAGTTTGAAGTGGTCTCACTGGACTGTCAAAAGAAGAGAAACAGGATTATGCTCAATATTTCTGCCCACATTGAGGTCTACACTGGTCCTGGAAGTTAAAATTCCCCTTTAATTTTTAAAAATAGACTTTCATTGTTAAGAGTTTTAATGGGGTACTCTGTGGTACAAAGAGTGTATTTCTCAAATATCCTAAAAAGAAAAGAATATGTTTTCTAAAATAAATAAACAGATTTAGATTTTATTTACATATATAGTAAAAATGACATTTTAAACAGATATAAACAAAATGACTGCAGGAGAGAACAAGTATGAGAATTTTTGGTCTTATAAGACCACCTTCCATATACACATGATTTTAGCACAGCAGTCATGAATAGGCAAGTCAACTTGCCTATTCATGACTGCTGAGGAAACAGAGAAATAAAGGGAAATGCATTAATTCTCCCTTAGTAAACAGACTCTCCACATGGTCTTGAATTAAGGTTTTCTTGATGAGTTAATTTAATGTAGACTATATTTTGGTGCACCACCTGCTCGTCTCCATGGAGACATGTATTGCCTGGTATGTTTTACAGCTTTCACCCCTGTGTCTCCAGCACTTATTCCCCAACACCAAGGCTGCCTCTTTCCTGAAAAGTGAGTAAGAATTTTGAAAAATGAAAAAACTCACCCCATTACCCTGTCCAAGCCAGTAACTGAGCCACCAGTTGCCAAAGGCTGTGGATCCGACTTGCAAGACAAAGATCACCAGCATCAGAAATACAACACATAATCCTGTGGAGATAAAGAAATAGAGGGAGGAAGAAGCATGTGAAGTATGTATTGAGACATTGCATTAGTGAATATGTGAAGTACAAGTGCTTTCTGCATCACCTCCTACTGCCTTAATGTAACCGTAGTAGATTCCCCATTTCATGGTGACCTCAGTTTCATGTTTAACAAGCTGGTCTTTGTCTACAGGAGCTTCAGGAAAATAAAGCATGTTTACAGTTACAGAAGAAATAATCATTCTCACATCTTCTATTGCTCACTATTCACATTAGAGGACAAAGGTTTGAAATCATAGCCAGCTAACCTTAAAATGATTATAGTTGTTGTTACAAAAGAAAAAAACACTTACATTTCAGGGAAACTGACCCAATGTTTTCATCTGACGTATCAAATGCTAGAAGAGAAGTATGATAATAAGTTATTTTACTTCAAAAAACATTTCTACAAAATGTCCGTAAAAAAATATTCTCTCAAAGAAAATTAAATCATGATAAATGAATACATCTTTTTATCAAAAACATCATTTTTTTGCAGACAGTGTTTATGTATTTTGAATAGTGTTGTAGTACTCGAGACTGGTCTTGGTCTCGAGACCAGCCTTGAGACCATTTTATTTTAGTCTTGGTCTTGTCTCAGACTTGACCATGTTTGGACATGGTCTTGACTCTGTCTTGTCTTGGTCTTGAAGACTCGAGGTCTAACCCCAGTTAAGAACTTGAAAAAACAGGTTTAAAAAGCCCACCCACTTCCTTCAGTTTTCTGTAAAATGCCAGTGGAAGTTATATTAATTAGTGAGGGTCCAAACAAGGAGAACAGAGTGTGTTTATTTATTATTTTATTTATTTATTGATTTTTTTCAATTCAAACAAAACATTATTGTTCTGTCCTTGTATTAGTGTATATTAGTGTATTATTATGTGTTGCCCTTGGTGATAATTTTGTGTAATTTTATAGAAGGTGCTGACCTCTAATGGTCAGGTTGATTAGTTCAAGCAGTCAGAAAAGCACATGGCAGCAACTGTGAGCAGTCTGTCACAATCCACTACTCCATCCGTAGTAATCCTATAAAATGTGACCTTGGCTTTTCACTAAAAATACAATAAACCAAAATGAAGACTGATCCTACATCTTCTGTGTGGTTGCTGAGATTCTGTTGACACTATCCAAAATTCTACTTTTCATACAAGAGGAAGGACAGCATAGTGAAAAGCCAGCTTTCATTTGATGAGGAACAACACCATGTTTATGTTGTGGAGGGTGAAAATCTGTCCCAATGTGAGACAAGATCACAAGAATCCGCTTCAAGTAGATCGTCACGCAAATCAACCAGTGCAGCAGCAGCATGTGCAAGAGCTCACGCAGAAGCAGCAAAAGCACGTTTCAAGTTTGCAAGTAAAGAAATGGAGCTTAAGATGCTGAAGGCACGCCTTGAAGCGTCAATGGAGATTTTGGCCACTGAAACGAATGCTGCTGCAGCTGTAGTGAAGGCCGAAGTTTTAGACGCAGTAACCGGATCCAATGAAGAGAAATAGGGCCATACACCTTTGTTGTCATTATCTGTTGATTCTGTGGAATGAACAAAGGAATACGTGAAAGAGCAAAACAGCATGTTACAGGACACACAGCCAGGACTACAAACGGGTTTAATCACTTCAGATCCTACAAGTGATTCATCTCCTGTGTGTAACCCGTGTCTGTGACATGTTGTGACGAGCTAGGATCAGCACACAGAAGTTCAATATGAGAGCGCCATTAGTCATAATCTGCCTCATTGCTGGGTTTAGGAATTTTCCCAGAAAATGTACGGAGTCGAAGTGGGAACAGAGATTGAACATTGATGTCATATGTTCTCACAGTGCGCTCCACAACCACTTCAGAGAGTGACATTCTTGGTCCCAGAGAGACAGAGGCATTGGAATGATATGGTGCACCTCTTGGTGAGTGTTAAATTCAGTCAATGTTGGGTGCAAATTAACTTTTGTCTCCTCTTGTTCATGCTCTCCATACTCTTCTCCTCTTCACCATCATCATAATTATCATCTTCATCTCCTCCTCCAGATGCTGCCAAATGTTCACTTATTTGGTTCATTGTTCCTTTCAAGATTTCTTCAAAAGGCTTTCCAGTTTGCTGGGCAATACGTTTTAGCCCTTAAATGTAGTCAGTGGGAGGAATACTCCCCACTCTGAATGTGGCATCAGACTCTTCTGTGAGACATTTTAACAAATAAACATTAAGAAACATTAAAAAATAAAACAAATCAGCAGTTACCATTCAGTATGGTGACAGCTTTGGGGAAGAAGCTGTCCCTTAGTCTATTGGTCCTAGCTGGTATTGACCTGAAGCACCCACCCAAAGGCAACAGTTTGAACAGGTGGAATCGAGGGTGTGTATTGTCTTTAATTATTTTCCTCGCTCTGCTGAGACAGTGAGAGTTGTATAACGTGGTTATGGAAGGCAGAGAGCAGCCAATAATGTCCTGTGCAGTGTTGGTGACACTCTGCAGATGCTTCCTGTCAGCTTTTGTGCAACTTGAGTGCCACACAGCAGTCTCCCAACGGTGGAATGATAAGAGGTCACCAGCAGGCTTGTGTTTAGTTGCTCCTTCCTGAGCATCCTCAGAAAGTGTAGTGACTGCTGGGCCTTTTTGACCAGTGCTGAGGTGTTGCCTGACCAGAAGAGATCCGCAGAGATGTGAACCCCAAGGAATTTGAAGGTCTCCACTCGCTCCACACTTTGGCCATTGATGTACATGGGGGCAAGGGTGGCTCTGTTCCTCCGAAAGTCCAGGATGAGTTCCTTAATCTTGATGATGTTCAGTGCCAAGTTGTTACTTGCACACTACTCGCTGAGTTTCAGGACCTCATCTCTGTAGGACGCTTCATTCCCCACTGTTAGTGCAGTTGTGCAGTTGTGAGTGTAGAACGAGTAGAGGAGTGGGCTCAGCACACAGCCCTGGGGGGCACCAGTGCTGAGAGTGTGGATGGATGATAGGTGGGCACCCAGGTTCACCTGCTGGGGTCGATTGCCCAGAAAGTCTTTAATCCAGGAGCAGGTGAATGGTGGGACCCCCAATGTTGGCCAACTTGGGGATCAGGATGTCTGGTATTACTGTGATAAAAGCTGAGCTGTAGTCAATGAAGAGCATCCTGTACATAGCTCTCCCATTTCTCCAGGTGGTTCAGCGCAGAGTGGAGGTTGATGGTTATTGGATCTTCCGTGGATCTGTTTGACCGGTATGCCAACAGATGCTGGTCTAGAGTGGGGAGAAGACAGGCTTTGATGTGCCTCAGAACCAGTTTCTCGAAGCACTTGGTGATGACTGGGGTAGTGGGGCAGAAGTCATTAAGGTTGGTTGTGGATGCCTTTTTTGGGACCGGGATGATAATAGCAGATTTTAAGCACACTGGAATGACTGCTTGTTTCAGTGACAGGTTAAAAATGTCAGTGAAGACCTGCGCTACCTGGTCAGCACATGCCTTGAGCACTTTCTCTGGTACTCTGTCCGGGTCTGTAGCCTTTCTGGGATTAACAGCTCAGAGCACCCGCCTCACATCCTAAACCTCAACAGTGAGTGTTTGTGTGTGTGTGTGTGTCTAAGTCCCCTGATGTTACGGGACAGCCTCTGTAGTTAGTGATGGACTGTATGCTCTGCCACACCTGCCTGGGGTTCTCTCCCTTCCTCTTTTGGTCTGCTTTTGTGGCCTTGATGCCTCTCCTCAGGTTGACACAAGCGGTGCTGTATAATTCTCTGTCACCCGATCTGAAGGGTGCATCCCGAGCCTGGAGAAGCGTGCGGACCTGGCTAGTCATCCATGGGTTTTGGTTAGGGAACACCCGAATGATCTTTACTGTAGTTACCATATCAATGCAGAACTTGATGTAAGACAGTACTGTATCTGTGAATGTAGCCAGGTCTTCTTGATGGAAGGCTACCCACTGTGTTTGTTCAAAGCATACCTGCAGTCGGGAGAGGGCATCGTCTGGCCAGATGATAACGGACAGTCTTTCTGGCTTTTTTTTGTCTGTATGCAGGGGTGAGGAACAGGGAGAAATGGTCTGACTGGCCCGGGTGGGGGAGGGGTATGGCTCTGTATGCACGCTTGATGTTAGAATATATATAGTCCAGAGTGTTCTCCCCGCTTCTTGGGCATTTCACATGTTGGTGGAATTTTGGCAAAACAGTTTTGAGATTTGCCTTATTAAAGTCCCCTGCAATGATGTGAACACCGTTTGGATAGGCATGCTGATTATTATTAATGGTGTTTAGTAGAACAGAGAGAGCTGTTTTAACATTACCGTCCGGTGGTATATAGACTGCAGTAATAACAACAGCCGCTTGTTCTCTAGGCAGAAAGAAGGGTCTGCATCTCACCGACATGAACTCTAGGTCAGGAGAACAGTGCCTGTCCAATACAGTGCTGTTGTTACACCAACCTTCATGCAAGTAGATGCAGAGCCCCCCTCCTCTGTTTTTCCTGGAGTCTCTGTTTCTGTCCCATCTGTATAGCATACGTCCAGTTAGCTGCACTACCGCATTGGGGATTTGTTTGTGTAACCACATCTCTTTGATGATAAGCACGCACCATTCTTTAACGTAGCGGTTACCAGCCAGCTGTAACTACAGATCATCCGTTTTGTGTACTATGGATCTGGTGTTTGAGAGGTAGAGGCTTGGCAGAGGAGGTTTTAAGGGTTGTTTCCTTAGCTTAGACAGACAACAAGCCAGCCCTGCAACCGCGTTTTAGCTTCCTCTCGCCTCGCTGTCTACGTCGCTTGCCAGACCAAATAACAATCCACTTAGAGCCCGCTGGTCTTGCTATCTTGTCCGGTATGTTGTGAAGGTGGTGAAAATCACTGCAGATGGTCATCTTCTGTTGTCAACCAATGTCCAGTAATTCCATATGGTTGTAGCGAATATTAAAGTCCATTTTATGTACAAAATGCAAAAAACAATGCAAAAAATAAAAAAATCACAAAAAAGGAGCACAGCTATAGAGAGCTGAAGCCGCTGCGTCTTTGCACACCGCCATTCAAACAATAATAAATGCCATTAAATTAAAGGCCTCTAAATGCCATTTTTATGTCACTATAAGAATGCAAATAATCAATGAGTTTGTCATCTGCCTGTGTATTAGTTACACCCACAATAAAAACAGAGTTGGCAACATTAGCCCCTGCTTTTGTAATGAAATCCATTTTCAACCCTTGTATCAATCAACAGTAAATCAAAAAACAACAACAAATAATTATTCACACAAGCAGGCTCCTGGCTAGCTCGCCACTTTTAACGCTAATTTTAAGGCTAGGCAATATGACTATGGCTTAGGATGTTAATGGGAACAGAAGAGCGGTTCTTTGAAGGAGCCTGGCGTCTGAATGTAAACCAGACAAGCAGTGATTATAATTATTGTAGTGATTGCAGTGATTGTAATTATTATACATGTATATTAAAAGTAAGGTGAAACGCAAAATAAATTATAAACAAACATAAAACAAGTTCAAGTTCCACTTTTTTGGGGGGAGGAAAAAAAAAAATTAGTCTGTCAAACAAAATTAGATAATATCTTTTCATAAGAGTTTGTCCTACTGCACAGGTGTCTAGCTCGCCATCTGGTGGTTTGTTGATTTGAGATTTGTCATAGTTCATTCAGTTGATTCCATCCACCACAAAATTATGACCTTCAATTCCACAGGCTAAAGCTACTCTACGTGCATGGCCCGACTGGTAAACATGTATGAAGGCACTTAAAATGCGGGGTGAAATGTGTAATTTTTGGTAGTCCAATTACTTTGTTTGAAAAGTTTGCCGACAGACCGTGCCACAGTCGCAGCGGAGAATGAGGGGAAGTAAACTGTGTGAACTTAAAGGTTGTATGGAGGATTTTTTTTGTTTCAAATTGTCAATGATAGCATTATAGAGGTGCAGTAGCCTTGTAATTATGATGACCAAAAAAAAGAGAATAAAAATTCCTCAACTCTGGACGTGGTGGGGCCAGCTAAACATTTGCCAATAGATAACGACACTGCCTCGTTATCTGTTAGCTGATAGGCTGTCAATCAAACTTCCTACATTTCTAGCATAACTGACTTGCCTGCGCGCCGCCATTACATGGTTTACGTACGCCTGTCAAGCAGTCCACAGACGCACAGACGCTGTTTACTCAGCAACAGTTCTTAGCGCCTTTTTTTACCTATATCTTCCTCGCAGTTAGCACAAAGTTTGTTGCAATGGCAGACAAGAATCTACGAGCAGTTAGCCGCAAAAGAAAGTCAATTTTTTAGATCACTGAAAGAAGAAGACAAGGGGAAAAGCAGCGAAGCCAAACTAAGGTGATTCTTGGAGATTCATTCCAGCGATGGCGCAACTGAAGCAGACGAAGGGTCTAAAGACTGACGCACTGGTTGCCAAATTACTTCTGGACAGGAAACTTCTGCTTATTATGAAAACGTACTTTATTTCCAAGAGCTAGACAAACGTTTTTCAGGACACGAATGCGATATCCTATGCCTGAAAACGTAATTTTCAATGCAAAGAAAGAGCCCGCTTGCTGCTGCGTGTTGTAGATAGTTCATTCGCACGGAATGCGCGCACCCTTCTCTGCACTGCTCCCCTCTCCTCTCTCCTCTCCTCGCTCCGCTCTTCCCCCTGCTCCTCACTTCTTCTCCGCGCACGAAATGTCCGCACACCCCCTCCCCCCGCTCCTCACTTCTCCGCCTTGCCTAACCAACACTGTAGTTAGTTGTTTACAAGTCATTTGCAGTGATGAGTACTTGTTTTCTAGAAACAAACCTGTTTCTGGCGTAAGGAGGAGGCGGGAGGAGGCGTTTCTACGTAGGGAGCTGTGGGGGAGGGGGGGTGGTTTCACGCATGCGCAACATCAGTCGCTGGATTTCTCATTCCTTGGAAAATCCTCTATACAACCTTTAAAGGAACTTTAAAGTGCGGGGCAGCAGAACAGGAAGTGGGCCCAGCAAAATAAAAGTTAATGTATTAGACCCAGGTTATATGTGTCTGAGGCTTACGTTTCAAACACTCAACTGCTTTCTCCAGTACCATGTACGCCTCTTAATCCATTCATGACCACAGATGGCAAATATTATCAACCTAAACTAGAAAGTCAATCATGGAGTATCACCTTCAATGTGCACGATGATCCACACCCCTCTCCATCATAACACCAAGGAACTAACAAGCCACAATACAGAGAAACCTCAACTAACAAGGATGCATACCTACTAAGCACGGCAGCCACTACGCAGTACTGACAATCACATGACAGGCTTTTGAGGTTTCTGGCAAGACGTGAGCTTGTTACTACTGGTTTGCTCCAGTTTAATGATCAGCCTGAAAGCTACAGAAAATGGTGCAAATCCTTCTGTAATGCAGTGAGAGATCTGGACGTGACATGTAATGAAGAAATGGATCTTCTTGTTAGATGGCTGAGAAAAGAGTCATCACAACATGCCGAGTGCATCAGGTTTAGGGGTGGCACGGTTCACAAAATTCACAGTTCGGTTGGTATTGCGGTTTAAGGTCCTGGTTTTCGGTTTGGTAAGGTTCTTGTTTTCATTTTTTTCTATGAAATTATAGTTAATAATGTATTCATGCACAAGCTGAATTTGACTTGACTTTAGGCACATTATTATAGGACATAAGCAGTTGTTGTACTTTGGTGAAAAAATGTTACCACCTTCCTAACCCTCCTCAGGAGTCGGGATACTTAGTTTAGTGAGATTGCGCTCGGGCCTGGCTCCACTGCACGCGTCAGTGTTTACACACGTAACTTCGCAAAACCACAGCCACGCGTCAATGCGAAGGCAGCTCCACTGGCAGCTGCAGCAGGATGCACATGCACAGCACTGGCTCTGTGTTTGTCAATGGGAAAGACGATCAAACTTGACTGGGTGTGTTTAGCCACTTGTATCAGGCCCACAGTGAAACTAACAGCTGAACAGACTTGTATTTACCTTCTGTACAGGCTTACCACGGCAAATGCCAGGATTTCAAAAGTAAATTTCAAAGCACATATTAACAGTCTTTCTGGACCTGGGCTCTTTCACATGACACAGAACTGCCCAGAGTGCACTTTGTGTGGTAAATGCACAAATACAACCAAAGATTCATACTCTCTGTGTATTTTGATGGGAATACGCGCCTACGTTCGTGTAGAGCGTCAAAAAATAGGATGGATCCTATTTTCTGAAATCTACGAGCGCAGGACACGCTGCTCCATACGCACATCTAGAGCGTGCAGTGGAGCCGCCCTCATTCACTTTTCATGCATTCTAAAAGTTACGTGTCCAAAAGTTGCTGTTTTTACACTCACATAGGGCGAAATACACAGGCCAGGTCATTACGTCCTGCTGCCTTTGCATTGACGCGCAGCTGTGGTTTCGTGAGGTTACTACACGGGCGCATCGTCCATCTCCTGGCGACTCTCTTCTCTTCCCAAAGATAAACAGCAAAGACTACTCCAAGTTAAGAGATTTTAGTGACTTGTTAATGGAAGTTAATGCTGCTAAAATGGATGGTGAGCTGGCTGGTCTTTCTTGTTTGGACACTCCTAGAGAGAGATTTAACACTATAGTCTAAAAGTTGCCCTATGGACTGCAAGAGAGGTGGTTAATTCATGGATACATTTACAAAGAACTATACCAAGTACCATTTCCTCTGTTTTCTGTCTCTGTGAACTTCATTCAGCACCAAGCACAAATAAGGAATGACCCAAGCTTCAATGTTGCACAGGCAGAAGCACAAAAGGTTGAAAAGCCCCCATGGAAATCCAACAAGTCAAAAATGGTTTCCAGTTACAAAACAGACATCTCCAATACACAAGGTTCTACAGACAAAGTTCAAAGAAACGTAGAGGATCCAGACAAGAGAAGCCCTATACACAAATAGTCACATACTTTGCAGAAGTGCCACGGGTTTTGGCTTAAATCTTAAGAAGAGGGATAAAGCTTTCTCAAAGAGAATGGGTTTTGCTTTAAATGCTGTAGTGTAACACAACAACAAACACAGCAAAAGACTGACAAACCAATGTCAAATGTACAGAGTGCAGTAGTTAGAACTATGCATCTGCATCTTCACCCAGGGCTACCACCTTAGGCTTCCAGGGAAAACCTTTCTCCAGAGCATGGCGGGGAGAAAGACACAACAACGTCCATAGAGGTAATTACAAGCTGCACTACTGTGTGTGGAAAAGGTCACTCTGCTCTATTGTGTTCAAAGATTTGCTTGGCAAGAATATACCTGAGTAGACAACAAGACAAGGCTGTCAAAGTGTATGTGATTCTAGATGAACAAAGTAACAAGAGGAAGGACAGCTTAAAAAAATGTGACAAGGACAAGTTTAATGTTGGTTATTAAGCCTCTCCTAAAGAAGGGCAGTATCGATGCCACAGTACTGAATCATTTCCAACCCATCTCAAATCTGCCGTTTTTTGGCAAAGCCCTTGAAAAAGCTGTTAACCAAAGGCTTATTTACTTTCTCCAAATGAACAACTCCTTTGATGTTTTCCAGTCAGGTTGTAGAGCCCACCCCAGCACTGAGACTGCTCTTATCAAGGTGACAAATGACATCTGCCTGAACACTGAAGCAGGCAGAGTTCCAGTCTTGATTCTGTTAGATCTGAGTGCTGCTTTTGACTGTCAGTCATGAGATCCTCTGACAGAGACAAGAGGACTGTGTGGACATCTCTGGTACTGCACTAAACTGGTTCAAGTCCTATCTAGAAGACAGCAAGCACTTTGTTGAAATTGGGATCTGGGATCACATGGCCCTGACCCATGAACCCTCAGCCCCAGATCCAGTGTGTGGATGCAAAACAACTTTCTCCAGCTAAATTCAAACAAGACTGAAGTCATAGTCTTTGACTCACAGAAACAAAGAGACAGTGTCAGCAGTCACCTCCAGTCTCTCTCTCTAAAACTTTCAAATCAGACTAGAAATCTAGGGGTAATAATGGGCTCAGACTTGAATTTTAACAGCCACATCAAATCAATAACATATGTAGCTAAAAACATAACAAAAATCAATAGTATACTGTCTAAATCAGACTTGGAGAGACTTATCCCTGCATCCAGTAGGTTAGACTACTGTAATGGTCTGCTCACTGACCTCTCCAAACAAGCTGTGAAACAGCTGCAGTACATCCAGAATGCTGCAGCTCAGGTCCTGACTCGAACTAGGAAGTACGAGCACATAAGTCCTGTGCTCAGGTCTCTGCACTGAGTCCTGTGGCTCAGAGAATAGACTTTAAAGCAGTTCTGCTACTAACTCACATCTAGTCTCTGCTGTGCACTGCACTCTGTATTTACTACATGCCTTTTGACAAATACATGATTCAAATTCAAACATTAACTAACCTGGGTTATCTATTCCACTTTCTGCTTGGGCCATTCGATTGGATTCTTCCTGGATTCTGTCTGGAATGGATATTTCATTTTCATCTTTCTGTGCCTAAAAGTGATAAAAAGATACATGTTTTATGACATACAATAACTCCACAATAATTAATCTTAATTAGTTTATGAAGAACAATTCAGGCTTAATTAATAGGCTATCTATGGCATTAATGAGGTAGTTACTAAGTCTATCTAATGAGCTAATAGTTACTAATGAGCATAAAATAGTGTTACAGATAATTTGTATGTTTCATTGAAAACTGTCTTACTTTGGACTGCTGTTTTTGGTAGTTGCTAATAAGCTGAGCGTAGCGCTTATTAAATTCCATCAGCTCCTGGTGATGCCCACTTTCAACAATCTCTCCATCTTCCAGCAACAAAATGCTATCACAAAACTCCATATACTGAATAATGGAGAGGACAACATCACACGGACAAGCCAAACATGTAGATGTCATACATATCAGTATTTCATTTCATGAGAAGCCTTGAAGTACCTGTAGTTGATGTGTAATCAGTATGACAGACTTTCCATGGAGTGCCTTCATGATGCATTCTTCAAAGATGTGTTTCCCCACATGGGCATCAACAGCTGACAGAGGATCATCCAGAAGAACAATGTCTCTGTTGGAGTAGACCGCTCTGGCCAAACTGATCCTCTGCTTCTGCCCTCCTGACAAGTTCAGACCTCTCTCTCCTATCTGTTAGCAGAAATGTGCATTTGATTTTGTAATAAACTATAGACTAAATATTGATAAATAATATTGACTATTTTATTCCTAATTATGTCAAGTTTTGAACAATATAATCACACGGAACAAAGAGAATGTTTGAATTTTATCAAGGGGAAAGACGATATTGCCCTTTTTCCTATGGGATTTGGGAAAAGCTTAATATACCAATTAGCCCCATTAGCGGCGAATTACATTTGTCACAACCAAATAGCAGCGACTGGTTTAATGAAAAAAAGTACCCACCTACCGTCGAGCGAACAAATTTCTAATGCTGACAGAAGAGTTTTACAAAGTGAAACCGGCTGATGAATCAGACTATGCCATTTAGGCTATGGGAGCGAAAGATAGCCATGGGGCCATAGGACACATACCTCAGTTTGATCTCCATATGGAAGAATGTCTAAGTCAGCACGGAGACTACAGATGTTCAGGACTTTTTCGTATCTGTAAAAAAAAAAATAATAATAATAATAACTTTAGTAGGAGCAGCACTGCCCTCTTGTGGCCATGTACATTAAGGGGGCACTATATAATATATTAGTGTAAATGTATTTTATTCAAATCATGGTGATGTCCACCTGACACCACACTGACACTCTGTATATTGAATATAGGCTATCAATATTTGCCTTGTACTTAAGTAATAATCTAAGCAGATCCAACCAACCATCTATAATTTTGGGGCAACTTTCTAATAGGACCTAAACTATCCAGTGCAACATTGCCTGACAAAGGTATAAAATATAAATATATAATTTGGTACTTGTTCTGATCAAAGGGTTCATCCATCAGAATATTTTCTTGGACAGTCCCATGGAATATCCAGGCTTGCTGAGCTACATAGGCAAAGGTGCCATTGACCACAACTGAGCCCTGCTGAAGGTACATCTAAAACAAAAACAGGCCAGATAAATTGTTTGGATTGTGAAGAGCTGCTGGTCATATTTTACATACATCATACCTGCTCTAAAATGGCTGCAATGAGGGATGTTTTCCCACTCCCAACGTTCCCACAAATTCCAAGCAGTTTACCCTAGAGAGAGAGAAAACGGTAATTAGCATAAATATTTAAAAAAATATTTCTAGGGTTGGGCGGTATCCAAATTTTGATACTGTTAAACCTTCTCAGGATTTTACCGGGGTATACGGTATTACTGTATTACCACAATGTTTTAGTACGACTTTGGTAAGCTACGAAGCCGCACCGCTGTACGGTCTATGCTATGACCAGCAGATTTATAATCTCTGAAAAGTTTCACATGAACCACCTCCAATGTGATAAACACACAGAACAGAGTCCCTGTCAGCCGCACATCCTCTGTCGCAGAAAGAACACATATAATACACTGAAGTGTGTCCTTTAGTCCGACAAAAGCTGAACTGCATCAGCACACAAGGAGCGAGCTGTTTTTATCAGCGCTTTATAGTTTATGCAATTAAGCCATGTGGTTTTAAGTTTCATTTCTGTAAAATGTATACAAATGTGCACCTGAAGCCAAAATGTTGCCAAATTGCAGAAGTACTAGTATTTTTTGTGGGGGACTAATTTGCTTGTGGGCGGACATGCCATCTTGTCTTGGTCTCCCTTATGAGCGTCACATGACAGTGGAACAAAACTAATCAAACGTCATCTCCCCACACAGTTAAAAGAAACATTATAGATACTATTAGTTTTAAATCGTGATAGCATTAAACTGAACATACAACCACACATTCATTTGTGCTGAGCAAACAAATTTAGGTATCAATAAATTATAATATTATATTAGGTCCTTATGTACTGTAGATTTTTTTAATGGCAGTAATGAAAGTAATACCGTTGCTACTTTTTGATACCGCGGAATACCGTAATATTATTACCGCCCAAACCTAAGTATGTACATGTATCCACGGCAGAACTGGAGACTTACGTAGAAAGGTATGTACTACACCGAGAATTTATGTAAAAAAATTTTAGCATTTTTAGTATGTATGTATGTAGCCACGTCGAGAGGAGCCAGCTGAGGTGGCTCGGGCATCTGTTCCGGATGCCTCCTGGGCGCCTCCCTCGGGAGGTGTTCTGGGCATGTCCCACCGGGAGGAGGCCCCGGGGAAGACCCAGGACACGCTGGAGGGACTATGTCTCTCGGCTGGCCTGGGAACGTCTCGGGATTCCCCCGGAGGAGCTGGAGGACGTGTCTGGGGTGAGGGAAGTCTGGGAGTCCCTGCTTAGGCTGCTGCCCCCGCAACCCGGCCCCGGATAAGTGGACGAAAATGTATGTATGTATGTATGTATGTATGTAAGACATGTTTTCTGAAGTGTAATGTATTGCTACAAAAAATATCATAATGAATCATATTCAAACAGCTATACCACTGACACAATTACCGTAAGGCATGATAGTACAATTAAGCAATTTTCTGCTTACAATGTCCAACTCAAAGCTCACTGAAACTTTCGGTTTCAAGAAAAAATATGATAAAGAAACACAAGAAAGACTTTATAAACAGCTGTGTACCTTTGGTAATGTGAAGGAGATGTTCTTCAAAGTGGGCTTGACCTCCAACTGGGGTTCTGAAGGTTGCTCCTTGTCTTCAGTCTGAGTCTTAGGTTCTGTCTCTTCATCTGGTCCGACCCAAGAGAGTGTAGCATTCTCCATGACTACAGCCAAGTCTGGGTCCTTTCCTCCAGTCAGGTATGGTTCTGGATTCTTGACACGCAGTACTTTCTGTAACAGAATAGTATCTGTTAGAACATAAACTAACAAACACTTAAAGAGGACAAGTAAAAATAAGAACACACTAGGGGGTGTAAATTAAATTACTCTATTGTACTTTGTGTTAGAAACAGGCCCATTAACTGCATATCTGTCTAAAAAAGTCTAAAAACACTGTAGTCCTACAAGACTACATTTTTTCAAAGAAGTGCATTTAATCTTCATGTGGGTTGATTCCATGATGGGAAACAACAGGCAGTTCATAGTACATATTTAACCCATCTAACTCCTTTTTTTTTTTTTCTTCTTTTTTTTTAGAGGGCATCACAATATAGAAACATAACATTCCAAGTAAATTAATTCTTAAAACAAGAAAATGAGGGTTTGTTCCCTCTCCATTTACTACAATGAATATGATATTTTGTCAAAAGCAAAATAATATTTACAACCATTTCTTTTGAAGTGTCCAAATTATCCATATAAAATAAAATATGACAAGTTTTGAATACAGGGATTTTCATTTTTTTAAAAAGATTACCTGGAGGCGTCCAACAGAAACATCAGCAATAGCAATAGCTCTGATAGCTATAGGTAATACAGTGAGACTGAACCTCATTGCATTAAATATGGAAATGGTGGAAAATGCCTGGGGAAGAGAAAACATTTTTGTTACAATGTAGTATGTGTTTCCTCTTGCCTAGGAAACATTTAAAATTTACATTAACAATGAGTACCTATTAATCTTGTGTACAGCATCTGCCATGTGCTTTTGTAAATTCTCTTTTAAGTTTTGTGTATCTCAGCCTAGTCAGATTGGTTTTATAGTGCTCCTTTATTATGTTGATAAGTCATTTGTTTGGTGTGTGATCCAAAAGAAATGACCGTGTGTGCTCAGATAGGACTGATCTTCATCAGTTTCATACTGTTTGAGACAATAGCACCTGAGATACAAATACAACCCACTGTAACATTAAGACAAATATAACACTATGTGGAACAAGTCTAACCCTTAAATGCCATATGTGTTAACTGGGATGTCTAAAACGTCTTCCTCATCAAACCTCATCACATCTGGCAATGAAACTAGAACTGTCTTGACTGTGACTATGAAAGCACAGATATGTTAGTACATCGGCATAATTTAAGGTTGTGATGTTTCTGTGCATCACTCATTCTAAAGAGAGGAAGGACAACGTTTCTATTCATTTTCATTCAAATTTTCCAACTTTGAAAATTCCTGAAATTTTGCAACCCTGAGCCTATAACCATAAAAATGAACATTCTAAAGCCATCATTATAGTTCTGCAGTGTAATGGATATGTGTTTGTAGTAGTGTTACTAAATATATTGTAGGTCTTGGAAAGACAGAGGGTCACTTACATTAGCAGGAGTCAGTGATAAGCCAAAGGCAGTGTGCACCAAAAAAGTGATCACTGTGGTAACGAGAGGAGAAAGAGTAGAGATGCTGATATTGGTATTCTCAAAATAACTGGCATTTCTAATATTTCTCCTTTCTTCCTTCCTGATACCTACAACACAAATATAAGATACAATATTAGACAAGGCTCACTCAATAACCATTTAAGTCATAGTTATGTGGAAAAAAAGTTAAAACAACACATTTGCTTTGTGTCTTGTATTCGGTAACTATCATATAATTCTTTCATATATCATATAATTGTTCTTTCGTGTTTATTGTAAACTTCAATTTGGATCTAAATTACTCTATTGTACTTTGTAATAGAAACAGGCCCATTGACTTAATGTCTGTCTAAAAAATTCCAAAAGTCCCAAAGTCTACATTTTTCAAAGAATTGCATTTAAGTACAGGGCTGAGACTTAGAACAATGATGAATGCAAATGGAAATAATCTGTGCCTGGGGGAGTAGTTCGACAGAGTTACTCTGTTTAGAAAATCACTTATGTAGTTTCTATTATCAATAAATTATATCATATATCAAGGATTACATTGAATATAATTTAAGTAATGATGATAAACATGTGTGAGAGCTTATCAGTGAATACAAGATATAAGAATAATACGACACATTAAAAAAATGAAATTATACCTGCAACTTCCTTCTCAAAGCTTTCTTCCCAGGCATACATCTTGATAAATTTGATGCCATTTAGAATCTCATTCATTTTGCGAATTCGTTTATCAGTTGACTTAATGGCAAGAAATTTGAATTTTTCAATCATTTTGCTGATATAGATCTGCCCAGAATAATTGTAAAAATAATAAAGTTGAAGTATAAGCTTGTAACATCTCTTATCCTGTAAAACATTTTGTATCCACCTGTAAAGGGATTAGAAGTATGTAGGTGATGACACCTGCCAGGGCGGTAGGACCCAACACGTAACAGGCATAGACAATACATGTAATTAAAAGCACTGGTGAGACCAGTAAAAAGTTCCCTAATGTGGCTGCTTCAAAGACACGGTGCCCATCACTGTTTAAGACATTAATCAACTGCAGAAAAAGGGACATGGAAGCAAAATTATTACACAGTAATATTACACAGTAATCCTGTTTTGATGCTTACCTCGCCCATAGGAAGGCCACTGTTGACTCGAAGGGAGAGGATCTTCTGGAAAGCTAGAGCTGAGAAGGCTCCTTTCAATCTGACAGCTGAGCGCAGGTTGATGGCCCAGAACAGAGAAATGAAGAAACCTTTGCTGAATTCAGATGTGAACAACCCCAAGGCCAGACCTACTCCTCTGGCTAATGTGTGAGTCTCTGGATGACTAATGTATTGAAGAATCTGATAAACCATTATAGCCTATGGAAAGATTTCAACAAAACTCAATGTTACATAACATCACATAATTGTAGTTTAACATTATAATTTTAAACTGGACTAGGAATTGCTTGTTTTAAATCCAATACTGTATGGTCTCCAAAACAAGTACTTCCTCAGCTTTATTATCTCTCATTTAAAGTACAGGCGTCATCTGAAACATGTTTAGTCAAAAAAACAACATTATGCATTGAATATTTTGACACATATTGTACCTATATGGTGCTGTGCATTCAGTGAGAGACAGAATGTTTGTTTTTTTAAAAAAACACCATCACAGACTGTTTGACTTTTAATTACTTGAATTTCAACCCACAAATAGCGTACCCTAAACCTAGTATAGATCTCATATTATATGTGGTGACTTACTGGCCCTAGAAATGCTGCCAGCATTGCAAAAGCTCCAACAATAAAGGACACAATGAGCCTGGTTCTCAGAAACCTCCTCAGCACTCGACTTAAAGATGCTTTGTCTTCTCCCACTCTGGCCATTTCCTCTTCCCATAATCTGTTAAGTCTGTAACAGAGACATGAAATAGTGCAAAATAGTACAATTACAACTACATAATTTCTTCTTGAGCATTAGTTTTTCCGGCACTTCATATAAATTATAATTTCTCATTCTGACCTGTCTGTGCTGAAATCAGATGCATCATATGGCGATATACAAAGTGAATTTAAGTCAAATTTTTTTCGGAAAACAGACCACAAAATAGTTGTCATCCAGGCAAATGTAGAAAAGGATAGAAAACCTGCATTGTCTTGTGGATTTGACCTGTGTGACACATAAAAAAATTATATGTTGAAGAAAAATGAATACATACAGCATGAAGGGATTTTTAGGGAATGTTGCTAAATGTTAAACTTCAATGTTAAACTAACATTGTTTGATAACTGGAAATATTTCTACATTTTCTTTGTCATGTAACATTACATATATTACTACAGTTTTTCATTTGTTTTAGCACAACAAAAAAATTTTTAATCATTTGATTCAAACATTTACCTGAACTGTGGCTTAGGTGGTCAAATGATATTGAGCATTTCTCAGTTCTCAGTCTCTTTCTCAGAACACTTGCCATAGCTCTCATTCAGAATCATACTTGAGCTGATCACTGAATTCACCTTCTTTTTTCAATACTGCAGGTCTGTTCTTGCGTAGTAAAGGACGTTAGTCCTAACAGTCACTTTCAATATTGAACACAAGGGCAAAAAACTACAATTTGTGATCACCCACAGTCTAAAAGGATTTCACACCCGAATCAAAAACCCTCTGAAAGTACAGACTCTATGAATACACAAACACTGTATATCCAGTTACAGGTTGGGCAAATGTCCATGTCCCATTACACATACTCATAGCAAAAGTAGTGCTGATGTATTTGCTCTTTTAACATCTCTCAATTTATGTCACCATAAATATGTTTCATAAAAAAGCATTTTTAATGTAGTAGGTACACCGACAGCACAGCTCTTATGATTCCTCTGTGTTAAGTGTGAACCCTGTGATTCTCTGTGGTCACAACTTGACTAGCCTGCAGTGTACCCTGACTGCAGGTGTGGTATGCTTTGGGTTCCGTGCAGTTTTACAGTGACTTGTAAGCCCCACTGACTGCAGTATCTGCTGCCGTGCGGTTGCAGTTGGCTGTGGGCAGAGTGTGGAAACAGCGCTCTCGAGACAACGTATTTGCAGGGATTCAGGTTCTGGTTGGGAATTTAGGTGATAGATTAGTAGTCCTAGTCCTCAGGTATCACACACACTTTTTGAAAGTAATTTTTTCAATAGTTTCTGAGGTAGGGCATCACAGATTTTTTTATGAAAAAAAAAAATCCTAAAATTCCCACAAAGGGAGCACAGCGGCTTGTGGTGGGGCGGCATGTATGTGTGCCAGCAAAAAAAACTCGGACCAAGAGCCCACAGGAACACACAATTCAGCTGATCAGACTGTCCCCCTGAACTGGGGATAACACACCATCAGGGGCGCAGGTAGGATTTTTGACTATATCTTGAAAATGTAATTGGAAGCACACTGCACTTTGCATCTTTAGCAATATGTATCAAAATAACTACATTAATAAATATTACTCATAATAAATTTAATCATTAATAAAAAGATGTAACAATTAAATGGCTGCACTTCTTGCAGGTTATGTGTAAAACAATTCCAGAAAAAATAACAGCAGAAACACTAGTAAAAAGTCAGGCTACAGGCTACATAGACTAAAAATGCCCATGGGAAAATGTTATGTTACGAGTTAATTTCACTGTTCAGTAATATAATTTAATAAAATAGGCTGCATCAATTGTGTGGGCCAAAAGTCTCAGAGGTAGACATATCAGTGAATCAAGAAATATAAAAGATTTGACTCAGACCCACCCTCCGTATTCCCAGAGCACTTTAAAACTGACCCAGGATCAGTAGTAAACAGTCCTGTGATTGGACACGTGAGGAGCTATACTTCTGCTGTAACATTTGATTGGCCAACATCAACACGTGCTCCATATTTTTCTCAAAGTAATTCAAAGTAATGGCAGTGCAGGGCATGTAATTAGTTACAGTTATCCATTACTATTCCCTCAGAGTAGCTGTGTTAGTAAATGCGTTACTGAGTGATTTAAGTTCAAATAAAATACACCATAGCTGAGTAAAGAACTCAAAATCACAACTGTACCATCACAACAGCACAGGGCAAACAGCTGTCCCCTTTATACAGTAGACTATGTCCAAACAGCATTACAGTATTACATGAGCTGCACTTACGATATGTAGTGTAAGCATTTTTATTATAGATCCATGAGCGTGAGCAGAGGGCTGTGTCCACTATTATTTTGCGTCGCTAATATTTTAGACATCTGTAAACTCCAAAGTCCCTCCCGCTATAGTTGTCTGTTTGTGGTCCCGTCATAAAGAGTCGCCAAACAATGATGTATATCCATAAAATTCACATGAAACGGCATGTATCTATATGATGAAAACTATTATTCACCCACTTGTCAACGCTACACCAGTGAAATGTCAGAATAATTTTTTGGGCCTCCTATCACTTCGTTTGATTGGTTTACTTTATTTCTAATCTCTTTTTTTCTAGCCAATTACTGTCTCTATAGACGGATTATATTGCTCCTACAGTTGTTCGAAGAAGACACATAAATGAAAACACAGGTGCACTGTTCATGGAAATGATAAATTTTGAAATTGCCTCATGTTCTAATGTTGGTGATGTGTTGAACTCTGTGACTTTGAGTGTTTTGAATGTTCTGGATGCCATTGCCCCGATAAAGGTTAAAATGGTTAAAGATAGGCAAAAAGCTCCGTGGAGGAATGATGACTCAGTCAGAGCACAGAAAATGGAGTGCCGGAAGGCTGAGCGGAAATGGCGCAAGTCAAACCTCCAGGTTCATTATGAGATTTACAGAGGAACAATGCATATGTACAACTACACTTTGAGTAAAACAAGAGAGAAGTATTTTTCATACATTATTGGTAATTGCAGTAACAACTCTCGTGTCCTGTTTGCAACAGTGAACAGATTAACAAACCCTCCAGCTCCACTGCCACTAGAACTGATTTCCACATCTAATTGTAATGAGTTTGCAGTTTTCTTTAATGACAAAGTTCAGGGCATCAAAAATGCCATCAATTCCACAACACAAATAACAAGCATGCAGCCACAGAGATACTTAGAGCTGTACTGTACCTGTAACTGACAAAACTGTTTTAGAGATTGTTACCAGTCTGAGTTCATCTACTTGCTGCCTGGACATGTTACCCACTAGATTTCTAAAGTCCATCCTCAACAGTTTACTTTCACCACTCACTCACATAGTTAACATGTCACTTCAATCTGGAACATTCCCAAATGCATTGAAAACTGCTTTCATTAAACCTCTCCTAAAGAAGAGCAGTCTTGATGCCACAGTACTGAACAATTTCCGACCCATCTCAAATCTGCCATTTTTTGGCAAAGTCCTTGAAAAAGCTGTTTACCAACAGCTTACGAACTTTCTCCAAATGAACAACTCCTTTGATGTTTTCCAGTCAGGTTTTAGAGCCCACCACAGCACTGAGACTGCTCTTATCAAGGTGACAAATGACATCCGCCTGAACACTGATGCAGGCAAAGTCTCAGTCTTGATCCTGTTAGATCTGAGTGCTGCTTTTGACACTGTCGATCATGGGATCCTCTTACAGAGACTGGAGGACTGGGTGGGCATCTCTGGTACTGTACTAAACTGGTTCAAGTCCTATCTAGAAGACAGGAAGTATTTTGTTGAAATTGGAAACTGTGTCTCAGATCACATGGCCCTGACCTGTGGGGTGCCTCAGGGGTCAATCCTGGGCCCCCTGTTGTTCAATCTCTACATGCTGCCATTAGGCCAGTTAATAAGCAGCAATAACGTGTCCTACCACAATTATGCAGCAGATGACACTCAGATCTACGTCTCTCTCTGGCAGCAGGAGACTATGGACCAGTGGACTCACTTGGTCACTGCATCCAACAGATCAGTCAGTGTGTGGATGCAAAACAACTTTCTCCAGCTAAACTCTGACAAGACTGAAGTCATAGTGTTTGGTCCACAAAAACAAAGGGACAGTGTCTGCAGTCACCTCCAGTCTCTCTCTCTAAAACCTTCAAATCAGGCAAGAAATCTAGGGGTAATAATGGACTCAGACTTGAACTTTAACAGCCACATCAAATCAATAACATCTGCAGCCTTTTACCATCTAAAAAACATAGCAAAAATCAAAGGTTTACTGTCTAAAGCAGCCTTGGAGAAACTTATCCATGTGTTTGTCTCCAGTAGATTAGACTACTGTAATGGTCTGCTCACTGGTCTCTCCAAACGAGCTGTGAAACAGCTGCAGAACATCCAGAACGCTGCAGCTCGGGTCCTGACTCGAACTAGGAAGTACGAGCACATAAGTCCTGTGCTCAGGTCTCTGCACTGGCTTCCTGTGCCTCAGAGAATAGACTTTAAAGCAGCTCTGCTTGTGTACAAGTCTCTCCATGGCCGAGCACCAAAGTACATCTGTGACATGTTAGTGTCGTATGAACCATCTCGCACTCTGAGGACCTCAGGGACCGGCCTCCTGCTGGTGCCCAGAGTCAGGACTAAACAAGGGGAGTCAGCGTTTCAGGTTCATGCAGCTAAAACCTGGAACAGTCTTCCTGAACATGTGAGACAGACTCTTCTGTGATGCTGTTTAAATCCAGGCTCAAAACATTTCTGTTTAACTGTGCATATAACTGAAAGGTTTTCATTCCGCACTCTTCTCTCCAATTTATGTCTCTCTTTTTTAATTTTAATCTTCATGATTATTTATGTTTTGATTTGTTTTTATTATGATTTTAATGTATTTCTTATTCTGTAAAGCACTTTGAATTACTTTGTGTACGAATTGTGCTATACAAATAAACTTGCCTTGCCATTATATTGTGGCCCCTCAGATTCAATCAAGACGCAGAGAGCTTTGACTGGTGCCAGTATTTTTACTGACTTAAATCATATCAGCTAGCAGTGTGAAGACTACATGGAAAAGAAAAACTGAAAAAACACAAATACTTTTAACAGTGAAATAACTAATAACTAGTAACTTAACTAAAATTGTCCACATTTATTTGGCCATCTACTGGAGTGGCTGACATTTACAGATTATTTGTTCATCAATACAGCGGATACATGTGCAACCTGCAATACGAGTGCAGTCTGTGCAGTTAACATGAATTTGCAACACTTAGTGCTGTTGTCAACGCACTAAAACAGTTTATCGCTGTGTGATAAAATAAGTTATGATGCTAAATTAACATCAGTGAGTGGGATACGTCTTAATGACCCATATGTGCATTTAGCCGGTGACTGCCTAAATGATGAAAATAACAAAATGGCTCTAACTTCAGTACCTGTACATACACTCATACCTGACCAATACAACTAGCCTAGCCCCTGGGAAAGCCTGAAATCTGCTGAAATTCTACAAAACAGACATGATCCCAGACAGGATAGCTGCACCTTCTGCAAGAGATGTGCAGTAGAGTGCAAAGTAACATAGTCTGATAATTCTTCTATTCCCTCGTCTCGCTTTGGTTTACTTCCCAAAACAAAGAAAAAATTTGGCTGTGGCTCCTGAAAGAGAGAGAGAGAGCACAGTCTGATCTGTCACCGCTCATGAGACTCAAGGTAAAATAAAGAGCCTTGTTACACTGACAGTAACAATAACGGTGTTACAGCAGAGGAACAAGTAATTAGTTACTCTTAAAACTAAAGAAGACCTGGCTAATAGACCAGAGTTAAAGAGTTGTATATGTTTTCTGTGGACTTCATTTGCGGATTTTATTTATTTATTTGAAGAAACATGTCTTAACAGGGAGATGATGAGACAAGGGGCAAGAAGACACAGTAACACAGTATGGTTTAATCTTAATCCAGTGCAGTTAAACTCTGGTCTAGTTTTGAGGTCTTTATGAGATGTTTTGTGCTCTTAGACCTGGATATGCAGACAGAGGAGCAAATAGCTTCTGGTGTGAGCCCAGTGCGGAGTGCTCCTGCTATGCCAGCTTGCACATCTTCTCGCCGTTTTCAGACATCGCATTTTGTACTTGGTTTTTGTTCTTAACATGGGTATGCACCAGAGTTCTGCACAGGTCAATTTTTGGAGAACTACCCCTGCCTACCCCCGCGCAGTACATCACCACACGCACCCGTTAACCCGTGATTATATCGAAGTTAAACCCGCACCCACCCAGACCCATTATTATTACACCCGTTATCTGCCCGTGTCCGTGATAAATTTCATACAGATTAAGAGCATTCTAGCTGAAGCAGCCATCAAAATATGAATTGAAAAGTTATGACTTCAAGAATTACAATCACAAAATGAAATAAAACGGTCACGCTTTCTTCATTACGAATACAAATTCACAGATTCGGCTCGACTGTCATCACTCCACAGGCATTAGCAGAAGAAACACACCATGGACTGAACTAGGACTAATCCAGAACTAACCCAGGACTAAACCAGGACTAACCTAGGACTGATTCCAGGACTGAACCAGGAGGACTAAAGCAGGACTAAACCAGGACTAAACCAGAACTGAACCAGGACTCACTGTCGGGATGGGCTCGGAGGTCCGCCCGTGTAGACTGTTGGGTGACCCGCGGGGACCTAATCAGGTGCAGGCCTTGGATGCAGTGCACGTTGTTTATGTCATTGTCTTGACTTTAGTTAACTTATTTGGCATTGAAAGTAAATTTTGACACTGCGTGTTTATTTCCCATCTTTCCCCTACCAAAAACCTTGGAGACACTCTGTTGACGCTGCAAAATTAGACCTCCAACCTATCTTGAGCAGTGCATCAGTGTCATGACGGACGTTGGACGTGCATATGACACTGACGGTGGGGATCGTCAGACCAGTTTTGCATCCTGTTCCAGCTCTTGCTCCATATTCATAACGGTAAGAAATATCAAGTAAAGCGTTCACATTACATGTGTTAAATGATCATTGTATTGGGCTATTTTTGTGGATTGTGCCTTTACACTGTGGACATGAAAGAGCGTTATGTGATGGACAAGGCAAGTACCAGAATACACGTCCACATTTAAATGGCCAACGTGAGGAATGTTTACAGAAATACCCAGGTCTCTTATTCATTTGCACTTAAAGTTGCATAATTTTCACTAATGGGCACAGCTCACACTGCCTTGGGGTGAACAGGCCCTTTGACCATGGGCTCTCCCTGTGTGTCTCTCCCTTCTGATGGTGTTTCGTCAAGCCCAAAAAGGTGCACGTTTTCTGTGTTTGTTTCGGATGGAGGCCATATGCATTTAGACCATAAGCGAACCACATCATTTGGAAGCAGACCAAGACCCACCTCTTCAGGTCGGTCTCAGTCCGCTTGCTTGGTCTGGATCAGAGTTTGGTTGTCTTTATTCATGAAATACATACTGAAATACATTCTGGGACAGTGTGACTACACCCTAAGTCTTCCTCAGAGTGATCACATGATGTTGCTGTGATGTGTCTGATCAGCTGATTTAAATAGGATGATGGCACCATCTACAGCACGACTTCTTCAGGACAGTATCCCAGTATCCCGTAGGCGCATTTCCCTAATTCAATTGCCTCCTTAATTCTCTGTCAATGTTTGTTTTCTTCTGTCTCAATGCTCTGTCCATTATGGGCTGGTTCTCTCTTTTACAATGGTAGAAAATGCCAATTTAAGCAGTTGGACTGCAAGTAACCCTGTCGCCCTGTCTTCACCAGTAGGAAGACAGCACTAAAACTTGTTTAAGATGACCAGATACGTCACAGCAACATCACGCGATCGCACTGGAAGACCACTTGTGAGCACTGAGCAGTTAAAACTATCAAGTTTGAAAACAAACTAAATCTTGGTATGAAAAAGTCTGTCAAAGCAACAAATCAAATGAAAAAAAAAAAGTAAAAATAAAAAGATACTAACTCAGGTGAAGAAAAGCGGATGGGTTTGAGGGTCTGGAAGCTCTGGTAGTATTTTCTAAATCCAGCTGGGCGTTGTACAGCCTCATTGTCCATCCTGGTGTCTCCTGTCAGATTTACAGTCCACAGGTCTCCATTGTGTGACTCAAGGAGAAAAACAAACAAGAATACAAATTAAGGAATTATAGCTTTTAAGGAAATGTATGATTCCTTTGTGAGTTTCTTGTAGCTCTGCACTGCCTTTCCTGTCTTTCTCTCTTTCAAATCAGGATAGAAATCTAGAGATAATAATGGAGTTGAACTTTCAGATCAATCAATAACATCAGCACATTTTTACTATTTAAAAACACTGCCTAAATCAAAGGCCTGTATATTACAAGCAGCGTTAGTTGAAATGCAGAGACGTTTGGTGCGTGCTGCGCTTTAGGTGTCAGTGTGTGCTTGACAAAATGCTTTAATAATCTGGCTGCAACAAATATATTGAAGCCATGTATTTTTAAGACGTCAAATCAAAGCTTGAAGCCTTGTTTAAGATGAGTAAGGCGGCAGCAGGTGAGCCACCCTGCAACACCGTTGCGTAGGCACCAGTAATATCGTGAGATCAAGGCTGCTGCAGGCACCTTGCAAGGCAGGCAAAGACAAAAAAGGCAATGATGGAAAATGCAGTGTTGTCACACGTGCCCACACAGTTGATTGGACATGATATGTTTAACTGAAACATGACATCCTGTTGCCCAGGGAGTCACTCACATCTATCTACTTAAAATCTAATCTAAAATGAGACAGAAAAGGATCCGGGTGTTGTACAACACAGACAAATGATTGATGTATGATCTTGATGAGCAAAAAGTCAATGTCACCACAGATCATGCCTAAGCATGTAAACTTTATTTTGAGCTCTGTGTTCTTTGCTCTGGTGATGTGGAGTCAGTCTGTGGTGTATGGGGGAAATAAGAGAATGCATTCACAAAGTTTGATGTAATTTTATTTAGTGCAACACTTCAAATGAATGCAAGATCTGTACTGACATTGGGACTCTGCTTCAGTTCAGATATGGGGCCTCATTTATAAAGAACTGCTTAGGAATTTTTCTAAGCATGAGCATACTCCTAGTGGCCACCAGAGGTGTGAGTCAAGCAAGCTCCAAATTTAGAAAACCCTCCGTGTGCACTCTACCACACATCTTGTACTTTATAGATCCCACCTGCAGCTGGAATCTGCACATGTGAAGCCCCGGCCTATGGACTAGTTTTTAGTCTTTGACAGTGTTGGTCAAATTACTTTGCAAAAGAATAATGACTACTGATTAGTCTTTCTAAAAGTCTAAAAGACTTTCTAATTACTACTCTGATTACTTTATTTCAAAAGTAATTTGATTACTGATAACTAAACTAATTACTAAATTTTTAGTGGTATAGTCCACATACTTGGCCATCAACAAAAACTATAACCACACTTCCTGAATATGCTTTTGTTTCAAAATGAAGAATGATGTCAGACATGTGTCATTTGCACTAATTTAAAAGAAATTAAAAAAAGTTGAGAGTGAAAAGAGTAAAATGGTGCCAGAAAAAATAGAAATCCTGTTCAATGTATGATATATATTTCCAATATAAGCCTCATATAGTCTGTGCATGATCTGAAAACACTGTGAAGCTAACATGTTCACTGAGAGAAATACTTATTTTGTGAGAGAAATTAAATATTTCAAGCAGGTCATTTGATTTTGCAATAGATTTTTGTTTGAGTTTTGATATATGCATGAATTGCTTTGCAGAATGCATTTAAAGCTTTGAAAAAACAGTTCTGATAATAAAATGGTACCAAAGCAAGCAAGAAAAAATGGAATTCTAAGCTTACCGGAAAAACTGCATTCACTCTACTCGTTTCTACTGAATCTGAATACTTTTTCTTCATTGTGTTGTTCTTTTAAGAACCCCACGTGAATACAACTGAATAAAAAAAAGTCATCAAGTATCATCATAATGTGTAACAATCATGTCAATAATTGTAAATAGAAGACTGAAAGCTTACAAGATAAAGAGAATAAACAATACTTACATTATTTACTTCTGAAAAGCACTATCTGATCATAGTCAGAGCCCTAAAACTGGGCTGTGATTACAGGCTGAATCTCCCTCTTGATCACATGTGTCAGGCTTCCTAACAGTTATGAGGCCAAAGGTTTGTGTGGACAGAGATGAACAAAACACACAACCACCACGTGACACTACGTCCTTTAAATTAACAATCATATCTTTATGTATTTACACATTTGTAAAGTTTACAGAGGATACATTTACTTCATTGCACAGCAAGCATTTTATTCAGTTGTTTCTTTTTTTTTGTTTGTTTTTTTGTTTTTTGTTCTTTTTTTTTTTTTTTTTTTTGAGTAATTACTTTAGACAGTATTAGTAAGAAAAACATGCTCTTAGTGTATTACCACATTGCTCTTAAGTCCTTCTAAAAATGTATTTAATAATTTCATTCATTTTTTAATTTATAATTATTTTAACATTTTGCTTTTTTTTTTAAGGGTGGTGTTTTGTTGCTGTGATGAAAGTCAAACTGATTTAAATCAGGTCATTTCTAACATTTTGTTGCACTAACTTTTGGCCTTATGAGGTTCTGAGTTATTTTTTAACTAGAAATAATCTAAGGTTCTGAGTTATTTTTTAACTAGAAATATTCTTAGTCATAGTTACATACTGTAAAAATATCAGGAGTCAATGAAAAGACAACAGACACACAAGGGGAGCAGAAAACAGCAGGAAATGTGAAATCAAATGTGCCACATACAGTAAGGTGAATTTGAATAATCTGGGACATTTTTTTTAAATTGTAGTTTGACACTATTTTATTAGAACTTTATAGTCACCTATATAAACCTATTATACCTCTCCAGAATCCTTACCATGTTTTCTAACTAGATCAAATCAATTTAGAGGATATCAAAAAAGTGAAATGGATGGCATAACACATTATTATTATTAATGTTGTTGTTGTTTTTACCTAAGCATAACTGAAAAATTAATTAAGTAATAGCAATCTCAACTGTCAAATAAATAAAATATACTTCGAAAACTTTTTTCTTCATTATCTTAAGTCTTTGAACATCTTCCTTTTTTGCAAAGTTTCTTGCATTTAAGCATTGTCAAACAAAAAATGACCAACTATGAAGAAAAACCATTTATTATCAGACAGACAACAAGTGTATCCAACTTTCTGATATAAAATTAAGAGGTTGAATTGATAAGAACACAAATTATTGGCATAAATGCTTAAGTGTTCCACATTACTCAATGCCCCAAATTACCCAAACTCACCCTATAGTCATTTTACATATTTAATATATAATATTTCATATTACACAAAGCTTACACTTGAGATCTTGAAGCCATGTTAAAATGTTGTTACGTCATCAAAAACATACCTGGAGCTTTAATAAAACCCAAACTTAATGACTTCCGCCCCATAGCACTTACCCCAGTCATCACCAAGTGCTTCGAGAAACTGGTTCTGAGGCAAATCAAAGCCTGCCCACCTATCATCCATCTGCACTCTCAGCACCGGCTTCGCCCAGGGCTGAGCCCACTTCTCTACTCGCTCTACACACGAGTGCAGTCTCGCCCACCCAAAGAACATGATTGTCAAATTTGTGGATGACACGACGGTGGTAACAGAGGGGAATGAGGCTGCCTACAGAGATGAGGTCCTGAAACTCAGTGAGTGGTGTACAGCTAACAACTTGGCACTGAACATCACCAAGACTAAGGAACTCATCCTGGACTATAGGTGGAACAGAGCTACCCCTGCCCCCCGTCAATGGTGAAAGTGTGGAGTGAGTGGAGTCCTTCAAATTCCTTGGGGTTCACATCTCTGCAGACCTCTCCTGGTAAGACAACACCTTCAGCAGTGGTCAAAAAGGTCCAGCAGCACCTACACTTCCTGAGGGTGCTCAGGAAGGAGAAACTAAACAAAAGTCTGCTGGTGACCTTCTATCGTTCCACCACTGAGAGCCTGCTGACCTTTGCTGTGTCAGTGTGGCACTCTAGCTCCACAGAGGCTGACAGGAAGCATCTGCAGAGGGTGACCAACACTGCACAGGAAATTATTGGCTGCCCTCTGCCTTCCATATCCACCATCTATGACTCCTGCTGTCTCAGCAGAGCTAGGAACATTATTAAGGACAATACATACCGCGGCTTCCACCTCTTCAACCTGTTGTCTTCTGGCAGGCACTTCAGGTCCATTCCAGCCAGAACAAATAGATTTAGGGACAGCTTTTTTCATCATACTGAACTCATCTTTACACTGAGAATGTGTTAATTTGTTTTATGTTTTTTTTTTTTGCACTTTGACAGAGCAGCTCTAAATCTCATTATACTGTATAATGACAATAAAAGCTTTCCATTCCATTCTATTCTATTCTAATAGCTCTAAAGTGGAGAGAGTGTAATTTAACAAACCGAAAGCAGTATATGCAATGGGGGCAGCACAAATCCACGTGTGATACCATTGTTTGTGGGGTCCCACAGGGATCCATGTTAGACCCCAAACTATTTATTTTTTTATGTAAATGAGTTGTATTTAGTTTCTGAAAAAAACTTAAATTTGTTCTCTTTGCGGATGATACAACAATTCTGTGTTCAGACGAGGACCTTCCAAGATTAGTGATCGAGACTACACATGAACTTACTAAGAACAAAAAATTGGACTGTTCATTGGACAACTAGAGTAGTTTGCTCACAAGAAATGGGTCAAAATACCAGCTGACCAGTGCAGAAGTCTCATTGACAGTTATAGAAATTGTCTGCTTGCAGAGTTTGCCTCAAAAGGCTGTGCAACAAAATATTAAGTTAAGGGTACCATCATTTTTGTCCAGGCCAGTTTCATTATTTAGTTTTTTCTAATAATTCTGTTGAACCACAGGTGAAAAACAATGTTTGTTTTTTGTTGGACAATTTTCAGTACATTTTTATTTATTATTGCTTTCCTCAGTTTCAAGTTATTTCAGTGATTACTGTTGATTTTTCTTTCATTGCCAGAGGGGTACCAACAATTTGTAAGTATATATGCACTCTTCATTACAACACTTTTTTGACATCATAACAATTACAGTTACATTATACAGCAATTATTCATTGAAGCCTTTTGGGTTAAGAAGGCCTTATTGTTTGTGTGAAGAATCCCTCAGTCATCCAGGTAGAATCCATGAGGAGAAAATTCTGTTTGTCGACTGGACAAAAGTTAGTTTGGTTGAAGACGTTTCACAGCTCATCCAACTGAAGAAGCAGTTCTTCAGTTCTGGTCAGAATGCTGGTGGACACTTCCTTATATCTGCAGGGAGGAGCTAACTAACTGAAACTAACACACCTACTTGTTTACAGTTTCTGTTAGTTAGTTTGGCCTGTTGACCTGTGCAGGGTGTGGGGTCTAATTAGCAAACAATTCATGGCCATAATGGAGCTTCCACACCTCTAGACCTGACCTGCTACACCTGTTGTTCTCTTGTTTGTTTTAATTTAGGTTTGAGGATGGAGTTGTAAATAGGAGATAGATGGTGTCTGAGGCCTCCATTTCTGTTTAGAGAAGGATTCTCTTTCTTAACAAAAATGACTTCTTTCAATCCCCTCTCAAACCAATGTTTTTCTCTGGCTAAAATCTGTACCTCGCTGTCCTCAAATGACTGGCCTGTGGCTTTTAAGTGGAGATGTACCGCAGACTGAGGTCCACTGCTGCTCTCTCGTCTGTGTTGGTACATCCTCTTGTGAAGTAGCTGTTTAGTTTCTCCAATGTAGCGTTCACTGCAGTCTTCACTGCACTGAATGGAGTAGACCACATTGCTTTGTTTGTGGCTCAGTGTTTTGTCCTTTGGGTGGACCAGTTTCTGTCTTAAAGTGTTTGTAGGTTTGAAATAGACCGGGATCTCATGTTGTCTGAAAATCCTCTGTAGTTTTTCAGAAACACCGGCCATGTAGGGAATAGTTACCCCCCATGGCCTACATGGTCTACCTAACTAACAGAAACTGTAAACATGTAGGTGTGTTAGTTTCAGTTAGTTAGCTCCTCCCTGCAGATATAAGGAAGTGTCCACCAGCGTCTGACCAGAACTGAAGAAGCAGCTTGGATGAGCTGCGAAACATCTTCAACCAAACTAACTTTTGTCTAGTTGACAAACAGAATTTTCTCCTCAAGGCCTTATTGTGCTTTTGTGCTCACTTATGCAGGTTTTTGTTATTGTGTCATCATTCCAACATACGCAAGACAGCACGGGTAGCGCAGCAGATAAACAACATGACTAGACGCGCATGTACTGATGATGAGAAGTCTTTGTGCACTGAGCGCAACTGCCGCAAGTTTGCTATTACGAATAGGGGCAAGGAATATAGGGCAAGAATTGTCTCAAAAAGATTTATACAAATAAAAAAAAATATATAGAGATATACATACATTTATAAATAACCAAATACAAATATAAATACATGACATACAAATAAATAAATTTGTATAAATAAAAAAATATGCTTGACTTTGTATGTGGAATCTGTGTTTTGCTTTTCTCTTCATTTATAATTTTTTATATGTATAAATCTTTTTCAGACAATTCCCACTCCATAAAGGAAAGTTTGCGCATTTGGTGTATTTCTGCTGTGGGAGAACTCTGAATGTTCCAAGGCGTCTCACAGGTTTCTGTCTTTTCAGTAGGTCAATACAGGTGAATCTTTGAATATTTGGGACAATTCTGGATCAATCTTTAATATGTGCCAGTTTTCTAAAAATGATTGATTTGATGTTGTGGCTCTGGGGTGAATACATTTTCTGTATAACATCACAAGGTGTGGAAGAGTGTTTTCTGGTTGAGAAGAGCACAGCCTAAATATGCAGGGTGTTTTAAACAAAACACAACTCCAGGTATGTCTTTCATGAGAAAAAATCATTATATTATAACATTATAACAAACTGTATATCTGAAAATAGTGTAATTTGGGCCCTTTAAGCTTGGTCAAAAGCATTAGTACATATAATATGTTTTGTTTGCTGTAAGATCACTTACCGCTCATTTTCCTCTTCCTTTGAAGCAAAAAGCTGAATGGTTCTCTGAGGCAGATTGTATGTACCACCACTTGGCAGTAATCTATTCATTAACTCTACAGGTTTGGCATAATGAACAATGTCTTAAGTACATCTTGAGACCTCTAACAGTGATATCCACAGGCAGAATATACCCCTAAATTGAAGAGATGGATCATACGAATGGTAACCAAAGAGCACAGAACAACCTCCAAACAAATTCAATGTGAACTTGAAGGGCAAGGTAGACCAGTGTCAGATCGCACCATCCGTCACTGTTTGAGCCAAAGTGGACTTCATGTGAGGACACCACTGCTGAGAGCAAGTCATAAAAAAGTGAGACTGGAATTTGTCACAATGCATATTAACAAGCTACAAAGCTTCTGGGAGAATGTCCTTTGGACAGATGAGGCAAAACTGGAGCTCTTTGTGAAGACACATCAGCTCTATGTTCACAGAAGCAAAAATAAAGCAGACCAAGAAAAGAACACTGTCCCTACTGTGAAGCATGGAGGAGGCTTGGTTTTGTTTTGGGGCTGTTTTGCTGCATCTGGCACAAGGTGTCTTGAATCTGTGCAAGGTACAACGAAATCTCAAAACTATCAGTGTATTTTGGAACGAAAGGTGTTGACTAGTGTCAGAAAGCTTGGTCTCAGTCATAGGTCTTCCAACAGACAACCCAAAGCACACAGTTACAGAGAGAGGGACAACAGTATTCTAATGTAAGTCAATGGAAGTCAGGATCTGTGGGAGTCAGAGCCCAGATGCGAATAGACTACATGGCACGTTAGGAAATGCTACTTCCGGTGTCAAAACTGCTCTTGGGTGACTTGTTTCAGGCGCAGCTTAAATGCGAGAGGTGGTTTCTCTCGCATTCTTTTTTTTAGCTTTGTCTGTGTAATTAGTCTTCGCAGAAGCAACAACAGCACCTTCCTCAAATACAAAAGTGTCATCTCAAAATATCAGCTAAATCACAAGGTAAGCCTGACATTCACAAACAGCACTTGTTCGTCAGTGGGGTGGGTTGATTCTCATTCTAAATGTAAACAATGTCTCAAAGTATTTTAATCTGTCTTTATGATTACATGAATAGTTTTTATGTATGAACTACATTTTAAGAGCACATATTTTTGTTTTAAGAGTTAATGACCCTCTGATTGCAATAAGTTAGTTCTAAGTGTTTTCTACTGACCTTCGGTTTATGCCGTTTGAATGTGTTTATAAAACTGCCTTTCCTGGTATATTACAATAATAATCCATTCTAGGTTCCACCTGTTACTCAAACGGACATTGGACACATACATGTCCTTGTCTTCATTACTACTAAAAAAAGACTCCAGGATAACAAGGGGAGTAAGATCATTGCTTATTACTGATAATATCAATGCTGTCTTGTTAAAAATTATGTGGTACCAACGCTTCCATGATTTTTTTGTTTGCTTTTGTTTAACATTATTACACATCATATCAGATCATTATAGATGATCTAACTGATCATCTGCAGTTTTGATCAGGCACATGAGACCCTCAAAAGGACACAGCACAACAAGCTCTCAATAACAGTGATAAATTGTCCAAAGTAGGTGTCACAAGATAACATACCTTGCCACGTGTCCCATCAAGACATGAAAGTGAAGTTTTTTGTTGTAGCCTTTTAACACAAAATCATGTAACATTCTGCCGACTTTATTGTTCAGCGCCGTAGTGCGCACATAAGCCACATGGTAAAGGATGGAATCGAGCTTTTAAAAATAGTGCTAACTTGTTCAGTGTTAAGACTGGCTTTCATGAGTTAATCTGCCTGCTAGAGCTGTGGTAAAATGTGATTGTAATGCACATATACTGTATTTTCCGGGCTATTAGGTGCTCTGGATTGTAAGGCGCACTGTCATTAAATGGTCTATTTACAAACTTTTTTCACAAATAAACCGCACCGGACTTTAAATGAAACACAACAGTTAGATGGCTCAGTCGGACTTTGTTTGGCGCGTTCATGGTTAATCTCGGCTTTGTTCAGTTGTGGCGTGTAGGGAGGGTGCTGTCTGGGACAGCTGGATTGTTGGCGTGTTCGCAGTGACTCATTTGTTCAGTTGTAGCTCAGAGTGGCACATTGCATCGCTTTTTCGGTTCGTTCCCCCGTTCCATTCCTTGTCTGCATGAAGTGAGGAGTGTGGCTGCGCGCAATTGTTTTTTGATGGGGTTGGAGGCTTAAGAGCGTGTCTAATAGCCCGGAAAATACGGTATATAGGTACAGGTGCTGAAAAAAATGATAGTTAAATTGATGTAGTGTAGTGGTTAAGGCTACAGACTAGTTATTTTCTTCACGGGTGACGTGCATTCAAGGCCCACGCACCTTCTTACTTGTACTTTTAGAACCTCTTTATCATAGTCAATAAAGGACACCAAACGACTTATGTGCAATTGTAAGCCTTCATTTACTTTATTCTGAAACCAGCGTATTTATCGCAGTCATGCCAGACAAAAGTTTGATTGGAGTCGGCATTGTTCTTGTTGAATCTGCAAATGAAACGGCATGTTAGACACAAATGATAAAACGTCTTGCTGTGCACATGCCTGATGCAGCCTGAGGGTGGCACAAAAGTGTAATCACCAATATACACTAGCGGCTCGTGGTGTAAGCCATTGTCATGCCATTGGGTGTGTCTTGCTAGACCTGTGTTATGCCCAAAGTGGTCTGGGCCCACTGTAATGGAAATGCTTCCCGAGTGCAGGTGGCCTCGCACCAAGGTGGCCCCAATTAAACCATGCCAGTGGAAATGACACTTAAAATACAAAATAACTAGTGCCAACATGGAAAGTGATAAACCTATATGAGCAATTCAGCATTTTATGCTTGGGTATCTAGCATAATGATTACAGATTACATAATACTAATAAATAATACTAAAAGTGAGAAGTAGAAACATAGATGTTTTAGCCACAGTGAAGTCTGAAGCCTTCTCTGTATGGAGATACAGAACTTGGTGAAGCTCATGTAAGTTGATGTTTACTGGATGTAATAGTTCCATCTGTTGCTACAGAAGTCCATTTATGTCCAAGGCTGAGCCTTGAGCTGGCAAGGAGTTCCTTTATTTGCTGGTTTTCTCTGGTGGCTGCCTGCCACACCACCTCCAGTTCCTCTTCAGTTTCCCTAAAGACAAAGCAGTGTATGGAATAAAGTCAATAATAGATAGAATATCTGTATAAACAACAAACAAATCATTATCCTTGTGTGATTATCACTGCATTTTATTTATGATGCCTGAAAGAGGCATTCTGAGAGGACAATTTTGGGAAAAAAAGTTACTCATGTAAATGTATTTGAGTAGACTACAACCAACCTGCTCACATCTACCCTAATCTATTCAATCCATTCTTTCAAGATGCAAAGTGAATTGCTCCAATTAGTTTCTTGTTCATCAATACATATACTTGCGGTCAGTGCATTCAATCACAACAGTCAACAAAGGCATAAAATGTTCTTGCCTGGTGGATATGCAACAATGTCCTGCACTCCTTTATCTGATCTCAGCATCACTCTTTATAATGAGCACTGTGTTTGGGGCAAAGTAAAGGACAAATAGGGACATCCAACAGGGTGACACGTAGCTTTCAGTAAAAAGCACATAATGGTGAGTGTAGCTGGCTGCTCTTAAAGCCACAGTATGTAAAAAAAAAAAAAAAGGAGACCAAAATAAAAATAAATGATTTTCCATCTGGCTGTGTTCATTGCTTTGAAAAACATAGAAAGACTTGCGTCCTTACTGTGAGTAGGATTGCATCTTCGCAAACCTGACTTTTATTTGGCCTGGAGAAGGGCCTCCACCTGCTTGTTTCCATGGAAATGTTCCTTTGGCTTCCACAATATGGTGTAAAACATATCTATCCCCACTGAGAATGTTCCAAAGTATGATTTTAACTTTCTCTTTGCATGGAAACTCATGCATTTGACATGTCACCTCCAGAAAGGCAAACTCTACCTCTAAAGATGCAATTTTTAACTTCCCTGGTGAAGTGTACATCACCATTTTGCTTTGTCTAATATTTATTTATTAGTTTATTTAACAGGACAAGGTATATTAATAAACATTTCTGTAAATTTACTACAATTAGCCTAAATTACTGTTTTTCATCCACTGTCCACAGTTGTTAAAAAGTCACCCTAAAACCAATAGCAAAAAACCAAGGCAATATTAAAATACATACAATACATACAGAAATACAAAGACACACTAAAAAGCATAACAGAGCAAACATGGCATCTCAAATACATTACTGAGAATGCCAAGTTTGGTTACTAAAAAGCCACTTCATCAGGTGTGGCACATATGGCCACCGCCCTGATGATTACAGGTACAGAGGTCCACTCCTGTGCCTCTTTCACTGAGAATGCACTTCTCCTCAGTGGGACAAAACTGTCTCCTGTGACTGTCCCTCAGGTGTTTCAGCAGCAGATGGTCAATATTTCATGTGACATGTGACATTCATGTGTCTATTGTTCTAAATAGTTTTAACAACGAGATAACTTGTGAAACCTGAGTTTCAGAGATGCTCTTTAAAGTAAAAAAGGGTCAACAGGAGAGTACTGTACAATGGTGGGCAAAAACCCCTGAGCTATAGATTTAACAGAATCTGTGAAAAGTTATTATGTTCTAATGCATACCTTGAAAACACACATTCTTACTGTGAATGGGCTCACCTTTCCACAGTTCTGACATGTGACTTCACCTAATGCCATCTCCATAGAGATAGATAAGTTTAATGCCACAATAAGGAATATGCAGGCAAGTGATGGCCCTTCCACCAGAAAAGTCACATGATGTACCTTTAATGGATCATGGCAGGAGATAGCAAATAGCAGTAGAATAGAAAGTGACATGATGTGATTTGTTTGACAATAAAAGAAAAATTCTTAGCAAGGACACACTATACTCACACTCACTAGTCTATGATGGTTCCAGCACACATAATATGCAATCTTCATAATTAAGTTATATATCTTACAAACACTGAAAACTCATGATGACAAAAATAAAATTTGAATTATGATATCAAATAAAACATTGGGAATATCCAGGTGAGGTAAGGTTTTATAGTAGTAGTAGTCTAAGAAAAAAAAATTCCAAAAGGCATATTGAAGGGAACAACCACACCTTGCCCAAAGTTAATGTGTACCAGTTGACCACTGATACACATTACACACACACACACACACACGCACACGCACACGCACACGCACACACACAAACAGGTTCAGTTTTGTGTTACAAGCTTCTCAGTAGCCTCAATGCCCTGCTTCATCTCCATTACAATTAAAGTGCAAGGATTGTCTCAGTCTGTCTGCAGCAGTGCAAGTCCCTCATCGCACTCTCCCATCAGAGAAGACACTATTATTCAGTGTTATTCTGAGCTGTGGGGCTTAACTGGTGGAGCTACTCTGGCTTAGGAACAACCACAAACCTAGCATTAGACAATCAGACAGTAATTACACCCTCAAGAAAGGCTTAGACCACACATGAACTGCACTCTATTGTCAGTCTATTCAATCACAGATGCTGCTACTAGCTTAAAGTGGGACTAAACACCTAAACTCCGCCCTCAGCCACATTCAAATAAAACTCCTAACTTGGGCAGTATACCTGTAAACTAAAGGGGACAGATAGGGAAAAGTACAGACGGAGACTGGGGTATAAAAACAGTGTGATTGGTCTAACAGATATCCTCACGTCTAACCTGAACCCTACAGCCAGAGCCAGAGTTTGTTTTCAGAGACAAGTGGCTGTAATCCGGGCAGTCATGTGTGGTGTCATGTAGTACTTGAAATTGCAGTTATTCGACCAGGAAGCTGCAAAAATATCTAGTTTGCTCTAAAATTGGCAAAAAAAAATAAAAAATAAATAAAAATAAATACTATTAAACATCATATAAACAGTTTAGTAGCAAAAAGGTTTATTTAGTGCTACAATTTTACCTTTTAAGTGCAATACAATGTTGGGTCATTTCTGGAGCCGCTCATTCTCTTTGCTTTCAGTTCAACTATACCGAAATCACATAAACATAAAAAAAACCCAAAACGCTGGATGCAGTTCTAACTGCAGAATAATAATGCATCTACTGATGACAAACAATAAAGCAATTTCCCTGAAAGTACAGAAAAGCACACATAGCCTAAAAAGCTGAAAAGACTAAGTGGACTGGGCTAAGACCCGACAAAGACCAGACATACACCCCACAAAAGCCCTCCCAAAAAGCCCCTGAGAAGATTCCAAAAAAAAGCTCAGGAAAAAGAAAAATCCCTGGTTTCTTGTCCTTTTCTTATAACACAAAGCATAGTCCCTCCCAGGCTACGCCCGTGTACTTATTTCCTTTTATCAGAGGTACACTTGGCTAGTCGTCTGACTGTATATTGGGTAGGTGCAGGGGTTTACTCTCTACTTAGAATTTTAAAGGGCTGTCATAGCCATCTGTAACTGGTTGGCAGATAGTCCAGTATATATGTAATGCCTGCGCCACCTGTGGGACAGTCTTTTACCATGGATCCTACCCGAATGACTGAGGGATTACGCAGATACGATCATATCTGCATGTTAGCAGTTGTGTTCAAGATGTAGCAAGTGGTTAAACTGACCAGCTGCATCCCTCTATCTCTTGCAGAAAGTTTAAGGTGTGCGATGTAGTCAAGCAGGTTCTGCCACCTGCTTGACTCTGTGGAGATGTTATTTCTTTTCCTATAAATTTCCACAGTATGACATTGTTGTTAGGCCTCCACAGAGAATAGCAGGTGAAGCCACCAGGCTAAGTTGCAGGCCAGATCTGTGGAGCAGCAAGTCCGCTCCCAGTTAGTACATGATCTTGAAGGTATATAAAACATGTATAATAGAATAAATGTTATATTTCAGTTTAATGCCATATTGTGGAAGTTTCCATGAAAAGCAATGCACATTTGCATGGAGACAAGCAAGGGGTGTGTACCAATCACCAAAGACATTTCATAGTGGACCTTTAACTACTGAATATAAAGTATGGATTTCAATGTAAAGTTTTCTGTTTATTAATACATTTGTATGAATAAGAAAAAGTATTGTTAGGATCAATTCTCCACAAGCTCCTGGAACTCTCAGGCAGTGTAACTTCCACGGAGGAATACATAGAACTCAGCAGGCAAGCGGTAATCACAACCTATCAACATCCATGCAGTGGCAGAGGCAGAATACAAAGCAGCACATCAGAAGACGCTGAGCCCATGCAGAGACAGACTTCTACCCAATGTTGGAATTAAAAGTTTAGTTGCAACCCACTGGAGTCAAGCACTTGGGTGAACTGCTAATGTCCCAGATGAAAGGATAAGAGTGGTGTTTCACACAGACAGGCAGGGTCGAAGAGGAAAACATTCCCTATGCTGACACAAACAGTTTTAGAGGACCAGAATAAAATGCACATAGCAAATAATATAAGGCATGCTGCCGTGTGCGCTGGGACAGGACATCTAAGTTTTTCCCCATTTTATTAGTAAATGTACAGAAATGTATTAGACAGTTATAACCACTGTCACATCCTCCACAAACACAAATTCTGAGTTGGGAAAGCCTACTGAAACAATACCATACTTGTTTTGTGTTTAAAATTCTGCATGGTTTGTTCTCATGGATGCCAAGGTACTTGTAGCAGTCCACTATTTCCTCCTCATGGCCCTGGATAGTGACAGGCTCCACTGGTGTCCTATTTCTCCTTAAGTCAATCACCGGTTCCTTGGTCTTGTCAATGTTCAAGAGCAGATGGTTTGCCTGGGACCACTCCACAAAACTTGCAATCAGTGTCCTATACTCCAGCTCCTGACCATCTCTGATACACCCAACCACTGCAGAGTCATCAGAGAACTTTTGCAGATGGCAGGACTTGGAGGTGTACTGGAAATCAGAGGCTTACAGAGTGAACAGAAATGGAGACAGGAGTGTACTCTGGGGGGGCTCCACCATTACTGACCACAGTATCATACAGGGTGGTTAGTAATCCAGGAAACAATGGAGGAGCTGACACCCATCCTGAGCAGCTTCTCACTCACCAGAAAGGGTTGGATTTTATTAAAGCAGGGGTCTCCAACCTGTAGCTCGGGAGCAACTGGTAGCTCTCCACAGCCTTCCAAGTAGCTCGCTAAGGGATTTCTGGATTACACGTACTGTGCTGAATAAGTACATTTTGATTAATTAAATCCCTTTTGTACATGTATCATTTTGATGCCTAACTTTCTACCCTAATAAATGGATAACGGTTTATGTTTTATAGGCATCTAACTGTATCTCATCTAGCGCTTACCGTGGCTATTTTATATGCTCAATTTCTTGTGACTGCTAAAACTAGTAGCTCTCTGGTATTTTCACTTTGTAAAAGTAGCTCACTGAAGGAAAAAGGTTGGAGACTCCTGTATTAAAGGCACTGGAGAAAAAAAAAACAAAAAAAAAAAACATCCTCACAGAGCCTTTAACACTATGCAGGTGCGAGTGACCCCGCTGCAGAAGATGGATTAAAGCATCATCCACGCTAATATGGGCCTGATAGGCAAATTGCAGAGGATCCAGGGATGGTGCCACCAGGGGTCTTGAGCTGAGCCAGAACAAGTCTCTCAAACACTTTCATGACATGGGACCTCAAAGCAACTGGTCTGAAGTCATTAAGTTAACCTTAACAGCCTTGTTTTGTTTTACTTTAACTGGCTCGTGTCTCCTCCCACCATTTTATGTAAACGATTTTGAATGTTATGACTCCAAAATAAAATAGCCAAACATCTGCTGACTCCCTGTTTTATTATGATTGTATTATTATTAGTTATTAGGACATAATACAAATGCAATTCCATAACTGTTACCTAGAAATTATAATGTTAACAAGGGCAAAGTAGACTTATAAAAATAAATAACAACACCTTTACTTTCTTAAATTAAGGTTTAAACTGAAAAAATAAAAAAATAAAAAATGCCCTCATTGCACATAAATTGTCCCTCTATTTTTTAATGGAATTTTTGGTGTTGATGTAGAGGTTTTTCCATTTTAAAATTCGCTGCTTCTTCCTGTATTTTTGTATTTTTCTACTCAACCTTTTTACCCAAAAACTGCCACTTTAAATTACTTTTGTTCTGGGTTTATAACCAAGTATTCATCTTGTGTAACTGCTCTTAGCAACTGCTAGCTTTGGATGCCCCCAGGTGTTACTTTGTGGCACTGAAGCATCCATTGAGTAAATTCAGGAAGTTGACTACTGGGTCAGATCAACAGTATTTGACTTTGCTGAACGAATAGCTGGCAGCCAAACTGTCCTCTCTCATAGATAAGGCTCAAAAGAAGTTCACTGATGTAAGAGTGCAAAGTAGGGCAGTTGGGGAATGAGATGTGAGTGTATGATGACATTAACCAGCGCTAATGAGGACAGGTGTCAGGGCGCTAATTACCCCGGAGGATTGGGAATCTGTAAAAGACTTGGATCTAAAGAGTCAGTGTGAAAATGGTGTCTTTTTAGGTGGGTACATTCTACTCACCATCTTTCAGTTAAATGAAGATACTTGACCATTGAGGGTAGTTTCCTATGACCCTTTATGTTCTGAAATGTTGCGCAAAAACAGTTCTCTGATGAAGAGACAAAGGTATATGGCCATGGGTCCAAGTTTTTGCACAGGGCACAGATAAAAAAAATATTTACCTACATAGAAAGAGAAGAGAAAAAACATGGCAAGAGGCCCGGTCTGTTTTGTTTACACTTCCCTCTGAGAATGCAAAGACATTTAGACGGCTCTAATATGCTGGTCCTCATTTAAACTGAGCATTACAGTTCACGATCACTAGAAAATAGGATTACTGTTTTACTTAATGAAGACAGTGAAGACACATATAAAATGTATTAAATTAATAAAATGGAACTTTTTTTTATTTAAGCATGCACTATAACTTTTCTGGTAGACATTCTGCCACCTGCTTGTCTCCATGGTGATGCTGCTTTGCCTAGAATGTTTGACAGTATCTATTTTCATAGAGGCAAGCAGGTGACACCATCAGGACAAGTTACAAGTCAGATCTATGGAGAGGCAATCCCGCTCAAAATAACATTGCATCTGTTTTGAAAGGTGTTTGCAGATATATAAAACAATTGCACCTGAAATGATGCAAGGCTGAAGTGTAGGTGTAATGTCATACTGTGGAACATTCCAGGTAAATCAATGACATTTCGATGCAAAGTTACATACTGCAACTTTAAGCTATAGCTGTACCTAATTTTAATCATTTTTGTTCAATGTTTCCTTGTTGCTGTAGAATAGTGAGTTTTTGGGTGAAATAAAAACAGCTATGAGAGCAGTGACAGAGCTGTTGTGGTAGACATCTCTATTTCTCCTCAGTAATTGTGTTGTGGGGTGTCTGTATTTCCCCCACCTCGCCTGAATTTGACAACCCACACAAAGCCGGTCTGTCTGCAGCACTCTCATTCACACTTCTCGTGTTCTCCTCTCTGGTCTTATGTCCGCCTCTTGCCTGCCTGCCACCCCCTCCCAGCTCTCTCCTCCTACCGCTTGGACTGCAGCAGCCTCTCCTCTGCCTCTTGTCTTTCTCCCAGCAGCCTCTGCAGGTGAAGGATCTCCCTCCGGTGAGAAGCCACGCTCCCCTCGGCAGCCCTCTCCAGCACGGCCAGCCTGCTCGACGCTTGCCTGCGGTACACCTGCGCACACACACACACGCACAGAGGGATGTCATGCCGAGTGCGGCTATGAGCGAGGTGGATTTACATGAAGGACAGCGCGGTGCACAGATCTGGAGAGAAGGAGGAGGAGGAGGGAGAGGGGGGCTCGCAGCTGCTGGGACAAGGTAAGCAATAGCGCAAAAAAGACAGGTTACAACGCAATCATGGAAACCACCAGTTACACCACCAGGGCACATTCAAGTACCTACTTAACTACTCATACAAGTGTGTTCATGCATGTGTATCAGTCGATAACAGGGGGTTGAGTGCTAAGGAGAGATATAATAATGGAAGGAGAAGACACTTGAAGCTATTGTGAAGCCAGATGTGGTGTCAGTGTGTGCAGTGGTTATTTGTTTGCTATAGAGCTAAAACCAGTGAGTGGAGAATTGGCAGTTTCAGTTGTTTTGACTCCTTTGCACTCCAAAAGTGGGTTGGACTGTACCCAAATTGATTTAGTCGTATTTTATTTCAGTAAGTGTACACACTTGTACAAGTGTAACATCAAAGTCGAAGAATAAATGTCAGAAAGAAATGGGAATCATGTCTAGCCAATGAGGGATGTTTATCCATTTATAAAAGTAAGTAGTGCTTCTTAAATAAGCAAATCTATGTTCAATTTGTGTTATGCTAAGTGGTGCCACTTTGACATGCATCACTGTGCACTATAACAAAATCAAACATCTGTCCCACTGTGATTTGGATTGTGTGGAACCATGGTGCAACACTCCAATAACAAATGGAATATAGAAGCCAATTTGTCCCCTGGAGTCTGAAGGGGTGTGCCGGCTGCTGCTTTATGACATTTCCAAGACACATGATTAGGTCTTGTTAAGCTGCACAGTGGCTAACAGATGTGGCTAGTTCTCTCACAGTCAGTCAAAGAGCTCAAAATAGCACAATTAAGTCAAGAAGGATACAAGGACACAGATGATAAAGAACTGTGTCAAGTTGTTAAAGCAAAAGCAATAGTAATGAAATCATAAAAAAATACATTTTGCTTTAATAATTTTTTGTAGTATATATAATATACTGACACCTACTCTTGCTATAAAAATGCAACACAGTAAAGGATACTTTAGCAAGGCATGCAATATGCAAAATAAGGCTAAAGAAATCAATGTTAAAACAAATGTGCTTGACTAAGTGAGCGATGGAGCTGCACACCCTTACATGTAAGCACTATGCTAGAGTGCAGCATAATTAGAATACAAAGACCACAGAAATGAGTAATGGTTTCTGAGTACACCTACTAAATTAATGTTCCACAACAATGCTATTGCACATTTACTATGACAAATGACAATGTATGTTTAATAGTAACAAAAGAATCAAAAGATTGTTTGTGTGATCGTTGCACCTGTGGCGGCTCTTGTGCACGCTTCCGTCTCAGTGCGTTTTATGTTGCTGCATAGGTCATTTTTAGCGGGCTGTTAGGGCTGATGCGAAACCACAAAGGTTGGCTATTTTCTATTGCTTTACAGTCTGCAAAATGGCTCTTTGAATCTCTATTATGGAACGATTATGGACCATTATCCCACTGAGGAAATGGCACAGATGACAACGCTCTGAAGAAGCCCCGACCACAGCAAGTTATCTGTGTGATTATTCTCATTAGCTAAAACCTGCGTCTGCACACCCCCAGCCCCAGTGGATACAGCTACCTCCTCAACCAATACTTTAATTAGTAGTTGTCCTGTTAATGAAAGAGCTAGTAGGGGCCTATCATAAGTCACAATCCATGCAGTAAAATGTCTTCAGAGCTTGGCCTGAATTTCCATCAACCCCCCAGGGAGGCAGCGGGACCCCAGAATCGGCCACCTGAAGCGCTGACACCCCCACCACCAGAGCTGAGAGAAGCTAAACCAATATGACCTGCAGCGGCCTGGAACTACATGTCACATGACCTTCTCCCCGAGCAAAACAATATACTATTCAGATGGAAACCTCAGAATAGCTTTTGTTGCAATTCCAGTCACCCATTTGATAAAAAAAAAAAAAAACAGAATTATGGGTAACACTTATAATAACTACACTTACTTTAACTAGACATTCCATAAAAATGAATAAATAGTTTATTAAGAACAGTCCATGCTTAGTAAAGACTTTAATTAATATCCTAACTTCTATCCCTAACCTCTCAATTAAGTCTACTTCAGCTGTAAATTTTCTACCAACTATTCATTTTTTAACTGGGTCACATTCTTGCCAAAAGAATGAATTTTCTTTCACCTTTACTGACCAAAAATGTAACCTTTCAACTCTAGCAAATCAACACTGACCTAACCGTAACCCTTCACATTTGAGCTAATTCTACGTATCATATGTATTACAATTCGCTAGAGTGATATTTTAGGTCAGTTTCCAGATAAGCTGGTACCATCACAGAGTCCAATCTACCATGCTCTCTCTGTAGTCTAAACCTGTCATTCACCGGGCTGTTATATTTTCTATACGTCAACCGTTGCCCCGTGATACACTGTACTGTAAGCTCCACATAACAGCTGCTGGCCACTCCTGCAATAGCAATGCTGTCTGCTGTTTCCAATACTGAAATCTCCTATGTCACACATTCATCTGCTGCTTAGTGGGAATACAAGTGTTGTTTGTAATACTATAATCAAAAGGAAAGCAAATGTGTACAAGCAAGAAGTCCCTGCTGAGTATGTGCAATATTTCATTTGCACTTCTCAATCATTTTGTCTTTATAAATTCTGTAGTTATTCTTCACAACCTCAATATAGACAAATTTGTTTTCAATGCGTTAATGCATACACAATAGAGTAAATTACCCCCAGCAATAACTCCATTCCAACGACTCTACTAAGTTTCTCTCTGTAAACAGATTAACCTTTTCAGCTGAAATTGGCTGTCTTGTGCCATTAGCAAAACAAAAGCCAGGCAAGGTAATGAGGCAGCGTCACAGGGCAGGCAGACTGTGACCTGGCTCTTTCCACCCAGCTAATATAATTCACCAGTGTCAGGGAATGTTTTCAGGAATTTGCTAATTAGATGCATGCTGTACTTTGCAGATTTTTCTGTATAGTTAGCCTGCATTGGAACACATTATAAGACCAGTATATATAGAAAATATCAAATTTTCGATAAAACAAAAAAAGAAAAAAATATTCATAATTTATAGCAAATATGAAGGTTCTCTCAAAATGCTCATAAAATAATCTTATAATTTTTCCCCAAACCTTTCGTTGTTTTACCTTCAACATTCTACTAAAGAAATCTATTATGCAAAATTTACGTTATACAGTTTTTAACCATGTCACAATTATTTCCACCTCCCATTTGCCCACTCAAAGTTGTATTTAGAGTGATTTGCAAGAGGCAGACAGCATGTGGCACTTTGTTGTGATGACGATTAACAGTGGCATTCCACAAAAAGGGCACGTCGGAATCATCTCCCAATGGGCTTTGTAATTTTCCAATCTGGAAGTCAGTGGACTCGCTGTCTTTATTAAGTTGTTTTAGATCAATATTGCAAATTAAAATGTCCAATATATAACATAATGCTCCATGGTATAGCCGACAAAAGCACAATATGTCTTCTTTAACAAATGGAAACATCTGCCTTGAATAGGCTTGAACTCAACTAGGAGAGCTAAATTCACACTTAGAACCACAAAGTCCCCATATCTTACATTAAGATAAACAATCAATTTGAAAGTAAAAAACACATTGTAAATCCTTCAGTTGCATTCAAATCCCCATGTATTTGAGGATGTTTTGCATGGCATCCAAGCATTCAAATGTCAAACACACCATTACTGTGTTATCTCTCTTTTAACTGTGCATGAGTGCCTAAGGTGGAATCAAATATGCATTTATTAGTGTCATAACTCAAAGTCTACATGCATATATTTCCATATCAATGTGTATTTATGCTGGGATTTATCACGTTTAATGTTGGTTCAAAGCAATTCCAGATAGAGGCAGTCACATATTAAAATGGATTTTCTATTTGGGAGCTTTCAGATGAGTGACACATTAAAGTAGGTCAGCATATCTTCCACAGTATAATTTATATGAACGTGAAAGTGACAGGTGAGCTTGACTGTTATAAACGGCTAATTACAGCATTGGTGAAAATAATAATAAGTCATCAGATATAACAATTAATAGAGTTTAGAAATGGCAACAACAGAAGCAATTCTTCCCTTCCTTTTTTAAAAAAAAATAATGTGTATTTATTCTACAAAACGTGGCTTTCAGCTTCCATTCAAAACATAGACATAAAATTTGACAAGCTGTTGGATGCTCATGCTATGGTCCATTTAGCATCTCAGATAATCTGTGTAGAGTTTGGAGCATGTACCCTGTATTTTTCCATACAGCGGTTACAATTAGCCTGCAAAAATTATGAATAACCCAGAAGGTCGGCTGACACCAACCCATCAACACAGAGCCCCGTTAAAAGGTTTAATTGTGTAAACTTTATGGTGTTTGTAGATGTTAATTAAAGGTGATGAGGCCAGATACATGACATAAATATCACAAAATAAAGGATTGGCTTCACCATTCATTTGTATGTGAACATTTGACTTGTAACTCCGGAGAGCATAGACTAGCCAAGTGAATGAATGTTATGTGATTCAAAGGTAATTTTTAATCACTCTGAAACCCATGGATAGCTACTTAGACTTCATATTGAGAGGAGATGATGGAGGATTTTGTCCTCTTATGAAAATCATACCTAGCTGCACTTTGCTTCAGTTCTAAATTCTGTACATCTGCAGTCATTATGTCAATTTGTCAACGGCTCAAAACGCTATGTTCCACCTTCTGATGTCATGGTAGTTCATTCATCTTCACCCAGTCATTTCTCTACAAAGCATGTCTATTGTATTTAGCATTGTTCCTTTTTAAAGTGAAGCTGTAACTGTCATGAGGTGGGTGGTAGTCCAAGCATGCCTATTGTATTTAGTATTCTTCCTTAAATTATGTTAATTACAATTTGCAACAGAAAA